GTAGATGTACGGTATAGAGTGAAATTTTCGGACTTACTAGGTGACGGTCCACTGAGCCTACTAGGCTAGAGTGTAGACCTAAAGATAGGCCGTGACTCGGAACACTCCATATACATTGTGTGAACTTGATTGATTGAATATCACTTCCAACAACGCTGTGTTTCAACAGGTTTTGCAAATATTACGATTTTTATTGTATCGTCGGTCTATAAAACTTTGAAGATCTTGAACGACGCAGCCGTTGTACGGTTGGAGCCCGGCCATCATTATGGATAATTGAGTAATGAAGTGCCTCTTTTGAACCTTAGATCGGCCCACATAGGCAGCACAAACTTTTAGTAACCATTTTACCATTGTCAAGAGGCTCGTACAGCTCTAAATACGACAATGATTCAATTTTCAAACTTCAGTGCTCTCAGTGCACTCAGTGAGAACACTCAGCGACTCTCACGAGAGCACTGGCATATGGAATTTGTGGAAGTTGGTGGTTGAGTGTTGGCGAAATGTAGTAAGCTGTTGTGAAGTGTGACAGCCTAGTCATATCATGCCGGCTGACCGGACCCTCAGACAGTGGTTTGCGTGAAACTTGTCCGCAGCAACTTTGGCGCATTTCGCCAGTCACGCGAGGTTGAAACTCCGATCGCCGTACACAAAAATACCCAAGACCCCCCAAAAACAGATTCATTTGCAATTGGCATTGGCAGCATACGGGTTGTATACAAGCAGCAAAGACGCTGAAGCTTCATGGTGGGGGGCCATATCTTCCAACTTCGTGCCACAACGAACGAGCTCTCAAGATTGCGGAAAGGCAATTCCGACGTACCGGACTTCGAGGGGACATGTTTCTGGCACGCATGTTTTTGTAATGTAAGTTGAGGCAGCTGAAAGATCTGGCGATATTCTAGAGGTATTCTAGAGTCACCCCTTGAAAGGTGGCATTCACGTCATCCAAGGATGATCCACGATTCTACCAGATGAGTCCGCTCAAACGGACTCAGACTTAGTTTGGCTGTGTTTGACGTAAATGTGCGTCAATTAGCTGAGCTCTACAATCGGGCCCAACGGACATGAAAGTAGTAGATGAGATGAAATAAAAGCTAGCTAGTACAGAGCGACCAACTAATATCATAGTGAGTTTCGGTCTTACAGTGCCCGGTCCGGTTTTACCCTTTAGCATTGCTAGGTTACATGGCAGTCAAGGTGGACACATGTAAAATGTGAAGGTGCACATTAGTAGTTACATGTTGGCACATACCGTGCATGGCATGTACACGCGGCCAATCAATCGGGTGACGCAACATTCAATGCAAGCAATCAAGCTGATGTTGCTTCTCTACTCTTGTTTTACAACCATTTGTTCACTTGTGTAAGCCGCTCAGTATGGCCTAAAAGAAAAAAGATTTCGTTGATTTGTCAAAATCACCACGAAGTATCCACCATGTACAATAGTCCATCCACGAACCCCAAATATTAGTTCTCGTGACCGGACAGGCCTACATGTTGTTGCGTTACGGTTAATCAGCTGCCAACGACCTTTGGTCGGAGAAAAATTTGAGGAAGGCCTCCCACGTGATTTTACCGGCACCTGCACAAATAAAGGGAGCCTCAATGAATGGATGCGCTGTATGTAGCTCCAACCTAGACAGGGTTATGACTACCTAAATGCCGCAAGGCTTGAACAAATCTGTACGCGTAGACAGAGTCGATTCAGAAACGCATGCACACAAACAAACTGAGAAAGTCTCGTAGTTAGAGGACTGCTCTAGCGTTGTTCAATACCATGGCTTTCCATACAAGCTTGTCGGGGCTTGAATAGTAACGGCCTTCGAGTGACTTCATCCTTCAAAGACCCGGCAGTGGGCGGTGAGGATGTGCAGGTGGGCTCATTACGCACTTGCTGGCAACCTATCGAGGGGGCTAAGGAGTTGTCCAGACGCATGCGTGCCTCGTAATGCTCACCATCGGCGTCGATCCTGTTGAAGACCGCCTCGAAGCTTTCCCGCTTGCCGTCCTTGCCCTTTTGCCGAGACAGTTGCATGAAAGCCGCAATCTGCACAAGGCACACGCAAGTGTGTCATGGACGAGGCGAACTCAAGGGCGCCACTTGAAGCGCTGACCGCCGGCCGCTGCCATAGACTGCGGAAAACCCCTAGGAAGAGCAAGACCAAGTGTACGAGGTTGCGACAGGGCAGCAACTGGCCCCCACAGATGGCACCGTGGTCGGGCTTGTGAATTCATGCATGCGTAAGATCCCCCCGGATGGCGTGCACCCCCAAGCTGAGCGGTTGAGTGCGGGTGGGGCCGCGGGTGGCGGGGCTCACGTCCTTGTCCTTCTTCATGGCGGCCATGAGGTCCTTCTTGCTGATGGCCCCGCTGCGCGCGGTGTCGATCTTGTGGAACATGTCCAGGAAGCGCTTGTACTCCTTCACGCTCACGCCCGCGGCCGCTGCCAGCGAGCGCAGGTACGCCCCGTCGCGGGCTCCCTGGCTGGCCGTGCGCAGCGCCGCAAACGCCGTGCTCAGCTGCTCCAGCGCCCTGCCATCGCCGGGGAGAGAGGACAGGCTCAGGGCTGGAAGGAATTTAAGGGCCGACCAATGTTTGTCAAGGATGGCCGGTGGAAATTACACTCTGACTGATGTAAGGATGTAAGGAAAAAGGGAATCCGAGAGGGTCCCAAACGGGTTCCCAGTATTCAGATGCGAGCAGGCTCCGAATTAAGGGTAGAAACAGCCAGTTTGTGAGAGCTAGGAGGTCTCCCAACGAGGCGCGGTGGGCAATAAAAGAGTGCAGGTAAAGCTGTGCAGACCTGATGATGTAAGGTCTATTTCTGCAAGACCAAGCGAATCTCATTGTAAAGGTCTGTTACCAAGCCCATCAACGAAGCGTCGGAAGGGTCGTGGCCTGGACTTGAGGTTGGTCCTGCCAATGCTAGCTGGCAACTCCTGGAACGTTCCCTTTCTAACACGCGGAGCCCCAGGCCGACATGCAATGCCCCTGCCTCCTGTGCGCAAGGCAGTCGCAGTTCGTGATGGGGCCTGCGTCCTTGTCATCCTCACTGCCCGTCTCACCTGGCGTGGTACGCAACGGTGGAGTGCAGGTACTGCTCGATGAGCTGCTGGTACGGCTCAAACGCGTCGCCCTGGTCCCCGGGCCACCGCGGCCGCCACGCGTCACCCACCGCCAGCGGGGCGCCCTCCACGGCGGCCGCAGCACTGCCGGGGGGGACCTAGGGAAGGGCGACGACAAAAGAGCAAGATGAGTCACGCAAGACGCCGGTGCTGCGGGGATGCAAAAAGGCAGCAAGCCGGTGGCGGTCTGCGGGAGCCACTCTTGGCAAGATGAGAACCCGTGACTTGAGCGTGGGCACAGCACGAGAGGGCAGCGGAGGCTGCCCCACTCAAAGCGGGAACACACTGAGTGAGAGCTGCTGACAGATCCAAGCGCTTCCCCAGTATAGAGCAGAGCTGGTTGCAGACATGGCTCTCTGTGCATCCATCTCAGGGCAGGGCTAGCTCCTGGCCTGACCGCAGCCGCCGCTGACTCCTCCAGGACGAGCGGCCCAGTTGCACATGGAGGGCCAGCCTAATGAACACTCTTTCGAGAAGTTGCCTGTGCTGACAGTCTTGCCGCGTTACCTTGATGACGCCCTTGTTCCCAAACAGCAGCAACGAAGCGTCCAGCGCGGCCCGGTTGCGCTCGGTCATGAACTCGCGCAGCTCCTGGTCCGCAATGATGGCCTCCGCGGCCGCCAGCAGCGCCGCCACCTGCTCCTGCTTCTCCGCCGCTGCCTGGTCGCCCTCCGGCACGATGGCCGCCTCCAGGCGCGCCGCCTTCTGCACCGCGCTCGACAGGTCCACCGTATTCTTGCGCACCCCTGCAGCAGGCAGCACACGTTGAGGGGGGAGCACGCAGCAGAGCCAGCCTAGGCGCTCCAACAGAATGAGCTTGAAGGGGAAGAGCTTGTGCCGCAATGATCAGGTCAAACGACGACGGGTGCTTTGCTTCCCGTGGGTCTCCTGGAGGGCTTGCGCCTAGCACAAGCAGTGCCTCTTGGTGTGCGGGCCCCTCTCTATGCTCCTCCCTCATGCTGTGCACGCTGGCAGCATCAGCGCTGCCAAGGATGCAGGGGGGCAGGGCAGGGTGACTCGCTACAACTGCTCAGTGGCGCACTACACAAGGCGTCTGCGAGCAAGGTCAGCGAGCATCTGTGAGCTACCACCGGACCTCTCGCTTTGAGCCCCAGCTTGGGACCACCTGGCGGCGCTGCCTTGGCTCCAGCTGGATCAAGCATGCCGCACCCAACTTCAAGCTTGCAGAATGCTTTTGGCTCTGCACCCTCGCTGGGGGAAGTCTGCAGCGCACCCCAGGCCCGGTGCGCCGCTCCTCCTCTAGCAGGCCCCCAGTGAGGCAGCCCCTGCCTGCCTGCATTGTGCGGTCAGTGTGGAGTGTCATGAAGGGAGCCAGGTGGCGCACTCACTGTCCGTGTCGTTGGTCCACTCCTCCAGCGCCCGCCTCAGCCGCCGCACGGCCTTGCTGCGCCGCTTGCTGGGCTGCACCGCGGCCCCCATGGGGGCACACCCAATGGCTTCCATGCGAACGCTTCCCGATTGCGGACTGCTCTATCCAGCACTCACTGCAGTGCCCCAGACCACAATCCCCTGATCCACAATGCCGCCAGGATCAATATGGGCAATGCTGTGGTCCTGTGAGCAATGCTGCGGGCCTCAGCTTAGCGGCTGTGTTGGCAATCAGGCCTGCCTGAGCCGACAGAACCCCGTGAAGAATCCTGGAACCAAGCAGGCAAATCTGAGCGCCTCTTGCGATCCCGGCCGTGAACACCGTCCCCCATGTACCAGGCATCAAGCTTCGTCGGTAGGCTAGCGAGTGTGATTCTGTGCGTCATGCACAGACGCAGACTTTCTTGGCCGCGCGCTGGCTGCATCTTTTCTAGCAGCTTGAGCAGAGTCTGCAGCCAAGGGAAAACACTCCCAGCCTGCATGGTTCACAGCATCCACAAGGCCTCACTCTGGGAAGTGTCTCGGTACTACCCTAGCGGGACCCTATCATAGGTAATAGTCCTTGATATGCATGGGCCCATTTGTATGCATGGAGTCTGGCACCGCCTCGGCAGCACTAGCTGCGCCCTAATAGCCGCCGCTTCGTGGAAAACCCACTGCGACATCAGAAAACGCGCGCACCTAATAGGTTCAGGTAGGGAATTGCGTACCTAGCTACGACGGTACGTACGTCGATCGTCCATTTCTCAGGTGAAACCAATGATTTGCCATCCACGAAAGCCGGAAATTGGCCCCCCTATATGTCGAAGTGGCTACAGCAGACGCGACGAGGGCGGGAATAGGAACCAGGGTGGTCACCGGGGCACTCTTTTGATCGGACGGATGAAAGGGCCGCGAAAACTGAATCTGGACGGTCAGATTTGAGCACTTGGCAGATCGATGGCCTCGAACAAACGAGAGCAGGCCAGGACCTGGCTACCGATGAACCTATGGCAAAATTCAAACCCGGCTCCGAGCCTTACGGATGCAGGTACGTACCGTGCATTGTTGACATGAGGAGTTACTCCAGGCGGTAGTACTATTGACCAGCCACTTGATGACCCAGTGACGCGATGTGCATGCTAGAGCAGTAGGCTGTAGGCTGTAGGAAGCGTGCTGGAGGGTGGCCGTCACCATGGCGGAGGGGCGAGATCTAGGTAGAGCATTCGCATTCGCAGCTCTCGTGCAGGAAGCATCGTAAAAAGGTCTTACAGCTAGTAGTAGCAGATCCAAGGTCTCTGGGGGACTGGCTTAGCAGGTAGGAATAGGTCAACAGGATCGGTCCACGTAGGAGATCTGCAACCTGCTCTGGCAACCCAATGCTCACTCCAGATCCTGAGGTCAAAATCTGTTTCTGGTCTGCTTCTCCCCCTAAGCAGCAGCAGCACCTGATAGTTCTGGACGTCGAGATGAGCCCTTTAGCTGGCCCTTGCTGCATGGTGCTATGGGTCGTGGCTAGCTGCTGAGTTAGCAACAAGCTTTGACACCATTTGGTGTCCCGAGCATCAGAAGTCTGTCCCATTGTTACTGGATCCTAATACAGGCAGCTATGTCATTTGAGGGTCAGGAGCCACTGATGGAGGAGCAGCAACAGATTGGTGGAGATCAGCAGGGGGAGAGAGATGCATCATTGGCCACAGCAGGGCGCAGTAACTACACCATAGGCACAAATGCTGGGTGAGTAATGGATCTGAAGACACTCAGTGACCCTTTATGCTGTATTTGGAGCATGGTTTGCAATGTGGTACTTGGAACAAATCCGGAGCCTCATTCCACTTTTCACCAGGGCACAGTATGCAATGCTGCAACTTGTATGCTGGAGCAGCTTTGAACAAGTCATGTACCACAGCAAGGTATCGGTCAGAAGCAATGCATGGATCCCATTGCATTTCCTCCTTTCTGCAGTGCTTGCATCAAAGACGCAAGATATGACCATCCAAAATACCTCAAGCATGCAAGTTGGACAGATTAGGAATGCTGTCCTCATCCTCCTCTTTTTAGATGCTGGAAATGTTGGAGCAGATGTATGTGATGAGCTTTGAACCAGAGGATCTTCTGGTCACATTTTAGGCTATCATCAAGTTGCTTTCTGTTCTAACACTTCTTCTTCTGCTTTTCCAGAGGAAAGGTTTTTGTTGGAGGTCTGTCATGGGACACAACTACAGGTGAGGTTTTTGAACAAGACCTTCTATTTGTTGATTCTATCACCCAGTCAGGCAATCCAAGACAAAGCTGATTGGACTACCCAATATTGATAGGCAGGAAAATGAGGCCAATCCTTAACTGTTCTGTAAGATGCACGAGTGCTGATTTTCTGGCAATCAGCAGTCTTAGCATTTTGCTGATAAAACTTGAAAGCTGATATCGCCAATCCTGCACTCCTTTGGTTTGTATCTGGGAGTAGCACTTCCTGTCTGGATGTCATCGTTCGCACAGAAAGAATCTGAATCCTCAGGAGCATGGATCCTGGAATTGGTTCCCTCAATTGGCAAAGTAGGTTGTAAGTGCAAGCATTGCATGGGAATTGCACTGTTTGGGGACAAGAATGTCTCTGCTATCAAATGACAGTGGACACGTCCTGCTGTTGCGCCCTTGCTTGCAGCCATTGCTCTTTTTGTGCCCAAGAGCGGCAGCTCATCTTCTTTCATTTCCTTCCCGACAGAGACTCTGACAACTCATTTCAGTGCATTCGGGAAGCTGACTGACTCGGTGGTGATGAGGGACCGTCAAACGGGGAACCCGCGCGGCTTTGGATTTGTGACCTTTGCAGATGCATCAGTTGCTGACAGGGTTGTTCAAGAGCAACACATCATAGATGGGAGAACGGTGAGCCGCATGCTCCGTGAACTCCGTGTCATCTGCAAAGTGCTTGTGGAAGTTGTAGCGCTCCGTCCTCGAACCCCTCTTGCATAATCTGCATTTATCATGGCAGAAATAGTTGTCTGTTGGACAGCCTTGAATAAGTCCAGGCCAATATGTACCCTTGAACAACATAGCCTCTGATCGTATCCATCCTCAAGCTCTGGCCGCTGCTTCACCTAAGGCTCAACGGCCCATCTGCAAGCATCCCAGCTTGGCTGAGTCTAACCTGACTCTTTAATGTCAGTCCACCTTTTTGCATCGCTTAATGATAAGCTTAGCTGCCCTCTGCAGAACAGCTCTTGCTTTCATTCAACCTGACTGCTCCCATGTGCGTAGGTCGATGCAAAGAAGGTGGTGCCGCGTGAGGCGATGACTGGCCCCAGGACGAAGAAGATCTTTGTGGGGGGGCTGCCAACCACTGTCGAGGAAGGTACGTATTTCCTACTTTTGCCGGAAGGTTGCCCCATTTGCGCATCCCAGACCATGTGGGGCCCATCTTTTTGCCCTGTAACACGCCTCTTCCCACCTTTCCCCTGAGCATCCCTCGTTGCCAGCAGATTCAGCAGGTTCCGACGGTGGCTCTGCATTACCCACAAGTCGTCTGATCAAGCAGAAAAACCGGGTGTTCAAGAAGGCATCATGTCAGCTTAGCTTTGCTTACAGCATACAAGTCTGCGAGCCCGCATGGACAGCGAACACAGTGCAGCCTCTTTGCCCCTGCCTCTGCCAGTGCCTCATACTGTACCTTCCCTCTGCAGAGGAGCTGCGGCAGAACTTTGCCAGCTATGGCAACATCACCGAGGTCCAGATCATGGTTGACAGAGCCACTGGCCGCTCCCGGGGCTTTGGCTTTGTGACCTTTGAGAACGAGGCCTGCGTCGAGCGCGTGCTGTCTCAGGGCCGGCTGCACGAGGTGGCGGGGAAGATGGTAAGCGCCGCCACGCAGCTCAATCGCAGCCGGAGGAGCAGCGGATGACAGCGGCTTCGAGCGCACCTTTAGCCGAGTGCAACTGCGTCTATGTCCCGAGTTGCTGGCTTTGCAGAGGTGCCAAAAATCCTGAAAGGGAAAAGGCAATCAGGTGTTACACAGTTGTCAAGTTCATCGTCAATCAGATTAGGTTGATCAAAAGGTGGAGAAGAACCGTGGACGCTTTTGTGTATAAGGCCATGCACCTTGGTTCCTTGCTACATCGTTTTGTGTACGCACGCCTTGGCCATTTCGTAAAACGATGAGCCCCCTTTGAAACAGGTGGAGGTGAAGAAAGCGGAGCCCAAACGACCTCCCGAGGTGCCCCCCATCAGCACCCCCTCGTACGGCTATGGCCTGGGAGCATATGGAGGCGGCAGCGGCTATGGGAGCAGCAGAGGGGTAGGCGCTTACCCCAGCAGCCGCATGGGCTACGGCGGGAGGCTGAGCTACGGGGCAGGCGGGGGAGGCTACGGCGGCGCTTATGGTGGGGCAGCCGCGGGCTACGGCAGCACGTCCGGCGGATATGGCAGCGCATATGCCTCAGAAGGCTATGGCAGCAGCAGTCGGACGGCTTACTCGGGGTACGGGGGAAGTTCATTAGGAGCCGGATATGGGGGAGGGTCGATGGCCGGATATGGTGGCGGGTATGGTTCTTATGGCGGTGGCTATGGAGGAATGGGCGGCTATGGCGAGAGTTATGCAAGTGGAACCTACGGCAGTGGGGAGAGTTACGGCAGTAGCTATGGTTCCGGAACCAGGGGCGGGTATGGAGGCGCCTCCGGGTCGGGCTCTGGTGGGCAGATGGGAGGGGGCAGCTCGAGAGGCGACAGTCGATACTATCCCTACCGAGGAGGGCAGTAGGCAACGTGGCGCGCGTGTAACTAGGACGGATGACTGTTCGCTTGAAAGGGGCGCACGTTTGATGGTGTCAGATTTAGGGTCGCAGAAAAGGATTGGTGATCAGATCTTCCGGCGCAAGCCTCACAATTAGGTGCTGGCTCTTCCAGAAGCAGCGCAGCAGCGAGCAATATCAGGCACCTCATTCCACAAAGGGAGCTACTAGGCTAATCAGATGAAGCACGACCAAGCTGGGGCGGCCCGTTCATATGACTGATGGCTGCAGTCACGATGAGCTCCGGGTGGGGCAATGGTTCCGACAGGTGGGCCTGACTTTGTGTCTCGATAGTTAGGACACCCGTCAAAGGGACAGGTCACTCGCTGAGCTCCTTGTCGGAATTATGTGCACCCTGGAACACCGCCGGCATAGTTAGACAGACTGCTTACCCTAGGCCGACATTGGTAGAGAGCGTAGCAAAATAAGGCGGCTTTAAGAAGGATGTTAAGCTCGCTCATACTGGTGCCGGGGATGGCAAAGATGCTTCAGCGTCAAACGGCTAACAGGTGGACGTCTTTGCAAGTTTGCTTTTGCTTTAAATAGGACAGGTATAAGCACATAGATACAGGTCTTTTTCCGGGGTTCCTTATGTGATTCTTTCAGGATAAGCGTCCTCTTTAGTTGATATTGCGCCATTTTTTGTTAGAAAGCTTCCTAGCTTAGTCAAAAACTTTTTGAGAGCTGTTGTGCCCAATGCTCTAAGATTTGAGTCTCAAGTTTATCTAGGCCACTAGCTGTTTCTTGCTACAATCATTGAAGTATCCAACCTAGCAGTCCTCGGAACAGGGTCGCATGCTCAAGCCTTCCGAATCTCAATCTTTTTGGATCAATGGTCTCTTGCTAGTGACTTGCCGTTTATACGAATGGCAGAGCCGAAAGCATCCTCACCACTTGCGGCCCACAAGATAGCAAGAACGATTCTATCTGAAGAACAAGTCAGATACTTGTTCCGTCTTCCATGCTTCATAAATTAGCTCTCGGATATCGGGCATGGTGATTATACTACGAGAACCATGAATGGTTCACTGCATGCCAGAAAGCAGAGATGGACGCCCTGGTACACAAGATCATGCAGCTGCAATGCTAGCTTGAGATGACGCCCAAATCCATGAAAGGTCATAACTGACTACACTGTAGCCAGTTTTGAGTCCTTTCCTACTGCTTTTCATTTGAATTGCAAACCTAAGCTCTACTTTGGCTAAGTCCCTAGAAACGTGTCCAGCGACTCCCACAAGCTTTGCCCAACAGAGCTACCGCAGACGGAGGTTTGCGTAAGATTCTAGGCATGTGACACGCAGAATGGGTTGCAACAGCAGCCGCAAAGCCTGTACGGTATCAATGCAAGGTCAAAGCCAACAAAACCACAAGTTATTTTATCTTTAATTACGGATTGTATGTATGCACACATGCATGCAATCGACCACATTGTTAGCAACGGGTTGTAGATCGGACATGATTCTTCGCGAATCAAAAAGCTGCATAGCCATGTGCAATCATTGATCGAATAATGAATCAAGACTTCATTTGCATAATCTACTGATACAAAGTTGGATCAGCTTTGAATGATTGGTAACTTCGTGCATGGAATTGAGTTGCATTTCTCACACGGAGGTCTGCAAAATCTGCATTCATGATAACCCAGATGTGAAGTTTTGGACCGTTCCACCACATAGTACAAGTCACCGTGCGCTCATCATACTCGATTGAAAGGTGGACGGCCACGTACAAAATGCTGTCTAGGATCGACATGCATGCGTATACTAATGCATGTGCAGCCCGGGTCGGAAGCAATCAAAGTTTGACAATGGCCCTTCAGAAGCGTCTCTGCTGCATTGATCGGGAGCGGCTGCGCTTGTAGGTAGGTAAGATTGTGTGACCTAGCACTTGCAACCTTCTTTTCTTGCCGCCGCTGCCCCCTTGCTCCACGAGAGCGTGGATCCGGTCGGATCGGACCTACCGTAGGTATCCGGAGCCATAGGCCCATAGGGATGTTCAGCCGACGGAGACAAATGTTGCTAAAACCCAAAATCCAAATTTGAATTTGAATCCAAGCCTCCACACCTGGAGATTTGTGTTCGAAACGCCGGGAGTCAAGATGGAACGGCGATACCGCATGAGACGGGTAGGCAGGATTCGGCAGCGGACTGTCCTCTCTAGCTTGATCACGTGGCAGACAAACGGCCGGGGCCCCAGTACAATTATGGGTGGCGGGCGGGCCAGCCGGCCGCGGCCCCCAGCCTGCCCTGCTGGTTCTAGCCTAGTACGTCACGGTCGAGTATTTGAGTGCGGGCCGCGACGCGGCCGCCCACGGGCCGGCGGGCGGCCGCCGGGACCCCAGAGACCGCCACGTGGATGTGGACATATGATCACATGCCGGCAGTTATGTGGACATCCAATGAGGCTCCAGAGTCCCGAGTCCCGACTCCCCGAGTCCCGACTCCTGAGCAGAACTTCATTAGTTTGGGAACTCCCTTCAATTTTCGGTTGCTATATACCATGCCAGAACTCTAAAATAGGAAGGAGCACGGCTGCACTGCTGAGTTCAACTGCATTGCAACTTTAAGGTTGCACATGATGCAGGACCTAAAGCTTGCATAACTGAAACTACAAACAGTTCTCCTCTTCAACCAGTGGCAGTCCATTGGCCCTCCACTTTAAGCTGATAAGTGGAAGCTGCCAATTGCAAGCGATAGCTGGCCCCTCTCAAGCCAAGCTGCCGCGCATCACTCCGCTGAGCTCCAATGGGGTTCCTGACAGTCCCGGTCCTGGGGGTTTCTATCCTAGGTGTGATATTCACGGTGCGCTTCATTCAAGCCCTGGACGCCACCAGGCCCGAGGCAGGCTTCGTCTCGCTGCGGGATAAGCTGCACGAGCTGGCGGGGGAGCACCCAGCTGCGGGAATGAACCATGGCATCAAGGTTGAGATCATCTTTCTGATACTTGCGGTTGTGGCGGACGGCCTCGAGTGTCTCTGGACTTTCAGCGTGCTCCTAATCGATCTCTTCAGCTACTGCTCGAAGGATGGGCTGGATGACCCCCTCTTCTCTGGGATGCGCGAGCAGCTGGCCCAGTATGCTTGGAAGGCTCCCGACATCACCTATGGGAGTCAGGTCATGCGGCTCATAGTCCTGGGCAGCATTTGGAACAAGGGCGCGTTCTACGGCTTGTTCTGCTGGAGAGGGGGGGCGGTGCTGAGGTGGCAGGAGGTGGGGCCGCACCTGCTGGAGCTCCTAGCGGGGGCCCATTCCTCCCCCTTGGGAGTACCCCCCCGGGGAGATAGCCGGAGCGGGCTACCCAACACGTGCACTTATGACGACGTCGCCAACAGCATACGGGGCACGCTGCTCCTCTCGTTCGTCACCTTCTTCGTCGTGCTGCCAGCCAGCTACGCGGGCTGCTTGTGGAATTTCGAACGGGGATCCCTCTCGTGCGGCGGCAAGGTGGGCTACGGCCTGGTCACGGCGTGGGGGTTCGTGTGGGCGCTCGTCACCAACTTCTTGATCAACGTCAAAGTGATGCTCTCCCTAGGGGCCCTTTTGAGCGTCCAAGCCTTCTACCTCGGCATTGACGACAACAAGCCGTTCATATTCTCCATCAGCGCCTGCCTCGTCGCGTCGGGGGCTGCCCGGAACCTCTGGGTTATGATGCAAAGCATCCTCCGCCAGACCATGTTCGAGCTGGGCTTGGTTTCGGAGGGACCCCCTGAATCCAACCGAGTAGTGGATAACACGCCCATGATGATTGCAGGCTTTTTAAGCATCGTTTTATATATCGTGTCAGCCGGGCAGCTCAAGCACTCGTCTATCCTTCGAGCGGACCTTGCGGTTGGCATAACCTGGCTAGTATTCTCAATACTGTTCATGCGAGTTGGATTTACGCTCCTACAGCTCCCCAGTGCCTGCTCCGTTTGTGCTTTAGCCTGTTGGGTTAACATGTTGAATAACCATGTCGACGACTTGGAGGCTAACAAGAGTGACATGGAACAAGGGCCGCCTACAACAGGTCCGCCAGCGCCTTTTGAGATGGAGGCACGAGCTCCGACCAGGGTAACTCGTTAAGTTATTCAAAGGTCTTGGGCAAGAATGAAGCACACTGGTGCATGGTGCACTGAACGCCGTAGGTAGATCAAGACTTTGTGTAAATATCTTTCAAACGGTTGCCAGATCATGCACTTATTTCCGATCTTAAATCTGAGCGACTTCAATGCATCTGTTCAATATTGAATAGAAAAATAGTGTAAGCTACCGTCTTCAATACAGGATCTGCTGCTGGCGGATCAGTAGCTAGAAATTAATGATGTTAGTCTAGTTGACCCTGAGTGTGGCAAGTTGCTCGAAAGATACTGCATCCAATCATGTTACAGAGAATATATGAACGTTTCCAGCATGGTAAATATTGTATGGTTCGAAACTTAAGGGCAACTTAGTTCCGACGCCACTGACGCCCATAAACTTGAAACTACACATGCTCATGCATTCAATATATCCGATCACTCGAAGCAGGCCTTTGTCGGATTGCATTCAAGAGTTGATAGTACTTGAATCGAGCCAGTCACTCAGTGGCTTTCAAATCAGTGCCGGTTACAGTGCAGCCTGGGTGCCGGCGGCCGCACATGACAGCCTGGGTGCAATGTTGTGTGATGGATGACAGTCATGCATGCAATGAACCAATATCCTCAACTGATCACGAGTCAAGTAATCGTCACTTTCATATCATTGATAATTGGATATCATATATGTTCGTTCGAGCCTAGCTGGTTAAATTAACATTTATAGCATAAGAATCGAACCATAACAATGAACGTGCCATCAAATTGCAGCCCCTCATGCAAATCAGTCTTCGAGGGCCGCCCTAGGCCGGAAACTGACTCGGCCGCCCCGCAGGCCGCGCTCGATCAGTCCTGCCGCGCCTAGGCAGGCGGCAGCCTGCGCGGTGGCCGTCGGAATGGCTGGTGAATTGGCCTTAAGCAATATGGATATACTGAGTATAGTCACTGCATGCCATGGCAACCTGAGCTGCCAACGTTTGTATGGCCATTCACGAGAGCTCTTCGAATCAGATCTGACGAGTTCACTGCTTGAATGATCGCGAGTGATTAAGCTAGCTCTGGCATGAGGTGGTGATGCGACGGTTAATGCAGATTCTGAGTCATAAGTCATCCGAATTGATACTTGATCTGACGAAATTAACGTGCCACTGGGTGTTCGATGAACCCTAAAACCCTAAAACCCTAAAACCCTAAAACCCTAAAACCATTGAATGACTTGCACATGTGCATGGACCGATCCGTGTGCAATGTGGGCGGCCACGATGGCTAAGTTCGTTACAAAACACATCGATAGAGGAATCAGACCTTCGTTGGTGAATGCATATGTTCAGCATGTTGACCAACGTGATTTAGCATCAAGCGCGGACACATTTTTGAGAATTAAAACATGTAGTATATTAGCTAGCTGAAGCTGATCGGTTGAATGCGCACATGAAAGAATATGTAATAACGATGTCAACGTACCTCAACCTCAAGCCTGTACGTGATCGTCGTTAGCCTCGGGCACCCTATCCGAATTAAGCCGCCGCCCTGCAAATGATTGCCACGACATGCCTCAGAGTCAGATGTCAAATATGCCGATCACAGTCACTTATGCGCCCCCAATGGTCACTTTTAGCACTCGCCGTAGTCAATAGGCCATGAGCTTCTCATGCCAGGCATACGTTTGTCATTCAGTGAGTGATGGTCGTCGATCTATCTCTGCTTATCATTGGACTGCTTAGGCTATGCATCTACCGGTTCGTCTCAACCGGATATACCTCACCAACAGGCTGATTAGAACACCTGGTCCAGAATCACTCGTGCATGAACATATCCAAGCGACTGATACATGCATATGACCGGACCGGAAATCAATATCCCTCGCACCTGCAATGTGCTCTAATAATTGCGCATGTGCCAATCAGTGGCGAACGACTCTGGCTTGCCTAGTTGTGCTGCACATATCCGTTGTATCATTACCATATACTTATCATGCATATTCTGTCGTTCATCGTTTGTTGAGCTTGTTTGCATGCGCTGTACTATAGAATTGTAGATTCCGAAACATGACGTACTTGCAGTCGCATGACAAATTGCAAAGTCAAGAAAAGCTAAATACCGTCAGGCTATGCTGGTCCAGGCTCCACGGCCAACGCGTCTAAGGGCATTGATAGATTGGAAGTTGCTCAGTAGAAGGATTTGAGCCACTGGCCCATCGTCACTTGCATAGGAACTTTGCCATGCATGTAGTACCATGTAAGCATGCCACATTTGATGCCAATCGACAAAGCTTGGCAGCGCCGTTGGTGTTGGCCAAGTGCTACAATGTGACGCCCATCAATGCTCAGTTTGTCATATGCATTGCCCGCTTGCAGCTACAAACTGCTCCGGTAGCTCCTCCTAGGGCTGCCTACCTACTTCCTACCCAGGCCACCTAAAGTGAAAGTTTACGACAGGGGGCTGCATGTAGGTCTGCTGGATCGAGATCACAAACGGGAGGATCGGATGGAACACATAAGACGCCACCCTCTTGGCGCGCCCGTCTCCGGATCCGCCCTCGGGCCCCGGCTGGATCTTGAACCGGAGGGCGTTGGCCCTGCTGCGCGACATGAACTTGATGGGGTGCTCCATACACGGCTTGTGCCGCTCGGCCGCAGAGACGAGCTTCTCGTCGTAGTGGAACAGCGACTGGTCCAGGTATGGCGACGGGCTCAGCGACTGGCACGTGAACGGCAGCAGCGCCAGTGCGCGCTTCACAACCTGCGGGAGGACAGACGTTCTTTCTGAGTCACCGCTGACGCACCGTTTGGAAGCAAAACCGTCAGGCCTTGCATGGGCGTGCGGAAAGTCCAAGGATGGAACTGCGGAAGATCCGAAGAGGCTGATTACTCCGGCTCGTCGTAGCATGCACACGGGAGAGGGACCACAGTGGCCGGCCACCAAGAGAACCGATGCCCACGACTTTGTGCCCCCGTCCCGCAACGGGGCAGTGGGCGACAATGACAGGGGAGGGCGAGGCAGGCGCACAAGAGGGGACAACCCCACAGCTCGTGATGCACCGCTCGAATTCTGCCTGCGAGAAACAAATACGCAAAGGCGTACTTCTCTAAGCAACCTGCTGCATGTTGGAGGCAGTGCCAGGACGACTGGGTTCCCGCCCTCAGTTGTTTCGTGCCGAGAGAGCGGGCTGCACCTGCGTGCTGCCGCCTGGCTTGCCCCCCTGCGCGGCCTCCTTCTGCTTGCGCAGGTGCTCGCGCGCGGGGTTGCTGTTGGCGGGGGAGCTGATGAAGCGCAGCCAGGCTGGTTCGTTGGGAGCTGTGCGGAAGTGGTCGCTAAATCTCTCCGCGGCGGCCAGCAGCGCTTCGCTCGTGTTTTGGAAGAAGCCCAGCACGGCCGTCGTCTCCATGTTGTACACCGCAAAGAAGGCGGCCGCCGTCGACGCGTCGCTGCCGCGCGCAGCCACGCCCTCTGCGGCACCAAACTTGAGCAGCAGGTGGTGCCTGCGAAACAGGGGGAGGCAGGGTCATGCGGGGCAGCCTCGAAGGGGCCTCCAGAGGGGAGGTCGGGCGACTGGAACAGTCGGGCCTTGGGCGCCGACCTGCGCTGACCTGAGGTGGTGCCGGCGCGTGCTTAAGCGAGATTTGGGTACGGGAGGGGTCGATGGGGGACCAGGAAAAGAGGCAGGGGAGAAGCCCGAGGCAGTGGCAGTGGCAGGGCTGCTGCTGGCCTGCCGAAGGAGTGGCGGGTGGACAGCGCCACACAAGGACCAACGCGCGAAAGGGGCGAACGGCGACTGCGGACCAGCCGGAGGAGGCGGCAAAGGTGGGCCCAAAGGACACTGCGGCAGGAAGTGGAGGAGGCGGGGCCAGTACGGCCGCGCGCAGCCCGGGACACTCGTGCTGGGAGAGCGACGACCACAGCGAGCAGGCAGTGGGGTCGAGGCAACGGCGGCAACGAGCCCGGTCGAGATCGTGCTCGGCAGGGTGCAGGCTGCACCTCGCCGCGTATTATGGCACCGCTCGTCGATGCCGGTGCACGCGCGCGGGGCCTCACCTGTCGAGCAGCTGCAGCTTCCACATGACCAGCTCCTCGTAGTGCTGCAGGTGGTAGAACACGCGCTTCAGCCGCGCCGCGCGCGCCCCCGCGTCCGCCTCCTCGTCCTCGTACGCCTGCCGGAAGATGAACGACAGCAGCCGCTGCTTCAGGCCGCCCAGCAGCCGGCCCCCGCCTGCGCCGTCGGCGGCGCCCTCGCCCCCGGCGGAGGGCCCCGGGGAGACGCCCTCCCCACTGTGCGCCTCGTCCAGGCTGCCAGGCCGCCCACTCAGCCCTGCACCCAACGGGCAAGAGAGCGGGGTCAGAAAAAAAGGAGCCGACACTCCCAGCCGCAGGAGAGACCAGGCAAAGGTCGCAAGAGGCAAACTGGGCTCGCACGAGCGGGGTGCGAGAGCAGTGTCCTGCAGTGTATGGGTCCTGGTGGCAGGAGGAGCGGACATGAGGGGTTGGCTGCACGGAGCAACAGGAGACCCTCACGGAGCTTACAGGGAAGCAGCGGCAGATTGGTACCGTCAGAGCTGTCGCAAATGACCGTAAATGTGGTCTTGCGGGACTTGGTTTGGTGACAATAAAGTTGCCGGAGAATCGAAGGTTAGCGAGGGGTCCTTTACGTCTTGCAGAGCAACAGTTGGTGGCAGCGCTGCCTGATAAGAGGTGCTCCACTGGTCGCATCAATGACAGTGCGGTTGGCAAAGGATGTAGCGCAGGGACGGCTTTAGTGACTGCGTGGCGTAGGGCTGGTGCCACAGATTGGGTTCCTACACATGCTACGTGCCTCAGTGATCGAACCACCAGGAACAGACGTTCATCCGAACCTTTCATGAAGAGCCACTTGACAGCTCCGGCATGATCGTTGCTGAGCGCAAGCACAGGACCGGAACCATGAAAAAAACCTCTCGAGTAGTACCATATAAGTTCACTCAAAGTGCAGCAACTGGGGCATGAGCAGTGACAGCAGACAGTGCCTTGACTCACCGCTGGCTGTGGCCGTGGCGGCCCCCGACAGCGGCCCCTGCTGCCGCCCCCGGGCCGGGGACACGCGCGGCGCCGTCCCGCTGTGCGGCCGGGCTCCTGAGGCGAGGCTGGTGCCCAACTGGCTGTCCCGCCCACTCCAGGCTGCAGGCAGGCCGCGGCTTGCCAGGCCGGGGGCGCTTCTCCCGGCCCCCCCCAGCAGGGAGGGGCCGCGGCCCACAGGCAGAGCGGCGCGCAGGGGGAGCGGTCGAGCAGGGCCGTCCAGGTGGCGCGCAGACGTGGCAGTGGGCATGCTGACGTCATCAAGCGGCTCGCTGGAGGTGTGGGACTGCGTGCGGCTGCTGACCACGTACTCGTACCGCGGCGCAGCGGACGCGGGCTGGTACGGGGAGTACAGGCCTGTGGGGGAAGGGGGAGAGCAGGACGATAGGGAAAGATCAGCAAGTGGAGACAGCCGCACTAGCGGAGGCCCGAGGGCTCAGAGCACAGAGAAAACCCGCTCGAGTGAGGATGTAGTAGCGCAGAGAGTGGGGGCCTCTGAGCTGGGGGGGGCACCTCGTGGAAATCATCGGCAGCCCATGATTTTGGCTGGCATGGCCTGGGCCCCTTGTCCCGAGAGCCACATGCACGGGTACTGCACAAGCTAGCTATGCAGCGCACCATGTGTTCAAGGAGCACTCCCCAAACCCCGATGCTTTCAAACTCCAACCTTTGGAGATAGAGAGCTCTCTTTACGCCTGCCAAGTGTCGAAGTTTGGGCACCACAGAGCTGTGCACCCTGCATGGTGCCTGCGCCCCACTTTGCTATCCCCACCCGCCTCCCCCTGCGTGCTCACCTGCCATCCTGCCTGCCGCCAGCAGGCCCTCGCTCGCGGCCCTGCTCCCTGGCCGTCCCTCGTTGTCGTCCCCCCCGCTGCTGGTGCTGGCCGCGCGCACCGCCCCCACTGCCTGGTGCAGGTGCGCAAACCCGCTCCGCCCAGGGACGTTCCAGAGCCCCCCCCCCTCACGCCGCCAAAACGGATGTGGCGCAGCGCCCCACAGGGGGCCCTCCGGCGGCGTGAGGGGGGCCCCCCACTCTGGCCCCAGCGGCCGCCGTGCTGGGGGCGGGTCAGCCTCGCGTGGCGCCTCCCTGAACGCTCCTCCCAGGTGCTCGATGAGGTCACTCGTGTACACGCCCCCATGCACCGTGCGCAGGCCTTGCCCCGGCCAGCGCGGCACTGCGGTGCTGCCTGCGCGGCCGGTTCCTGCCCCATGCATGCTCTCGCCCGCCGCGGTGTGCTCCCTTTGGTCAGGGGGAGCAGCCCTGCTGCGGTGCTTTAGCGGGGGACTGCTGCCAGCTGCGGCCTGCCTGCCAAGTGTGGCCATGCCTGGCTCCTCGGGTCGCAAACGTAACCCCTCGCTATGCAACGCTAACCTCGGAGCAACAGCGGGAGGACCGCTTCCTTCGTCCTCGTCTTCGATATTGTACACAACACCCCCTTCCAGTCCCACACCGAGCTCTTCCTCATTTCCCTGCCCATTGGGCCGCCCCCTCCCCAGCCCCTCCGCCAGCCTGATGCGCGCCCCCCCATCCGGCCCCGCCGCCTCCACCATTGCCCCTGTCCTGTTGGGCAGCCCGGCCAGTGGGCCCCCCACCCTTTCCGCTTGCACCCCCACCCGCTGCGCCTGCCCCACACCCCCCCTGTCGTCACCGCCTGCCTGTTGGCGCTGTGTGCCATTCCCAAACGGCTGGTACAGTGCCACGTGCGGCCACCTCGACGCCCCTGCGCTGCGCCCGCTGTCAGACCCAAGCTGGAGGCCGCTGCTGCCCGCCCCCCGTGCAGCCTCCCTTGCCCGTGCCGGTCCTGCCCCACCCCAGCGCTGTGTGCGCTCCTCCCCCGAGTCGCTGTCGGGCAGCTGCCAGTGCGCCTGCTCCCACGCGCTCATACGCTCGCGCCGGCTCTTGGGCCGCACTGCGCTAAAGCGCCCCATGGGGTCGTCCTCCTCGTCGGGGGGCACCATCCAGGTCCCCCCCCCGGCCAGCCCGCGCAGCCCCTCCTCCCCCACACCACTCTCCGGCAGCTGCCGATGCGCCGTCTCCCACTCGTCAGCCGCCCTCTGCAACTGCGGCCCAGCTGCCCAGCCGGCGCGCCCAGGAGGCACGCCCTGCCAGCCTGGCAACTCGGAAACCCGGCCTGCCCCCCTCTCTGAGCGCTGCTGCATGTCTGGGAGGTTTTCCACCACAAGTGTGCCTCCCTCCCTTGTCCTCCCCACCTGGCGCTTCGAGTCCACTTGCAGCCCCACCGTGCCCCCGCCCGTTTCCAGTGTGTCCGTCTGCTCCCCTTCCTCCTCGCTCTCCGTGTACGACGCTGTATGGCTGTTCGTGGGGGCCCCTCCGTGCAGCCGCATTGGTTCCGCGTCACTCTTCCCCCACAGAGGAAACGCCCCTGGCTCTCCGCTGTCCTTCTTGGCCCCCCCCACGTCCTCCCCCTCCCCCGCGCACTCTGCCTGGCCCCCCAGCAGCCCCCCCCCATACGGGAAGCGGTGCGCCTGTGCCCCTTCCTGCCCAGGCACCTCTGCTGCGCCCTCCTGGGCAAAGTCTGACGTGCACTCGTCGGTGTCGCTCAAGTCTCGTTTCCCCAGCCGCCCTGCGACGCCCCCGTCGCTCCCCAGCCTTCCCCGCTTGCCTGCCTGCGAGTAGTAGCCGTGCAGGCCCCCCCACTCATGCGAGATGCCCGCTTTTTCTGCATCCCTTTTGAGCCCCACCTGTGGCCTCGAGCTGACCTCCCCGCGTGGTGCTTCCTCCCCTGGCCCCGCCCCCCCCTCCTCCGCTGCCTCGTCGTGCAGCCCGTCCCCGCGCCACACCTCCGCGCTGCCCCCCTGCTCCTGCTGCAGCCGCTGCCGCAGCCCCTCCAACCGTGCGTGCAGCTCGCCGTGTCCCGCCGCTGCGTTCTTTGCCGCCAGCTCCTCGTCGCTCATCCTGGCGCCCTCCCGCACCCCTTCCGGGAGCCGCTTGAAGTGTGCCGCAAAGCCCCCCCCCGCGGGCGGCGCGCTTGGGCCTGCCGCCAGGTGTGAACGCCGCCTCTCCTCCAGAATGCTCAGCATCCCTCCGTCGCGCCCTGCTGCACCACCTGCACCACGCCCGCCATTCTCTCTGCGCTCGTACGCCCGCGCACGGCTCCCCTCTGGCCCACCCTCTTTGCTTATTGGTACCCCGGGCCCAACATAGCTCCTCATTCCCGAACCTCCAACGGAAAGCACTTCCGACTCTGGTTCCCTGTCGTCCCCACCTGGACTCTCCAAGCCTCGGAACCTCCACCCCTGACGCGGCCCTCCTTGGAGTCCCCACGTCTCCGAGTCCCCCTCCAGGTCCGCACTCTCCGCTCTGCGCGCGCTCTCGGCCTCCACCCTGTCGGACGGGGAGTCTGACTCGTTGTCCTTGGCGGCGGTGGGTGCGGCAAGGCCGGCCCTCCTGCGCTGGCGTGCCTTGTCGCGCTGGAAGCGCACCTCCGCGTCCGCCTGCCACTGTAGCACCAGCTCGTCGTCCTCCCGGCAGTGCGGCCCAATCGTGCGCACATCCACGAAGCGCCCCGCGCCCTCACGCACCTGCGCAAACATAGAAGGGGCGTCTCCACATGAATTGCCACAGAGGGTGCACCCCGGCACCACAAATGCGGATAGCGTCTTCTGCTGCCATGCCCACCTGTGCCCGAATCACAAGATGAAGTGCTCAAAAGCAGAAATAAGGCTTTGACGAAGTCGCGCTTTTCTGTTATAAGAACGAATATCAACATCGCATGCTGCGTCACCTCAGGCTCAGCTACCAGACCAGACTGCCGCCGCACAGCGAAAGCTACCTTGAGTTGAGGGCACACAAAAGCAGTGTTCCAAGGTTTATCCGAGCTGGAGCCCGTGGCCACGGCGGCTGACCTGCAGGATGTGCACGCACTGGAAGCGCACGGAGAGCACGGCGAGCAGGTCGTCGTAGAGGAAGACGCCCGCGTTGTGGCCCAGGTGGATGAAGTCGTCGCGGAACACGCGGCGGTCCACCACCTCGCCGTCCGCCAGGCGCAGCAGGTGCAGCGTGATCACATCCGCAGCAGGCACGCCGGGGAGGGCGCCCCGCGCCGCCGCCGGGTGCGAGTCCGGTTGGGAGGACGTGGCGCAGATGACCAGCTCACCGCCCTCCGCAAGGAGGAGGAAGTCCTTGCACAGAGTCTGCACAGGGAAGGGGGCCAGCACAGGGTGAGCACGGAGACAAGCCCTCAGCAGGGGCCCGACAAGCGACGCTCAGTACAACAGCCGTGTCCGCACAGAGGAGCAATGCCACAGTGCTGACTAGCGGCACTGCCATCAACGGAAGAGCGATTGAGCTTGACTGAGACAAGAGGCGTGCAGCCCCAAGCTGTCCAGGGCCATCCCACTCGCCGCAGGGGAGCAGCACCAGGGGCGGCCAGGTGTCCACTGGGGCGTACCTGTGCTGGCTCTGCGGCGTTGGACACAAGCGTGGTGGCATAGAGACGCGTGAAGTAGGCATCAAACTTCCTGGCCTCCGGAGGCAGCTCGCCGTCCTGCTCACCAGGCGGCAGCGGCCCGCCCAGGCCCTTGAAGCGGTACACAATCACCTCCTGCACCCCAGCAACAACAGCGGCACTTTCAGCACCGCCTCAAGAGCCGCCTGGGCCAGAACCTGTCCCTAACTCGACAGCAGCAGCGCCCAAAAACAGGGTTCTCACCTTCCTGCTCCTATATTGACAGACGAGTGAAGCAGGACTGCGCAAGGGTTTACCAAAACAACGTGGTCGTCATATCCCCAGTCGTAGGTCACAAAATTTCTGGTGCCTGGCCCTTGAGGAAAGTCATCCGAGTGGAACCAATATCCTGCCTTGCCCAAAAGATCTCGTGAAAGCAGTGTACATAGTTGGTGCTGAGGCACACTCTGCTGCTGTCAGCAGGCGGATTGGCCGCCATCCCGGGGTGCCGCGGTGGGCCGTGCCTCACCTGCTGCGTCCGGCCAAAGCATATCAGGTACTGGCCATCGCTGGTGAACTTGCGGATGCTGTGGTCCGGGCACTCCACATCGTGCACTGTGTGGTTGGGAACAATGTACTCGCATAGTTCCCGGCAGCTTCTGATCGCTGCCCCTGGCCGTGGCGTGCGAACCTCCCGCGCCCGCAGCCGGAACAGCAGGTTGTCCTCCGGTGCGGACGAAGAGTCCATCCTCACAGCCTGGGGATGGCCGGCCAAAGCGCTCCTGCCGTATGCATGGCCTGCAAGGGGCACGGCAGACCGGGCAGACTCCCAGACGGGTAAAAGCCCTCACTCAGCAACGTTGTGCCAATTTGTGATAACGCTTGCCTTCTCAAATGAAAAAGGTCACGGCCCCTTGAATCAAAATACCCTTTTAGAAGCACACGCTGCAGTGCTTCCTTCCCTTCAGCCAAGGAAGAATTGCTGTAACCGCTCTGCACTCTGCACCATGCCAAGCATGATGGCGGACGCGTCGCAGAGGCGACTCGGAGTCGGGCCAAACTCATGAAACTTAAAGCATTGCCCCGTCGTGTCGATTACCTGCGTCTCCGGTCGCAGGGATTCCCGAGGACTTTCGTCCCGGCCAGCCAGCCACAGGCAGCCCCCGGTTGTACGAGCTGGGGGAAAGGCGGTTGGCTCTACCGGCCAGCTGAGCGCCCTACGGACCTGTCGACTTTACCAGCTACCGAGCTGGCGGGGTGCCTTCGGCACCAGCCAGGGTCCCTTCCCGGCCAGCCAGGTCCGCCCCAGGCTGGGAACCCCTGCTGGTCAGTTTGTGAGGAGGACCGGGGCCGACCCAGCACAGTTGTTTGCGCGGACTGACGCAAAACTGACCGGGGTTGAAGTCCGTTCTTTCCGCCGGGTTGGACGCCGCCGGAATCCGCATTCCGCGAGCTCTCGCGAGCGGTCCACGGTAATTCGAGTTGGCTAGTCCAGATGATAATCTCGACCATTGTACGTTTGACATTGCCAGTAGGTCCTATTTGTTATCGTTGGTCGTTATTGGGTGTGTCTTGATTGTCGCGGTCGTTGACTGGTTACTTCTTTTCATACACCCTAAAACTCAAAGAAAAGGGACACGCTTGAGGCACGCTTCAATGACATGATCTGACCGATACACAAGCCGGATGTAGTAATAAGTCGATAGCTAGTGACGGGGGAACGTCTTCAAGCCGGAAAGTGCGCTGCCATGCATCATTGGCCAAACCGGAGTGTGCCGCCCGTCAAAAAGAATAAAATGGTGCAGTGTCCGTTTGCTTCGATCGCGCTCAGTTTAAATTTGAATTTCTCTGATAATCAGAGAAAGATCAAAAGCTTTGATACACACGTCAGCGTTACGGCGGATATCTTAGGTACATGACATGCGGGGCCTGAACCATATGCATGCACCGAGAACTATATGCAGCGGCCGGTATCAGATTGACCTATGGTCGGAACAAAGTGAACCTGACGTCACACCAGGCTCGCGGCTGATGAGTCGGAAAATGAAGGCATAATAATTAAGCTCTACATGTTTACTAGGTATCATTCGAGGTTTTGGCGCAAAGGAGCTAAGCACTCACATGCGATACGATTTCTTGAATGATTCGAATGTCAGAAGGAGCATAAGACGATATAAAATCGTCAACCAAGGGGGAGATTGTACATCCGCGACTGCTATACAAGAGGTTCCTCAGGAGCGGATCCTAGGACGATGAAGCGGCCATGCAAGCTCAGCCGTCAACTGTTTATGGTTCTTTGAGTGCCCATCTTAACTTGTCTAATGGTCTACTTACATGTAATCGCAACACGTTATATAATACAATTTTCCAGCTTTCCCACTTTCGCTTCCTTTTAAAGACTAAGTACAGCGCACCCAATGAGCAGCCCCTCCCCAACATTTCCCCCATCTGCAATCACCTTCCAAGGGCACTTCCCGTCGCCACCCCCCTCGTACTGATGCACCTGCAGCCTGGTCTCTTTTCCCCCCCTTTTCGGGTTCGCCGCGTACGCCGCCCCCACCAGGATGAGCTTTCCCCCCAAGGCCGCCGGCCGCAGCGTGTGGCAATGCGGCTGCCCCGCGGCCATGGCCAGCGGCGCCACCGTCTCCCACCGCTTTGCCGCCGGGTCGTAGGCTGCCACGTACTTGTACCCCTCGTAGATGTTCTCGAAGTGCAGCTGCGGCAGCGCCCCCGGCGGCCGCGCAGGCTTTGCGGCGTCGCTGCGCGTCAGCATCCACAGGCGGCCGTCCACGGCGGCCAGCGGGCCGGGCCAGCTCGTGGTGGGCCACGCGTCAGGGTCAACCGCCCATGTGGCGCTGTGCGGGGGGAGCACCTCGGTGGAGTGGTGCACCCCGCGGTGGTTGTACTGCGGCTCCTGCTCGCCAAACACCCACAGCGCGCCGCCGTCCCCCACGACGGCCCTGCACCAACACGGAGCCACGCTGAAATAAGGACTTGTCTGAGAGCTGCTCTCAGGTGAGAGGCGCCTGCTTACCATGTCGTTTCGACAGACGGGATCTTCTGCCGCACGCAGGCTTGTTCCGCCTGAGAGAGGGGACGCTGCTGCACGCAGCCTGGGCCGCCCCAAGCGAGCCTGCCTCCGAGGTACGACTGCATGCAATCAGCGCCTCCTGGCAGCTGCCCTCTGGTCACCCATGTGCAGAACGGAACTTTTCCAATCCGTGCATTGAGCAAAAACTTTGATAACTTTTGCCACACTGGTCCTTCCCACAGCAAGACCGTCCCCTCTACCGACCCCCTCCCTACGCTCCTATCTCCCCACTTTGAACTGACCTGCACCCGCTCCTGCCCCGCACCAGGTCCGGCTTGCGCGTCCAGCGATCCGTGGCCACGTTGTATGCCTCCACGCTGCGCGTGCGTATCCCGTGGGTCAGCCCGCCTGCAGAGGGGCACGCGCGCAGTAAGGAGGAGCCACAGCACCCGTGAGTTGTCTGAGTGGGTGGCCGCATAAGTTTCACCAGGAAAGGAGATGCCCGTCAAGTGAAGCATGTCCTACCTCGGCAGGGCGCAAGAGCAAAGCCTTGCAGCGAAGCATAAGGTATCCACTCTCAAGCTATAGACGCAATTCAGCTTGAGGTGGCAACGAGTGAGAACAAGAGGCGTCCGCTTGGGGACCCTGCACACAGGATTGGCATGAAGGCGGGCCCTGTGTCCAGGACGCACCCACAACTTACAATCAAACAATTCGTCCCTACACGAGCGGTTGTAGTCGCTCATTGTGACGGCGAGGTGAGACTTGTGTTTCTTGTGTATGGGGCGAAGATCGACTGAAGCGAGCGCGAAACAGATCAAACCCCAGGAAGCCGGACTACTAGGGACAGACGTCTCTAGCTTTTGAGGACTGATGTACGATGAGCTCACGGTCTGCACTCTTCACGGACGGGCCTCGCCTACGGTGATGATCCCACAGTCAACGTAAAGAAAGGGCTACAAGCTCATGAAACGCTGCAGTAATCGACCTGGAAACAAACTAGTCTGTCGTAAGCTCTTTTCGAAAAAGGTCCAGACGCCCTGGACCTCTAGAATTACGAATCAAGGAGGGCATCCCACCTGCGACAATGACCTCCGACCCCAGGACCGCAGCCGCAAATGCTTCCCTAGCTTCCAGCATGCTTGTCCGTCGCTCCCACGTGTTGGTGAAGGGGTCGTACAGGCACACGTCCTGCACAGGCAGCAGCAGAAGTGAGGACCACTCAGAGGTGGGGCTGCTAAGAGCAGACGCGAGGGGAAAGTCAAAATGAGACGACAAGTCGTCTCACAAGGCCCAAAAGCGGAGATAGCAATTCAAAGCAGATCCCGGCAGGCTCCTCTTCAAGAGACCAGAAGTCAGCAGAAGAGAATAGGATGCTAGGCAAGCGCCACAAGTAGGGACACAGCCTAATCGACTATGCTTGAAGTAGACGCAAAGCGAGCCCGCGAGGATCAAAAAGGCAGCCACTTTCAAGAAGCACGTCCATTCTGTCGAGGTGCACCCTCCTCCTACACCTGATAAAGCCCAGACCTTCAATCTCCCTCAGCTTCTGAACTTAGCGGCAAGCTGTGTAGTGCGGAACAGATTGCCTTGTTTGAAGTCATGGGTTACACTGTTTGCTTTACAAGTGTCAGCGCTGGGATTACCACATGCGTATGACGGAAAAACATTGAAAGCAGGAAAGCCAAGCTGCAAATCTCTCTTAGGACAAGCATCGGCCTGAGAGGTTTTGCATGGTCACAGAAGGATAAGACTACACTCACTAATCGCACACGCTCGTCCTGGTTATTATATTCCTGACGACGTGATAGAGCAACGGTCCACCTCGACAAAATTGAGAGCCTCTTGATGACAATTGCAAGGTCAGCATCAAGGTTCTCATTACAGTGCTGGTTTGAGAGAGGTGACGAGCAGATGCACAACCTTGACTAGTTCAGATCTCGCGTTCTTTCATGAGATAGACCCAACAACGTCAAGCGGAATCTGAACCTTCAGATTCAGAAGAACAACACACGGTCTGAGAGCCAGAAGACGTGACTACGATTACATTTGATGTGACTGGAACCAGGACATAGCACTGAACCTGCCTGACTCTGCCTGCTAATGGATCTGATCCCCAGTTTACACTTTCCGCATGTTGCCCCACACCCTAGAATCTACAGAACCAATTGCCTCAGATGGCAAGTAATTTTTCAATGAGGGAGCCTGTAACTTGGATGGTCGGTAATAAGAAACACATTCAAATGAGGACCTCTCCTCGAGACCTGCCGCGTCTGTCCTACCTGTACAAAGAAGTGCCCCAGGTACACCGCCTTGCCACTGCAGTGCGGCTCCTGCTGCCGCCTGAGCAAGGAGAAGGGAGCGCCATCAGTGGGTTCATTGATGGAGAATCAACATACGACGCTTGTTACTAATGTGTCCACGTCTTTTAACAGAACTTATACAGCGCGCTGCTAATCTGGAACATTGTGGCTTTCAGAGCCTAACCTGACAAGGTGGTTGATCGTGGGCTGTTGGGGCTGTTCATTCAGGAGAAAGAATCTAGGATTCCCTGCTTTCGACATACTGTGCGTTGGTCTGAGCCCAGAAACCGCACCTGATCAGCAGCACTCGCCCATCCACCGCCAGCACGTCGGCGCTCTCGCGGGGGTCCAAGGTCTTGGGGGTGGGCGCCAGGTGGCGCCAGCGGTTGGTGGCGGGGTCCCAGCAGCGCCAGTCCGTCCCCGCATCCGTCCGCATCAGCACATACAGCCACTCCTCCGCGCACCCCAGCCGCTTCCGAGTATCTAAGATCTCCCTGCTCGTGAGAGCCTCCTTCCAGGCTCGCGACACACTGCTCAGGCCCGCGTACAGCCCCCGCGGCACGCGCGCCAGGCACTGCATGGCCACATCGTTGGTCAACCCCGGGATGAGCGTCAACTCGGCGAGACGGTCGGCCGCCGCTGCTTCTGCGTCAGGCTCGAGAACCGGTGACATGTGCTCAGATGCCGCCACCTTGGCGGAGCGCCTATGCTCCGTCGAGGAGCGCCCCTTGGTGACGGCAAATTTCTTCTTGAGCCACATGTTGTTGATTAGCTGCCCCGCCTGCAGCACTGCATGCGCGCCCGCCGCCATTGTTATGTGCTCGCCCCCAACGTCCAATCAGTACGTTCGTGAGCGACAACAGGCCATGTGTCTTGGCTTCCTCTAGACGGCAACTTCAACTTCAACTTCAAGTCAGCCTGCACTCTTGTAGTCTCTAGGATACACGCCAGCACGGGGTGCAGTTGAAACTTTTTAGAACAGCGAGCTGGAGAAGTGCAAATTCTGCAGACTTCCAATGCTTGGATTGAAACCGTCAGAAACGCGATGAATGCCCATTGGCTGGGGCATGAGCCACGAGTGCATCGATGTCATCATGCACTCAGATATTTTGGCATGACGTGAGCAGAATCTGGATATAGCTCTAGCTAGCATGTACGTGAACCCTATGAAACCCTAAGGGTGTCGTTCCACGAGCGGTGGAAGTAGAAATATAAATTCCCTGATTGGCCCAAATTGTTTCTGCCGTCGGTCAACGGGCGGACTTCCGGGCAAACAAATGCCACGTCGGCGGCACAACTTATATTAAAACTCGACCCGAGTATTTGTAGGGTCGAACAAAAATATTTTTCTGTGCCGGGACGTGGCACCCAAACAGCGAATGAGACGACGCCATGTCGGATTCTGCAGTAAGTGCGCACTTTTTAAACGCAACTTCCACCGGCGAGCTATTCCACGAGCGGCCGGAAATTGGTGATATATTGAACTTCCAGGCAAATTCCGGCCTCTTCAGAGCCACATCTTTATTTTATTTTCCTGACTTCCACCACCGCTCGTGGAACGACACCCTAAGGCTAAAACCCGTGGTTCCTGACCGTCTCGACGAAGGCGCGCGCTCGCGATTGCAAGCGAGACTCGACCGTCTCGTCACCATGCCCACTATTTGCGCATGGTGCAAACGAGGTGCCGCAGTCCTGTTTTCCCAGGTTGGCTCCTGCGAGGGCTGACTGGTGCATTCAAGTGCAAGCGGCCTAAGTCGCAGGGCAGCCTCACAAGGACCTCTAAAAGCATGTTGCTCAGCAGGTCTCTGCTCTGCCATTGAGCAACGTACTCGCCTAGCCACCACAAGAACCCGCGGGAACCAGCAAGGACTTGAGGGGGAAGACTTGATCACCGCAGGTACTGATCCTCGAAGTAGTTTTCTTAGTAAGCACGCTAGGAAGCACACTACGGGGCTGAGCTTCCATGGCAAGGAGATATGCGCTGTACTGCATCATATAAGTCATTCCTGGTCACAGTGCTGACTGGCATCCTTTGCAAGCCGCCAGAAGAGGCTGAATGCTGGACATCTTTTGTGCTCCACTATGCTTTCTATCCCTAAGCAAGAAGGTGGTCTTGGCTGATCAGAAGGGGGACGAACCTGTGTGCCCCTGCCTAATGCTACAATTCCCAAAGCTACATTGTCTGGTGGGATTGTCAAGCTCAACATAGGTTCAAACCCTTTCTTCTTGCTCAGAGTGGTGGTGCGCGCCTGTGTAAAATAAAACTCCCAATCAAAGGACACTGAAGCTTTGAAGGTTTGAGCCTGCAGTAGCAGCACTGTCAAAGATGCCACTACAACCCACTTCGACTTACAGCAGTCAAGGCCTTATTTGACCACCAGAGCTTCGCGGGAGCCCCAGCCCAGCCCAAGTCACTAAAAACCTCTTCAGCAGACCTTTCGCAGCGGCCCAGCTTCAGCTGGTAAGACTGCCCTTCTGACAGTCAGCAAGCAGAAGCTGTCGTCATGTATCAAGCCTGAGAATGTGGAGGCCTGATTCCCGCTCTGCAGGCCGTCCTGTGGTCATGGCACGCGACGACCCGCTGGTGACCGCCACCAGCCGCGAGCAGGCCCAGGTGGCGGCGCTGGTGGGGGGCCTGTTCCAGCTGGCGGCCCCTGCTCTTCCGCAGGCGGCCACCATCCAGCTGCGGCGCCGCCAGCACGTGGCCTACCTGGAGCGGGGGCTGGACTACATGGGGCCAGGCTATGCGGTCAGGCAAAGAACAGCGGCAGTTTTGTTTTGCGAGTTGGTGGTGCCCCTTACAGTGCCTCTCATCTTATTTTGGGTTTCAGCACTATGAACATGCCTCATCACTGTCCTCATTCTGCTCCTTGATGCTAAATGTTAGAGATGGGAGGCTAAGCATGGGTCCCCTGTATATATACGACCCATTCAGATTGTCAACAAGGTCTTCTGGTACTTTGCGCCTGTCTGAAGTCTGAGTCAGAAGCAGGGCACAAGTGGGAAGACTTCAGCCGTTTTAAAATCTTGGTTTTGACCTCATTTTGTGGTGGTGTCATGCCCCGCCCGGAACATCTCTCCTTGCTGTTTTGTCTGGCTCCATTCTGCGGGTGACCTATGGATGCCTCTGGTGAAATCGCGTCTTCCCCTCTGTTTGATTGGTTGTCCTGGCCAAGCCATGTTCTTTATCCGACATAATTGAAGATTTCTTTCTTTCGTTCTCCAAGTTCCTTCCTTCCCCCCCTTTGTGTTCTGCTGTTCCTGCCAGGCTGCTGCTACCGGACAACCCGGCCAGTTTTCCTTATCACCTGCATGACACGCAGCGGCATGCTCTGGTGCCGCAGGTCCTGGACTCCAGCCGGCCGTGGCTGTGCTACTGGATCCTGCACTCCCTGGCGCTGCTGGGACAGCCCATCACCCCCGACGTGCGCAACAGGTGAGAGGACGGGGCTGTACAAGTGTGTTCCCAATTTTCGTCACAGCATCCTCATGAACCATGATTGAAAAACCCCTGATCGAGGTAGCGCTGAAGGCGAGGGAGAAGCTCCTACTTCATTAGAGGTTCGTTCACTTGAGCGGCAAAAAACATCTGCACCAGAACGAGTTGGCGTTAACTTGTTGGCTACAGGTGCAAGGAGAGAAGGGACTTGTCAGGTTGCTTGCGGAGCTTTGGATGTCTATTGGCACAGCCGTGACGGGCAAGGGGGCAGGAGCAAAGGCTCTGATGGCTGCAACGCCACCCGTTGGCGCCACCGCTCGAGTTGCTTGAAAATGGAACCTACATTGGCAAGCTTACCTAGTGAGCCGTTAACTCTTGCTTGAGACGTACAGATTTCAAACAATCACTCCGTTCTTCGAGACGAGTTCTGTACTGATGCAGCTCCACTTCCTTCGGGCGTCAATTTTCGTCGAGATTCTGACTCCCGACTTGCCTTTGATGGGAAGGCGTCCCGAAGCCTGTCCCTTCTACACGTCCAATCTGTCAATCTTAACTGATAGAGCAGCGATAAATCGTTCTTTTATCGCACGACAGGGTGCCTCCCCGGTTCCAAAACTTCTGCCAGCCACATAGATCATTCTTAACACCAGCCTGCTCTGGCGCGCTGCAGGTGCATCGACTTTCTGAAGCGGTGTCAAGACCCGCGCGGTGGCTACGGTGGTGGTCCCGGCCAGCTGCCGCACCTGGCCACGACCTACGCAGCTGTGTGTGCGCTCGTGACTGTAGGAGGCGCCAAGGCCCTCGATTCTATCGACAGGTCAGCCCCTGCGAGGCCCCGCAGGTCCATTACACGGTGCTGTCATCCGCGCTCCCATCCTGGAAGAAGCGGTCGGGCCCAGCTCGGGGCTCCGGATTTGTCCCAAAAATTTCTGTCGGTCTACGTCCACATCTCCCTAGCAGTGGGTCAGTAACAGCCCTGTCGCGGCAAGCAGGTGGAACGCAGCCTCGTCCCGCTGTGTGGGAGTCACCGGAGTGCATGTCCTCCCTTGTACCTGCTATTGGGCTGTTTTGTAAACTCATGGGACAGCAACGGCAGGCCGTCCGCGGGGCAAGAGGTTTGCTTGGAGCACAATTCTGTCCTTGGTTCCTTTGCTCTCGCCAGAGCCTTCCTCAGCGGTGTGCTCCATTCGGAAGGCATTCGTCTCGTACCAGTTGCAACTCTTACGAAGCTGAACACAGGAGATAGACCCGTTCACTGTCCCGGTTGTCGGGCAATTTCTGCCGTGACCCCGCGCTCCTTTGGCAGGCCTGCGCTGCTGTCGTTCCTGGTGCGCATGAAGGCTGCGGGCGGCGGCTTCCACGTGCACGCGGACGGCGAGGTGGACGTGCGCGGCAGCTACTGCGCGCTCGCGGTCGCGCACCTGCTCAACCTGACCAGCCCCCAGCTCACAGCCGGTGTCGGCGCCTACGTCGCCACGTGCCAGACGTACGAGGGCGGCATCGGGGGGGAGCCGGGAGTGGAGGCGCATGGGGGGTGAGCAACGCCAATCCTGAGCCGGTTCATGACAAGTCCTGCCTTTTGTATCGATGTTCGCTGCTTAGCTTCTTTGATCAAACACAGGGTTCTTAAAATGGGGAAAGCGTGTCGTCTGGCACAGCTGTGTGGAGGATTCAATGACCAACATTTGGGCTGCTTCAACGAAGGCAGACCTCGTGACGCTGCTGGCACGACCGGTTGCCATGGTCGGTCGCCAAAACGGAAAAAGCCAGCGCCATGCAGGTGCTTGAACCCACCTACTGGTTGGACGAAGGCCGTCCGATCCAAAGCCGATTACTGGGTCTCGTGCTTTCTGTCCTGCACACCGCCGCTGCTCGCCTTAAAATCCCTACAAAGGAACCTTTTGCCTTCTCGCTGGCGTTCTCGGCCGCCCCTTGCTCTGCCTAACTGGTGTGGGCCATTGCCGTGGCGGCAGGTACACGTTTTGCGGGCTGGCGGCCGCGCTGCTGGCGGGCGAGGCGCACTTGGTGGCGCTGCCGCGGTTGCTGGGGTGGCTGGTGGCGCGGCAGGGCGCCGCGGAGGGCGGCTTCCAGGGGCGCACCAACAAGCTGGTGGACGGCTGCTACTCCTTCTGGCAGGGCGGCACCGCGCTCCTGCTGCAGCGCGTCATGCCGCAACTGGCCGCACAGGCAGGCGGCGCGGGGAGGGGGGCGGGCAGCGGGGACCAGCAGGGGCGCAGGACGGAGGCCGAGGCGGGCGTTGAGGGCTTGAGGGAGAGCCCGAGTGAGCCGGGGGCGCGGCGAGAGCAGGAAGGCTCGAGTGAAAGAGAGCGGTGGGGCGATGAAGAGAGCACGGAGCAGGAACAGGGGAGGGGGGGTGCAAATGAAGGGCGGAGCGATGGGGCCGGCGAGAAGAACGAGCCACGCAGCACCGCGGGTGCGTCCGCGAAGGAGGCTTGTACAGAGGAGGCGCAGACTGCCGCCGATGAAAGCGCCGAGACAGCCTGCGAGGAGACGCCTGGCGGATCCGGCCGGTCAGAGCGAGAGTGGGCGCGAAAAGAAGCGGTGCAGGCGGACCGAGGGGGCGAGCCCGACTCGGCGGACTCGTCTGAGTATGAGACGGACGACGAGAGCGCCGGCCCGGGCCGGGGCGGCGTTTGCAGCGCTGCGGAGCTGTTTCCCGCGGAGCCTCTGGCAGAGCCGGGCGAGGGCGGCGGCGCTCACCTGGTCATCGAAGAGGAAGAGGCTGCGGGGCGGCGGACACCGGCGGTTCGCAGAGAAGGGCGGGGGGACGAGGCTGGAAGAGCGGGGCACGGCGGCACGGGGGGCCTAGGCGAGGCGCTGCTGAATGCGCGCGCGCTGCAGGCGTACATCCTGGTGTGCTGCCAACAGGCGGACGGGGGCCTGCGCGACAAGCCGGGCAAGTGAGTGCCGACCGCACCAGGACGGCTCAAGCGGCCGTGCGGAGCGGGAGGGGGCTGCACGGCAACTGGCCGCGCACTGCTCGTGATTAGAAGGGCGACCGTTGGCTGGTTCTAGAGAGAAGCAAGTAATGCTGCGGAGAACCTACTGCACGAAGAGGATAAAGAGGCCGGTCACATGCAACTGCTGATGTATCAGAACGCGGCTATGTCTTGCGTTGGCTCGATTGCCAAAGCTACCCGTGCACGGTAGAAACTCTGATTACACTTGGTGCTTAAAATCAAGCACCACGTGTGTGGTCGTGTCCCCTTAATTCCGTCCTCTGAAAACATTCTCTGTGAAGCAATTATTGAGAAGAAAGTAGTCGCTGTACCCTCAACCCCAAGGCTAAATCCGACAGCCTTCGGCCGCTTCGACGTGACCGGGTCCTCTCGCTCCTCGTCTGTCACCCCGCCCTTCTCATGGGATCAATGCTGACGTTAGGCGGGGCCCTCCGCGCAGGTCCCGCGACTATTACCACACGTGCTACTGCCTGAGCGGGCTGTCGGCCGCGCAGCGGTGCCACGGGGAGTCGGTGGAGGCGCTCCCGCAGCCGCGCCACGTGCTGGGGCCGTACAGCAACTTGCTGGTGAGCGGCGCAACAAGGATGCGGCCCGCCAGGAACCCGCCCGCGGACTGGTCTCCTTGATATGTTTTGTGGAATCTGCAGGTCTGCTGGATCATGAATGCCGCCACATCGAGCTGGTGTAGACTGCCAAGTTCGTGACAGGATGTCTTACCCGTTGTGTCCCTTTCCAAAGGTTGGATATGGAGGCTGCTTCGGCGGAGTTCTCAATTGGATATGAGTCGTCTATCAGACGTTCGAATTTTCAGAGTCGTCATCCTTGGAGTCTACTTGGAATGTGGAAAGTGAACCCGCTTGAGGAGCTCTAGGGGACAAGGAAGACCCGCCTGGTTGGGGCGCACGTCTACTCCTCAACCAAGCCTTTCGACTACTATTCCCGCCTGTAAAGCCTGCGAGAGCCGAGGCTCTGCCGGTGGAAACAGCGCCGCCGGGGCGTCTTGCGGGTGGTGCCCCATGGCCGCCGCTGCCCGCCAGGGTATTCGGCAGGCAAGCACGGCCGCTGAAATCGCAACGTTCGTTGTCCTAGGTTTTCGACAAGGCTCCTACCACACGGCAGACAAAGTCCCGCTGAGCCCGAGAAGCTCTGCACCTAGAATCGTTCAGTGCTCATGATCTTGCTGTTTATCCGCATCTCAGGAGGCAGCCGATCCCGTCTGCAACGTGCACGCGGAGCGTTACGCAGAGGCAATAGCCCACTTTGCGAGCAGGCCGGTACGATAACCTGGGGTGGGAATTGGGCGCGAGTGGTATCCTTCCAGCCGACCGTCGCAGCAGACACAACGTCCTGTCCATACCGACAAAGCTGGATGCCTTTGCTGTGGGCGTGGTTGTCATCTAAGGCTGGCGTCAAAAACCGTGTACCGTTGTGTCGTTGCTCTCGTCTAGCACGCCTTTACTGACTGGCCGCTTGTACCATGGGAGACACCCACTCTCTCACTGTACTCTGGTGCTCAGCAGGTGCCAAAATAGTTGTGGCGGCCCATCCTGGCGAAATAAGCATAGCGAATCTTACGAGATGCAGATGCGGTTTGAGGTTCGCCATGAATGTGTCAATGTACGCACTCACACGCACATGTGATGTATTTCGCCGCGTGCCAGCCTATAACGACGTGTTTTCATGTATATGCCGTATTATACCACAGGCGTGCGCAATTTAACTTTTAGGCAACACGATCATATGGCTGGCAAGTAACACTGTGACCGTCCTTTAATAAATGCATTCATTTCGGGTTTTAGTCGTTAAAGAGCCTGATATGCCTGCATATCGTTGCATGAGCTGCACATGCTGCACACTGCACATGCGACAGAAAACTTCGATGATGCGGTCGCTAATGGTAATGCATACTTTCAAGCAAAGTCAGCATGAAGACTAACACACACGTAGTAATTAAGCTAGAGCTCTGCCGCGGGCCCTTGAGATGACCCATATAAGCTTACGTCACGCATCCAACATGCATCACATATGTGAGCCCGCGGCAGAATATACTTTACGCTCTTTAAGTCTTCAAAGTGAAGGAACATATGACGACCAAGTGGACAAAATTAACCAGCGACGAGAAAGTGATGGTGAGCCAATTGACATGCGCAATCTTTCGAGATTACACACGTACTCACTAATCCAGTGGCCCTGAAGCCGCTGCAGTCGGGCCACTCCTCGGCAGACTCTTCCTTCTCTCTTTTCGATTTGCTGACTTTGAGTTCGACTTCATTCTGTCGACTTCTTCAGGCCTCTTCGAACTCTCCGCCCCATCTTTCTTCTCATCATGACCGTTCGCATGCTCAACTTGCTCCTGCAACGTGGAAATGAAAACAGGATGTATGAAAGGAACTTCACGTTACTCTTGCCTAACGATGGGTTCATACCCAACCTTTCCTGGTAGAAGAGCGCCAAGCATGGACGAGCAAGAGGCCCAAAACTTGAAGCAGGAATTTTGAACATCCCAAAGACGTCAAGGCAGAAACGTGCCCCACCTTCATTTTCAGCCGTTTCCGCTGCCTCTGACGTCCACTCTCTTTTCGCCGCTTCTTTTTCAGGGGAGACTCCTGCAGAAGCCACGGGGCGCCGGGTCAGCAGCGGCGCTCAACAAGATCGCGATGGCAGGTAACCAAGTTATGTCGTGATTTTTACAACGTCCGCACCCCAGTCTTCTCCTAAAGAGCCTTTCACTTCCTGCTCTCCACCCCTTCACCTCGGGCGAGTGGGCAAACTGCTACGAAAGAAGGATGCCAGAAGTTGTCGTCCTTGCTGCCGATTCAATTTAGGACTGACAGATGTTCAAATCGAATCTGCATCAATGTAGCACCTTTCTCAAGTGAGGGCTACTCCATCCAAATCTTGAAGAGCCTCGGAGCCTAGAGAGGGGCGTGCACAACACTATCTGAACGGCGAACCTTCACTTCGGTAGTCAAATCGGAGCATGACAGAAACTGATCCGCTTCCTAAGTTCTTCAATGCCGAACGGCAATGGGGTGGTCATCTTTGCCCGCTGCCACTCGAAACACGCCCCCACATCAACCGAAAAGAGATTATCCGAGCTACAGAAGAAGCCTAACAGGTCATCCTGTACGGCCATAGCACTGGGTCGGCTTCAGTGTCTCGTAATCGGACTCTGCAAAACATTGGGTCGTCGAGTCTGACTGCACTGCTCGAATGAGCACCCCTCAACAAAAAGCAGTGCGCGTACAGGCAAGGCAGGGCATTTCTCAAACGCCTGACTGAAGAGAAGGACGCAGGATCCTCAGAAGGGGCAAACGCCTCTTTTGAGGGTACAAAGAAGCGAAGTGTGCGCCCGACCTGGTAGTCCATGTCAAACGACGCAACAGGCATGTCCAGGAACGTACTTATGCGCCCTGCTCCTAGATTGAGCCACTGAGGTCGTTTTTGCAGCAAGTGTCAACAAGACACGGGACAGGCTCGACATCAGCCTAGCGGTTTGTTTCCCAGCAAATCCTGATTCCAAGGTTGAGATCTGCTGCTGCTAGTACTGGAGCTTCCAGCGTCCAAACTTGTCGCTCAATGAGAGTGGCGCCAAGATGGTTCACAAACCAAGTCAGTCCCCCACCTTTTCTGCGGCCTCACTAGCGGCCCCCTCGGCAGCTGCCAGGTGCAGCATGCGCGCGTGGCGCTCCGCGTGCGTCTCCGCCTCCTCCGCAAGGTCCTCCCCGTCGCTGTCAATCAGCAGCCGCCCCCTGCCCGCTGCCAGCTGCTGCAGGTACCGCGCATGTTTCTGCAGGAACAACAGGTGATCAAAGCCGGCTCGTCCTCATTGTCCATCCCCGGGCTCCTTGATACCGCAAGACCACATATGTGAGCCCCGACAGGAATCATCACACTTCTTTCCATTGTCCATTGCCTTGTTCAAAATGCCTATCCGTGAGAGTCTGCAACGGCCAAGATTACATGGCGCCCTAAGAACATCTTTCAGCCTGGGTTGCCAACCTCTCCATGTGATATTGCGATACCACCGAAAGTTCGAGAGTAACCTGGAGCTACCAGGTGTTTATTGGTCCAGGGTAGCTCTTGACCGCGGCTATCTCGTTCGCCGCATCAACTTTGATGCAGTGAGCGCCGTAACTCCCGGCAAGTAAAGATTCCTGGTAGCTTCGATTGACTTCGATAGGCTTTGGAAGAACACCCATAGCAGCGAGAGGCAACAGACCTATGCACTTGTGCTAGCTAACCGCGCTGCCTCGGGTAGACTCGCTCAATACATGTAATATCTGTTCGACAAGCTGTTTCTGCCGGTTATTTGGTCAAAGTAGAAAAGCAAACTTGGCAGCCTTGGTCGACAAAAATGGATGACAGAAAGCACTGGCTACTCGTTGGTGAACGTGCTCGTATCCACTCCATATTCGGAGCACCAGTAAACCAACAAAGCCTTAAGTGCGGGCGCGTCGACGACATGTCCAACAGGCCTGATCCACTGACTTCAGCCTGCTTCAGATCCCATTTCAGGTCTCACAATGCTGTGTGTCTCTAGAACTTGGTGAGCATGTTATGTCAAAGGGCGCATCGCTTCGCTGGCGCACCTACAGCCCCCAAAAGTAGCTTCTGCAGCTCTAAGGACCATCAGGGCAGCCAAATGGGGGGTGCAGCTCAGTGATACGAGCTCAGGCCATACAAGGCAACGCACATAGCTGCAAAAAACTTTTGCGGAAGCTCATAAATGACCAATCGCAATTGACCGACTGCCGTAATTGGATTGTGACTGGTGGAACAAGCCCCTTGATGCAAAGCGTAGCTCACCTTTGACTTGAGGTGCGCCAGCATTGTCCCCTCATTGAGGCAGAGCACGTTGGGGCACAGCCTGCACTTGAACACCTTCCCCACCTGCACCACCAGCTCCTCGTCGTCCAGCTCATTCCTGCCTCGTTCCGTATCCTCGACAGCCTCCGCCCAGGGGTTAGAGGGTTCCGCTCCTGGAACCAAAGCGAGGAGCCGCGGGTAACTTAGCTGCCATAAGCAAGTTGTGCATTGGCAGTCAGGTTCAACGTCCATGGCGGCAGCACCACAAGTTGTAGCAATTTTGCCAGTAGGGATACAACGACGCTGCCTGGCGGAGACCAGCCTGGCGCCCTCAGAAAGCTGAAAAATGGGAACCAGCCAGGGCATCCTTTACGACGCTGCATGCCAATGCTGAAAAAGGTCACTAGAGTATGTAAGCCAACATCAATGAGCATCATCTCTTGTTAAAGCGTCTACCAGGGCTCAGTTCTTCAAAGGGCTGAAGTGAGCAAGCTACTGATGCCTTGAGACCCTGAAAGATGAACTCATAAACCTAGCGTTGAAATGCCGGGAAGCATGGAACCCTAAAATCAAGTCCAAAACCCTAAAATGGTCACCTTGACTCTGTTGCCGCCGCTCAAACAGGCCAGTTTCTTCATCACTGCTAGGTTCTCGGTCATTGTCTGTCTCACGGTCGCAGCTTGCCACGATTCGCACGGCTCCTTGACGATCCTGGTCAGCATCAGATTCTCCTTCGATACCCGATGATCTCAGCGACGATCCTTCATCCTCAGAATCTGCATTTGCAATGTCTCAGAACATCTGAATGGTTTCGTGGGCATAGCTGGTGTCTCGACAAGGATCATGGAAATGCAACCCATATTTAGGATTGAGGACCTGCCACAAATGCACAGAACAACAACCATACATCAAGCCGCATCCAGATTAAGTTCACCTTGACTACTAAACAACCTATGCTCTTAAAATTATTAAGCCAGAACTGAATGCCGAAATTCTGCGAGCGAAGGGCCGGCAGCAGGCCCAAGAAAATGCAAAACACTTACCTGACAAAGCCGACTGACGGTCAGCCCTTGCATCCGCATCAGAACCCGATGAAGAAGAAGAATCAGATGCATCCTTCTGATTGTTAGCATGCAGCAAGTGGTAGTCTCTTCGCTTGTACATTGTTGCCCGTCAACAGCTTTTATGAATTTCGAAGCGATCAGCGCTTCATTACTTGTACACGCTCAGATAAGTTGTCCGACCCTTATGTGGGCGTTGAAACGGCCGGTGCACGATCAGAGAGGAGCCGAGTGCCAGAGCTGCTCCTAGCTCCAAATCCCTTTGTGCTCTAGCTTCCGGCCTCAGCGCGGCTGCCATCACCTGCGGCTCCATGAATCATGATCCTCTGATTCCATGTAGGTACCTATTCGTCAACCCCCGGCTTTCAGAATCACGATTCACGCCTCTTCAGGCCGTGCGGTAATGGTGAACTGGTACGGTAATGCGTTGCTCTGGCAAGATGATGGTACCGGTATCGGTATTGGGAGTGGTGCCATTTAGAGCGTCTATATCAATAAGTACTCGGTAAATAGGTAGGTACCGGTGGATATTCCTACCGGTAGATAGTGGTCACTCGATCTTGGATGGTACGTACCGGCGCAACTTCAAAAACCCGCAAGCACTGCATGAGCTGGCACGCTGTAGTAGGTACCAAGCTCATCGTTTTCTATCAGTACGTACCGCCGCCCGCGCCTTCCCAGTACCTAGGTATTTTGGACTCCAAATACCGGTACCTTCCCGGTACCGTATACCGGTACACCGTTCTCGTGTACCGATATGTACCGACTGGATGTCGCGACTCGCTAGGTCTCTTTCCACTTTGATACCGGACGGTACGGTACTGGCTTTCTCAACTTGCATGATCAATTAGGTATTCGATCAATTTGCAACCTTCCGATCCGGGTGATGACAACCTGGATCTTGACCATCCGGTCGAAGTTGCAGGTTCCTTATGAACGGTCGATGTGCACCGTTGCGTTCAGCAATTCACGTGGTGATTCCAACCACCCATTTCCTGCTTCAACCGCTGCATTTCGACGATTCCGAACCAAACCTTATCTCGATTCCAGCCTGTGACTTATGGATCCCAAAGTCAAAGATCGAACGGCAGTAGGTTTGGCACGTAAACAGTTTCGGACTTTTTAGCCCGGACGATGCTGATGCCAACTACCACACCGGAACTCATGGAATCGTGCGAAACATGAGCAACTCAAGCGACGCTGGGCACAAAGAGCGTACGGTACCTCCAATAAAGTACCTAGGGTACCGTACCGATAGGTGCTTTCGAACAGGGACCTACGGCCTACCTGGTACCATACAAAGGTGCTACCTGGCGGCTGGGCCCCATGTACGGCAGGTAGGTACCGGCGGTACCTTGGTCCAGTTAAGGAGGTACCGTACCGCGTAACTCCGGCGACATCCGTGTTCATTTAGGGCCGTGTTCACTTTGGCACAGATCCCGGGACGGGTAGGTTTGGGGGTTTAGGGCGGGTACGGCCCACGGATGCAGAGCTCACAGAGCGCGTAATCTTGTCAATTTAGTTTTCAGTTTGTGTTGCCCCCGGGTGGAATGTTCAGTGAACACGGACATGTCGCCAAGTATGGTATCGTACATTTGAATCTCGATCAACGTTTGAGAAGCTCGTGCCTTCAAAGGTAGGTACCGTAGTACTTACCGAACACCAAACAACAAGAGCAGCCATCCTAGATTCGAAAAAAAAAAGGATGAACAATCTGAGGACACCACGCTCATCAGCTGGAGACGTGGGACTCCTATACCTGGCGATGGTCGAGAGATCCGGGTACCGGCAAGATTGCAATCAGTCCCCGTGAACTACTGTGGGGAGCCTCCATCAGAAAGTACGTACCTGGGTGTGTACGGTACTAGACCGTAGGTACCTGACTTACCGTACGGTACCGACTACGGTCCATTGGTAGGAAGGTAGGTACTTCAGCAGCAGTACCTACTGTCTAGGTTACAGCATACGGTACAGTAGCTAGGTAGGTACCGTACTCAGTACGGTGCCGCCCCACAAAGCATCGCATGTCATGTACCTACATGTGATATTTAGGCCGGCTGTACTCCTCTGCAGTGCAATCACCTTTGCAAAGGCGGTCGTCGAGCTTCGTAACGACAACGTTCAAGGTCCTTCTGGAGCGCTGTTCCCCTGATGTCGGGCCACAGGATGGGGTTGCACGCTCGTAGCGCCGACGAAACACAAGAGTTTGGAAAATCTCAACAGGCGTCATTTACCTCAGAGGCAGAAGCAGACGGTGAAGATCATTGTCACGTTCGGAGTGTACAGCGTACCCGGTAAGTATGGTACCGGTAGGTACTCTTCCAAAGGTGCAATGGCTGAGACTCACGAAGAGGACGCAACCTCCTAGACTGCATTTGCCTCCGATTGTGATGTCTGCAATGGCCAACGACGAGAAGCTTTCAAGTTTCTTGTGCGTCTCTTCCCTGCGTTCATTCTTTTGGATCCAGATTTGCTCTCAGGGAGCACTTTTGTAGAGGTAGGAAATCTAGGCTGATGCAGCTCGTCCAAGGTAGCTGCAGGATCTTGGGGATGACATGGGACGGTCGGAGGACAATACCTCTGAGTCAGAGGACTGGGGGGATGATGGCTGGACTGTGGCCTGTCCGTGCGGTATCACGTATGACGATGGGGAAGAAATGGTGGAGTGTGATGCGTGCAGAGTGTGGGTGCATACGCGCTGCTGTCGGGTCCCAAGGGGTCTGACTCACTACGTTTGTGAGCGCTGTCGAGGGGAGCAGCATAGGAAGCAGCTTAGGGAGGAAGTCGAGGTTGCTGCACTTCTAGCTGATCTCCCTTCTGCTAGGTCCACCCCGTTTGATGAACGCAGCCCCTTCTTCAGCAACAGCAGCACATCCTTTCCTGACACAGAGCCTGCAAGCCTTGCAGAACGCACTCTGGCCTTACAGAGCCAAACCTCCTTCGATGAGGGCTATTCCATTGACTTCCCCCTCTCTCAACGGGTGCACACACATGGTGTGACCGGGGGTGAGGAAGTGGCCTTAAGCGGAGCTCCTTTCTTCTCAAAGCAACTCTGGAGACATCAGCTCATGGTTCCAAAGCCGATGGATCTCCAAGCCCCTGAGCTCCCTTCGCACCTCTTGCTGGAGGCAGACTCTCCCGATCTGTACAGAGGTCATGCTGGGGGTCTCCCTTCTAGGAGCCCGGAGCAGCCTCGGCTCAGGAGGGGAGTGCAGGCAAAGGTGGAGAGGCGGAAACGGCTGATGGAGGTGGTTGAACGCTACGAGCAGAGGCGGCGGCTGCGAAGCGAGGAGGAGAGCAGGGGTGGAGCGGTGTGCAAGATGGGGGGGCGCGCAGAAACGTCAAGAGGCTGCACGAGTAGCTGCATCCCGGCAGTGGAGAGCAGGGAAAGGTCACAGGTGTCCAGTGTGACGGTAGCCAATGGTAACGCCAGTAGTGAGCTCTCCTCGCCTGGGGGTACGTCCTGGACCGGTGGTTATGTACCAAGAAACCCGTATGCGCTTAAAAAGGCTGCAGTACTGGAGTATATGCAGACCAGTCAGAGCAGGTGTGCCAGCTGTGGCAGTGCTGAGGCCCCTCGTTTCCACGAGGTCAAAGGACTAGAGGGTCCCGTGTGTGACACGTGTGTGGCACGCCACAGGGATCAGAAGTTCTGCCCCCACTGTGTCCATATCTACCAGGAGGAGGAGGAGAAGGCTGCTGATCCAGGGGTGTGGCTGGTATGCATCATGTGCAGCAGAATGGTGCACAAGGAGTGCCAGATGAAGAAGCCGCTGAACGGTGAGTCTGAACAACAAAGCTGCATGTTTACTCTGAAGTCTGTCTGGTTAGATGTCCTCCTAGGAAGCAAAAGTTGACTTCAAGCTGAGTCTTATGGGTTTGGTATATTCTTTGTCGAATAGTTGTTTGTCTTGATTAGTTGTACTTGGTTTTGTTTGTTGTGCAAGATTCAATCTTTCGCACTCTGTGCTTGATGTAGCAGAGGAAGTTTCTCGGCTTCACAGAAGGCGCAGTAAGAGAGGGACCATTCAATAGGCATGGAGTTGTCTGGTCATTAACCACCAGATTGTTTTTTTAAAGCCCCTCTATACTGTTCGCTGAAAGGACCTCGTAGCAGACGGTTACTTCATCCCAGGCAGTGCTGACTCTGCTCAGATGATTGGCTCCTTTGCTGACAAGCATGCTTCATTCAATATAGGGACTGGACCTGCGAACAGGAGTTCTTTCCTCTGCTCGGGGTGTGTGCGTGAGAAGAAGAGGGCCAGGCTGGAGAGGGAAGCCAAGCAGCAGCTAGCAGGGGATGAGGCAGGGGTGGATGTTGGCAGAGCCTCCCTCAAGTCCTCTGCAGTTCTCCGCTCAGAGGAGCTGCCTCATGTGACCAGCTATGAGCTGCCTGTGATAGGCTTGGCGGATGAGTGCAGCAGGCCCGGGGGAAACGCGGATGACTTCAGGGAGGCAGCCTGTAGGACTACAGGAGAGGTTATGTCTGTCTCAGATCTTCCAGAGCGACCTGTGCTCCGGTTGAGCATCAAGAATGGCAGTGGGGAGGATAGCTTGGGCGTCCACCTAAAGGACGGGTTTTATGCGCAACGGCTACAGCTCATGCAGGACTGCTCCATTCCATCGCCCCAGGTAGATGAGGTAGGTTACAACCCTATATTGGCAGGTTAGAGAGGGAAGTCTTTTGCTGCAAATAGTGTAGCTTGTTGTCAGGCCTTACTTCTTTAGAATTGAATGGCTGATGTACTTCGCTTCGCTTACAGATGGCTGATCTGCTCTGAAGGGTATGGGCATGACGACTCACCTGTTGGTACTATCCTTCCTTTCACACAGAATCATCAATTATCCATTTCCTCTAGATCGAGTGAGCTCTCTTTTGTGATGTACGCTGCAGCGGTTAGGTAGCTGCTCATAGCCTGGATGGTCTTGTCCCCCTTTGCAGGCTGCTGCTGTGGCTACAGTGGAGGAGGTGGGAGCAGAGGCTGCCCGCTTGTCTGCACCTGATGCTGGCCAGGAGAATGAAGGGGGCCGGCAAGAGACTGAGGAAGCCGCTGGCGTACCAACACCGTCTGGGCCGGAACCTGAGCTGCAGCGTCGAGACTCGGACCCTGGCTCAATATCAGTCAAGAATGGAGATGGTCGGGCGAGCGGTGGCGAGGGGACGGTAGATTCGGTGTCCAGAAGGCAAGACAGGGCCCCTTCTCAGCTTCCGAGCTCCCCCTTAGCTAGGGCAGCGTGTGCGGCAGGGCCCCAAAATGGTGCAGATCATGCTGCGAGGCCGGGGTCTCCTTCCCCTAGCTCCTCCTCGAATTCTTCCTCTTCTCAAGCCCAAGACATGGCGACCCCCCCCGTTCCTCAAGTTGCGCAGGGTGTAGACGCACATGCTGCAAACCTACCCGTATCCCCCGCTGACCCTCTCCCCAGAGCCACTACTTCCCCCCGGTCCCACATCACCAAGCCCCCTTCCAAGCTGCTCCACTCACTCTCCGTCCCTGCCCGACCCAAGGCCCTCAGCCTCTCTTCGATGGGGAGAAAGTTCATGGACATTCCGGACACCCCAGGCTCTGTCACCTCAGAGCACAAGCCTTCAAAGCACCCCCAGGGGGCTGCCAGGCCCGTGCATCTCGGCCCCTCTGGCCGGCTGACTTCTTCCCGGCCTTCTCATCCCACCGGCCTGCGCCTACACCACGCAGAGGGACGGTCGTCGCTGCGCCAGCCCTTGGCCAAAGGTGTTCCCAGTCATCCAGCCCCCCCACTGCCCAAGAAGGAGTTTGTTCCGGCTCCTCCCAACCCCAAGGGCATGGCTGAGATGCCCCCTCCTCCACCCCCCGCTGCTCCTAAGCGGCCCGCTGTTACCAGATCCGGGTCAGAGCCGCACTCTATGAACGATGAGGAGTTGGCGCTGCTTTTGCACCAAGAACTCAACAGCTCCCCCAGAATGCCTCGGGTTTCGCGGTCGAAAAAGCCGGGCGCAAATGGGGTGATTCCTTCCAAGCGCTCCAGTTCTGTCCTGGCCACTCCCGTCAGACGGTCACAGAGTGGGGATGTGGCAGAGGGTAACAAGCAGGAGTCAGACGAGATGGATCCTGGGCCTGGGGAAGGGGACAGCGGTGGGGAGGGCCAGGAGCGCAGGGTGAAGGTGGAGGTGGAGCTGGAGGACAGCGAAGAGCTGCCGGCAAAGCCAAGTGCAAACGGGGTGCACACTCTGCCTGGTAAGAGCCGAGTAGGACACAGTGGGTTGCGGATCTGGTTTGCATGGTACACCTGCAGTGCTTCTCTCGGTAACCCTGCACACACCTGCTCAACATAGTACTTGACAAGACGAGGGATTCAGGTTCTGGATTCTAGATGAAATTGAAGGGAAGTCATCTTGATGATGATGCTTACCGTAGTTGTGTGTCTCCTATCAATGTTTCCTGTTGTCCGAATGTTGAGGCCCTCTTTGTTCTGGTCAATTGCTGGGGGCTTTGGCATCGGCTCACTTTGCAGGGTGCCTGATGCACCATCAAGGAAGTGGTTGGGTCTGATGGTGCCCTGCTACTTTGCTCTATGCAGAACTGATCCAGGTTCTGGGCTCGGTGTCTCAGGGATCGCTGGACAGCGTTGTGGAGGCTGTCAGCAAGGTAAGGGCATGCAAGCGACATCTTGTCAGGTCATGGGAAGCTATATGTTGTGGTATTTCCATTCTTGTTGATGTAGGTTGCTTCTATTTCCCCCTCGAGTGTGCCTGTGACTGCAGTGAGGTTAAAATCATCATAGCAGCTTCACCTCGATGAAGTTTCTGCAAGCTTTGTAAATGAGGTAAAAGGCACTTGCTTGGTGAAGCACATCAGGATTACCGGCAGTGTTTCATCGTTGATGGGCCTGCTCTGGCACTGAGGGCAGGTTCTCAGACAAACGGACAGCCTCTAGACAGAGTGGTGTAATTGAGAGTGGTCTCAAGCATGTCCAAGGAGGCATCTCTGTGGCTTTTGCTTGATCCGTTTCGCGTTTTCCCTCCGTTCAGCACTGGCACAGCTTGCGGACTGCGGCTGGCGAGCCCTACCCCCCGCTGCAGCGCCAGGCCATCGTGGAGGCCCTTTCCTGCCACGAGGAGTGGGCCCAACTCGCCAAGCTGGGCCTGCCCACCAAGCGCAAGCGCACCTCCCCCTCCATCCTGTCCGATTCAGACGAAGACGACCACCGCGACGACCGTTCGCTTGGGGGGAAGGACGAGACCGTCGACGGCGGAGCTCTGGTCGATGGCAGCCGGGTTGCGAGGCGCAAGCGCAGTCGGCGGACGGTTGCAGACCTCAGCGACACCAGCGACGCCGACGACGCACCTGCCCCCAAGTCTGTGCTCCCCAAAGACTCCGCGCACCTTCCCTACGCGGAGCACCACTCTTCCCCCAGGACGACGGACCTGCCTCCCGCCAACGGCAACGGACACCGCGCCAGCCCTGTTTCTCCTGGGGGCAGGCCCCTCGCCAACGGCTACTCCCAGCCTCCTGCTCGGTCCTCCTCTTCAGGTCCCTTGTCCAACTCCAGCGCCGGGGATGAGGAAGCCCTGAGCCGTCGGCAGGGCCCCCCCCGTCGAAAGCGGAGCCGCATCGATGCCCGTATGGAGCTAGGGGTGCGCCAAAGTGGGGGCAGCGGGAGTCCCGAAGAGGAGTGACCCCTCTGGGTCGGTTCCCAAACTGCCCCCAGTGCAACTTCCAGCAAGCGGCTGGGGACTGCGCTTTCGCCCCCGCCTCGAATGACGGGCACTGCGGGGGATTTTGACCACCTTCTGTCAGCCACGCACCATGTGGAGTCCTACCTTACCGTGCTGATTGCAGCCAGGTAGGTGTTCGGTGCTGTCGACTTTCTCCAACTTGGGCATGCCTGTGCAAGTACCTCTTGTATGCGGCAAGATACCCTGCTTGCTTTCCTCTTGTTTTGTGTAACTTTTGTGCTCCTACATCCAATCCAGTCACTGGTCTTCAAGCTGACCCGGTGTCCCCTTCTCTTGCAGCTCGGAGCTACGCGGAGGCAGCCTTCGTGCAAGATTGGGTTGGCAGAGGTAGCGAAGCGACAGATTTCACAGATTGTAATATAGCTTGCGAATGTAAGATGAGACATGGAACGACGCGATGATATTTTTATCGGCTAAGTGGTGCTGCACCTGCAATGCGCTCAGGTTTGACTGGGTTGTCCGATCATGCACTGTATGTTGCGAGGATGTACCGTGTGCCCGTATTATGTTTTGTTGGCTGGCTTTCAAACCTGCCAATGGGCAGAACTTAATGGCTGGTTTGTCGGCTCCCACTCTCGTATTCTGGTTGTCACAATGCACGCGCATGTGCATTCCTGGATATTGTGAGAGCCCTCTACTTCCGTTGCAAAGCTTAGACATTGTCTTCTTTGCACATGCTTGAATGATGTTCAGCTGTTGGTAGTTGCTAAGCAGTAATGCGCCGCGCGCGCCGCTCAACTGTACAGTTTCACGCACAGACTCAGGTACATATACCGGTACCATGCATGCTATACAACTTGTATGCACTACTAGCTCTATTCAGATATATTGACATACTAAAGCACTTGATGCAATATGGAGGCGATGCACACAATCTCAAACTTCGCATCAGTGCATTGATGTCATGTACTATGGTATATGCATGTGCCACACATATATGTGCCGCGGCATGTGAGTCCATGTGTTGATCATATCCATGTACTCAGATTAGTCTTATCAGCAATGATGCGCTCTCACAATAGAATGTCCAATATTGAGCTGCAATGAAGGTATGACTTTGAATACGTATGTCAATGGGATTACGCACCTACTCGTTTGGGGCAGATTTTGTTGGACCGCTGGCACAGCCATAACTTGGCGTGAGGATGCCAAATGCAATACAAATACCCATCAAATGTGACTTGATTTGATGTCCAACCAGAGCAGTTGACCTTATTTGTTTTCGATGGCCAAACACCGCCATGCAGAGGCAGCATATAAGTGCACTTAAATCTGTCACGAGAGGCTGCGCCCCTGCACGGCATACTTGAGACAAGCCATCATGCAAAACGCGAACCATTAGGGAACTCTCAGATGTAAGTATCCTGATGAGGCCACCTAAAGACTGGGATCTGGCCGCAAAACATCGAAAGGCCTGCTGCTGAGGTCCTGCCTTTGCCAAACTTGGTTGCGTGCCTTCTAGGTACCCCTAATTGTCAAACTGCTGAAGCCCTAGGCAGCGCCAACTCGTCTGAGCCAGCATGTGTGGAGGGGACAGGGATCGGATCCGGTGGCGTCTACTGTCTTCTTAGATAAATCGAAGAACCAACCGTTCCGCCATTCAAACTGGAAGTGAAACCAAGGAAACGGCCGGGGTCAGCGTTCATCGTCTCACGGACTTGACTAATCATCAAGTTTCGGAGTTGCAAATCGAGTAATAGTCGTCAAACTGCACAAGCGCAACTTCCCACCTCCTTGGGTTGCCCTGCCGCCAGACCAAACGATTGGAAGATGCATCCACGGTTCCATATGGACAATCTTGTCTTCGCATACAACAAATTCACTCTTGAGGACGTGCAATCCTCCGCCAGCTCAGAAGGACAATGTGGAGGGCTCACGAAAACCGTGCTTGCTTGCGAACGCACAATCAAATCAAAGAACCGGTGGAGAAAAGATGCACGATATTGAATGAAACAGTCCGTTTTCCACTTGGCCGCAACAGACACGCAAAGCTTCTCCCTGTTCTCCTCATGACTCCCCTGACGCGTTATCCGTTAGTATAGCGGACGACTTGGTCGCCTTGGCTCCGTCTGAGCAGAGACTAACGGCAGCTTTCGCAGGCAGCCTATCCTGGTTGCACATTCTCGCATTCATGCACCAAGTTTGCGGGAGGAATCAACGGGCCCATAGTATTGGAAATTTCTCTCGCCCACCGCTGATTTGGAAGAGGACCGTGAGTTTGCGACATGGCTCACCTCTTTGACGGCTGTTGGGTAATGGGCGACGGAGCGTGCATACGCGCACAGCCGCTCCTCGAGGCCTTCGTCCAGCGTCACCCCGGTCTCCTTCTCCGCCACAGCCGCCAGCTCCGCAATCAGAGCGGCCACCTGCACAGGTAAGGGACGGTACGCTCCCTAAGATATAAAAAGAGCCGAAAGCTGACAGGGACACAGCAAGACTGCAAGAAAGAGCAGGGGTCCATAGATTACCGACATGGACGGCACGTTGAACAAGGCTGCAGTGGCTAAGAGCCATCGGAACCGCAGAGACAAGGGATTGCTAAATGCATACTCTTAGAGTAGACTCGTTCTGATGACATGGCTGTTCGAAGTAGGCAAACTCACACGCCCTTCCATGTGAACCTTTGCAAGCAATGATTGACGTACTTGTATATCGTCTTTTCATTAGCAATTGCCCTCTGTCCTTAACCGGTGTCAGATTCGAGATGAGTCTTTGGCCAACGACCTCTACTTCAGAAGTCTGGACCAGAATCGAATCAGTTCCAACAGAAAGTTGCAACAAGATGGCAATGTTGTTGGGGGAAGCGAATGCGCACCTCGTCCCGGTATTTGGCCTCTACGTCTCCGACAGACGCGTTTCCGTTCTTGACCCCGACCAGCATGAAGGCGCTGATCCAAATGAGCTTCTCCAGCATGGACTTGCGGAAGGCAGCCGTGTCCAACACCTGGCAGGCCAACGAGGCAGCAGGGGAGCCACCACTGTCAGCCTCATGTGTAGTGAGCAAGCTAGATTTGCATTACATGGAGCAGGCCAGTAATGTTCAAACCTTGGGCCTAAGTCTGAATTCCAGATGCAAGAGAAGCGCACCTGTCAAAAGTTCTCCTTAAGAGCTTGTGTATGATCTGGATAATCTCGTGTCCCTTCCCATTCCACAGCTTTACCAAAACAGGACTCTACGACAGTAGGCCGGCCCCAGTTCTTAACGAATGGGTTAAGGACACAGTATGCCTGTAACAACACCCTGGGGGGTCAATCAACAGACGATCAAAATCCTGTGGAACGAGAATAAGAGGCCACATCTTTGAAGGTCAAAGCGTGGACGTCCCCTCACGTCTGCCAAAGTGCCCGCCGCTGCTTACCTTGCAACTAAGGCCCGCGGAATGCAGGCGCGCCGCCACTGCTTCGGCCCACTTTCCCGTGGCTGCCGTGAGTCCCTCTGGATTCACGTCGGTCTTCCCGTCCATGGGAGCGTCTCCGGCCTTGGCCACCGCAAAGTAGACCAGCACCTGCGTGGCCGCCTCGAGGCCCTTGGACGCCAGGTACGGCTCCAGCATGCCGTTCTGCATAAACACAAGGTCTGTCCTGCGGGTCAATTGGGGCAGGATGGGAGGAAATGAGGGAGGGAGGTGAGGTGATTCTACGTAGCATTGGTGACATACCCTATTGCTTAGAAGGACAATCGTCATCATCATCGATCGCTCCAGTGAATTCAAGCTCATATTCCACATCCTATAAAGCTTGCAGTTTCAGGGGTGACAATGCTACCACCACAGCTGTCCTCCAGCTCCAGCAGCCAGGTACGAAGGAACACCTCACGAGCTCTGGCTTCCAATGGTCTATCAAAAACACGCCTTATCTCAGCTGGATTTTTAAAACGGCCACATTGGATGCAAGGCAAATGTAGGGACCACCTCAACAATGTGACCGCCAATCTGCATGCACTGACCCAATGCAGCATTTGCTCCACTTACCTTCTCGCCTGTCGGCAGGGGTGCCTTCAATAACCCTGTCCAGTGCATCATTCCGTGTTGCAATGAGGATTGGCCCGGTGCTGTCTACCGGCACCTTCTCCCCCCTTTTGACCACCACGTCCTTTTCCCCGCCCATCTTCTCCAGGGCCTGCCCCACCCTGCCGTACCCCACAATCACCGCCGGCTCCACCGCCATGCTCGTCACTGCTCTTCCCTTGCCTGCCGCTGGGGTTACTTGCCCCGCAGGGGAGGCCGCCAGAAATTTGGGCACAAAATTAGAATGCAGGGCCTGATGAGGTTTTTTGTCAAAATGCAGCGAAGGCCTTGCTGCGCAATGCTGAGGGAAGAATGTGAAAGTTGCCAAGGCGCAGGGGATGGGCGCCTTTGTCCGGGTGGCAGCTAGCGGACTGCAAGCGCGGCCGCTCAAGACGAAACCCGCGTGCTGTAATGCCGCAGCAACCATGCTGAATCTGGAGGTCCAGCAGCAACCCTAGAACGTGTCGCCAACACTTCGTGTACCGTACTGTCCAGAGTGAAGCTTACAAGTTACCTATACAATGCGACGAGCCCCATGCCAATGCCAATGCCCCAAAAAGGTCAAAGAACGAAGTTGTAAAAGTGTTCACATGCTACTTTTACGCGCAAGGTGCGTCAGTATCTTTAACACTCCGGGCACTCTTCTCTCCTCGGTGAAGATCGACAATATCTTGGTTAAGGGCTAGGTAACCGCAAGACAACCGGGGTGGCTTCTGAGGGTCAGCTTGATCACGGTTAAAGCTTCCGAGCTGGTAACTAGTAAGCTTCGGTCTTGAGGCTTCAGTGTTTTTGCCTTGTTCAGACCCCGGTTTGGTAATTGACTACCTAGAGAATCGGTGACTGTTCGATCATGAATTAAGGAATGCTACTAATAAGTTACTCTATACCCGGTGGTTTGAAGGAGTAGCTTAGGGCGTCCGGTGCTTTGCTCAGGGACCTTGGATGACGCGCTACCGCACGCGCGACGACAAGATCATCGGCAATCTTGTGGCCGACAGTGCTGGCCTGGGTAACACTCGGCTGGTAACACTTTTACAACTTCGTTCTTTGTACTACTTGCGCCAATGCCATGCCAGGGCGATGCAACAACTTCAAGCCAGCGTTGGTCGGACTCTGTCGGCGTACGTCATCTTCGGTTGAAGTCGTCCGATCAGATGATCGACGGTCGAAAACTTGCGAGCATCTGTGCTCCCGCCTTCTTCTTCGAAAACCGCATTTTCTACAACAAGCTCTGCAGACTTCTGCACAGACGACGCCAACAATGCCTGAGGTTGCAACATGGCATGGCGTTTGAATGAGAGCGTTGTGATTCTGAATGCAAAAGGTACGGTATCTACCTACTGAAATTAGAGTCAGTGCTAGTGTGAACCGTTGATGGAGCTATCTGCAATTGAAGGGAGGGCGGTGAGCACTGCATTCGCAAATGCGAAATCGCTACTCATGGGTGACTAGGCTGCCAGTAGCCGCCACGCAGACAAGGGACAGGGAAGAGAAAGTCGGAGGCAAGCATGGCCCGAGGGAGAAGACCTCAGCTGACGGCCCCTCCAGAAGAAACAATCCCCAAGGTGCTCTCTGAGTGCCAGAGGACAACAGCAGTGCACAAGAGGAGCGTGGGACTTCTGCAGCAGGTGAGGGCGACCAATCTTGTTCCCATTCCTGCTGGCTGTTTTGCTTGGAGCTGAGCGCGTCTCCAAAGTGCCACTCTACTCCGCCTTCTGAGGTACTCAGTGCATGCATTTTGTCCAAAATGCCCACCTTTGGACAAATTTGGGCTGCTTGCCAGTCGAACGTAGAACACCAACTGGATGGATGGTAAGAAGTGCATTGGAGGCTGTGAGGCCACTTGATCACTCGTTTGCATAACAGGTCAAAGCTCCCAAGAAACACGAAGCTGAGCTTAATTTGTCCGCACTGGTGGGCTTTCTATGCTCAAAATCACAGAAGGATGGCAGCACTTTCTCCCCGCACTGGTTCAGTGCACAGCTTCAGACACTGGGCTCCTGAAAAGTGCTCACAATGTGTGCATCTGTGTTATGCAGTGTCGACGGGACTTCCCAGCAGCTTTTTGCAATGAGTTCGTCCGGTGCATTACCCCTGCACTTCTGGTGTATAAGCAGGAGCCAGCAGTGACCAGGACCATCAACTTCATCGCAACATTTGCAAGTGCCCAAGACACGGTGAGAGTTCCCACTGCTTCGGCAGGCAGGTGATCCCCCTCCTTGATTCCACTATTCCGGCTCCCTGCCAAGGGCCCCTCGGATCCAGAATCCTGTCACCATTCTTTACAATTGTTACAAACAGAAATTGCACAAGATCAGCTTCTTACGACCTGTAGAGGCCCTTAAACTTCTTGTGCTTGGCCCGAAGGGAAAGGTTGTCAGACACTGCTTGGGCAGTTGCTTATGCTCTTTGCTTCCCCTGCTGCCAGGTGGGGCCGCAAGATGCGTCCGATGACTTTGTCGAGGAGCTCCTGGGCTTCCTTCTCGACAGCACGCAGTCGCGCGACAAGGCGCTCCGGTATCGCTCTACTCAGCTCGTGGCCAAGATCATCGAACTGCTACCCGAGGATGCGGGCATCTCCGATGAGGTCTGGGAAGGGGTCTGCGAGCACATGCAGGTGAGCCAGAAAATGCACAAAGCTGCCACTGCAGGACGGGCGGGCGTCCCCAAGCACTCTCTTTGCTTTCCACCGCCGTTCCGCTTTTCAAGATAGCAAGAAGTCCTCGTCCCTCAGAGTCCCCTGAATTGAGGTCAGCCATGGCTCTCATTCCAGCTGAAAAAAGTGAATGGATTGTTCAATTGGATTGAAGCGATCTTTTGCCAAGGCCAGAGACTCCAAATGCCCTATTCCCCATCCCAATTCTTGCGGCCACTGGCAAGAAGCGGGTTAATTATGATCAATGCTTTCCAGTCAGCTTTCATGAATGGTGAAAACAATAGTCCTTGGACGATCATATCTGAGCCCCATGGCTGCTTCATCAGGCACGGCTGCGCGACAAGCAGCCTGTGATCCGCGCCAAGGCAGCGCAGGCCCTGGCCCGGCTGGTGGAACCAGGAGAGGACGGCAGCTTTGAAGATGACCCAGTCACCTCCGCCTACAAAGTGCTCCTCACAAATGACAAGAACAGTGTAAGTCACCAGTTCTTTTTCCAATCCTTTCAACCGGCTATTGAGTGCCAGGAAAGAGCCCATCGATTGCCCCAAGGAGTGCTACACTCGGAGTTGTAGACGCCTCTCCTCTGATGGGCTGCTTTTAGTCTGTCTCTTCCTTTGTTGAGGTACTGCGGCACATTGGCCCCTGCAGGACGTGCGCAAGGCGGTGGTGGCCTCATACCCCATGGCTGAGCCGTTGCTGCCTGACGTCATCGAGCGGACGCGCGATGTCAGCGATGCAGTCCGCAGGGTGACCTACATCGCCCTGCGGACCAAGCTCTATGTCTCCAGATTGAGGTGAGTCACAGCGGCACAGAGTTCTGTGTGCTTTATGTTGGTGCATCCACTTTGGCCTGACGGACGGGCTCACCCCCGGGGTGCTCTCGATATGCTGGGGCACCTCATCGATTTCTCCAGAGCTAGTAAGCCTTGCTTGAAAGAATCTCCAATATAAAGGCATCCCACTCTAGATGTACGTGCCAAATCATAGCAGCCTGGCAGGCTCTGCCGCCTCTTCTGACTCCCTTCCTCGTTTTCCCCCAGCCCTCAGCAGCGGGTGGAACTCCTGCGCCGTGGCCTGTCTGACCGCGCCCCGGCCGTGCGCGCCGAGTGCGTCAAGATGGTGTGCGACTACTGGTACGTGCGCGACTGCGGGAGCGACCCGCTGGCCCTCATCGACCTGCTGCACGTGGAGGAAGGAGCGGAAGAGGAGGACGGCCAATGGAGCCACGAGGAGGTGGCGGAGCGGGTGCTGCTGGAGCTGCTGCGGGGGGGGCACGCAACGTTGGAGAAGGGGGCCAGCCTGAGGGACTACCTGCAGGCACCAGACACACGGGCGGGTGAGCTAAGCTCAAGCTTTACTTGGTCTAGTGACCTCATATAGGTAGTTGACAATGTTGTTGCAGCCTTTTGACGGGTATTGAAGGTTACTGCTTCTCACTGTCTGGACGTCCGATCAGCAAGGGCTTCGAGGGCAAAGGTGACTGTTCCTTTTCGAAAAATTGCGAACTCGATCACCTTACATATGAAGGACAGGGACAGATCAATTCGGCCAGGTCGAACTTGCACCAGTAAAGCTGCCTTCCAAGCCCTTTTTCCATGTGTGCCAGTCCTGCGTCAAAGTTTCTTTCGACACAGAATCAGAGTCAGGTGACACTGGTGAACCGTCTTACGCTTGCTCATCTCCCTCACACTCAGCAAGCTTGCTGCAGGCCGCACACCTGGGCGCGCAAGCCCGCGCTCCATTCTCTCCCCTGGACCGGTCAGCCCCCCATTTGGTGGGGCCACCGCCGCTGTTGGCGACACCGAACTGCCCTCTGAGGGCCCCGTATTGATGAGCCCCTCGGAGGCGCTCTACTGGCGGGTCATCTGCCAATGGCTCCACAAGCAGGCCGAAACGCAAGGAAATGAGGCCGCAAACTCTGGGGGGGCGCAGGTGAGCGGGCGGGCCAGTCATGAGCGTTCTTTGGGCTGTTACTTGAGAGGAGGTTTGAATGCGAAATTGTTCTAAGATTGTTACAAGATGGTCCTGGGAAAATGTTTCGTTATGATGCTCCCCTTGTTTGTTGAGGTGAATTTTGCCACTCGTTGCCCCAGCAAATTAGGTGGTCCTTCGATCGTAACGGGATATCCTGCTGGAATGTAAATTGATGTCGACTGGGCCACATATGGCCACCTTGTCTTACAACGGTACAATCGACCGGTATTTGCTGCTAGAAGGACGACAGCAGGATGTTGACATAAGGCTGTAATTCTGCTGATAGAAGGACGGTAGCACAATATCACAGGAAGGGCTGTAACTTGCCAGACTGCATTCGAAAGTACCCGCCCCGCTGTGTCGTAGGCGGAGGTGCTTGCCGCTGAGGCGGACGAGAGCCGCGCGCTGCTGGAGGGGTTCCTGCCTGCGACCGTGGCGGAGTTCGTGGAGCTGACGCGGATGCACCTGGCGGGAGGGGGGGACCACCGCTTTGCCGCCCGCCAGCTGATGGCGCTCGCGGGCTGCCTGGACCTCACGGATGCAGCCGGGCGAAGGGCGGCCGCGGGCCTGGTGCAGGTCAGAACATGGGGCATGGAACGAGGGGTTCCGAGGCTGCGGGACATCCCTTCGAACATCCAAGGCTCCGTGCTTCAGAACTTTTACTCGGAGAGATCAGGGGTCGACTCATAGATGTTTCAAACGAGTGTCCGATGTTAATGGCGATAGTTCTCGTCCGCTTGGGAGGCTCTCTTAGGGAACCAAGAAGGAAAGTGGCCCCGGGCTGGTAAAGAGCTTGGTCTCGACATCACATGTCTACCAGCAGAACGCTCCCACTCTACTCATGCTTGGGACGAACACGGGTGGGTGGGCCAGAGTATGTTCGCGTTGCAACAAAGGTTCATAACATGCTTGGCTGGATGCTGCTCTGTATGGAGGAGTCACGGGTAGCTCCTCGGCAGGTCTAGGCGTTTACCTCCGGTAGCTTCCGAGACTGAAGGCTAGTGCTCCAAACTGTTTTCTTACCCTGTCAACCACAAATACTGTGTCAGGTATTCCTCAGTGTCTATCAGCACTCTCAATTGTCGCCCTGCTTTTAGAAGTCCGCAGTTCCTTCCGGAAGTGCCGTGCCTTGCATTTGCCTGCGGGGCTACTTCCCTCACACCGGCGTCCTGGTGCAGGCCCTGCTGTGCGGCTCGGCCACCTCTTCTCACGGCAGCCCCCTCAACACCCATCAGAAGTCCCCCACCAATCCCCTGCGAGACTGCCAAGTCGCAGCCGGCCCCGACCTAGGGACCGACCGCAAGTGGGCGCACGCTGTGAGCACCCTGGCCCGCCACGTGCACGCAGCCCCGGGCGAGTACGTGGCAACGCTGTTCGCAGCGGTCCACGAACTAGACAGGCGGGCAGAGGACGTCGAAGGGACGGCCGGCGGCGAGGCGGCCAGGGAGGAGGCCCGGCTGCGGTGCCTGGCGGTGGCGGCGCTGCTGCTGGAGGCGGTGAAGGGGCTGCCGGAGCTGCAGGAGGCGGACGCACGCGCGACGGCGGTGCTGGAGCAGGCTGTGGCGGCGCAGGTGAGGCGGGCAGCAAATGCAGCGAGGGACGTGGGGCACCGGCAGCCTCCCAACACTGTGGGCTCGCCGAAACGGCCCCGGCAATGAACGTGCTCAAATTGCGTCTTTGGCCTCCCAAGGGTTACGCTGGCATTTCGGGATCATATTCTTCGACAGGCCTTTCTCTTGATGCTTTCTCCTGCTGTTTCTTTTCCCTCTCTCCCTGTAGTCGAGCGCAGCCTCTGTCGGACTAAAAGACGTCCAGCCTGCGAGTCTTCAGCAGCGTGCTGTGCGTGCACCTTCCCCAGTAGGCCAGGCCACTGGTCGTGCTTATGCGGCTCCGCCTGTGCGCAGGTTCACCACGCGAGCCCCCACGTTCGCAGCGCCGCGCTGCGCTGCCTGGCGCTGCTGTGCCACCTGGACGGCGGCCATAGCCAGCAGTTCTCGCCCCTGCTATGCGCCGCTGCGCAGAGCGAGGCCTCGCCCGCCGCCAGAATCGTCGCCCTCAAGGCCCTCTTCGACGTCGCGCTGAGGCACGGGCCAGACTGCCTCAATCCGGAAACAACCGTCGAACAAAGTCCAGTCTCGGGAGGGGCGAGAAGAGGGCACCCGGGGGAAGGCTCACCGGGCTCAGCAGCTGAGTCGTTTCAGTCGGCGCTGTCCTCCCGGGGCACATCCTTCCGGTCGGCCGTGTCCGGGGTCCAGGCGGAGGAGCTGATGGAGACAGCGCAGAGCCCGCTGCCACGTGGCAGGCCCGCCCAGGACGAGAGCACCGTCACGGCGGAGGGCCCCTCCGGAAACTTGCCCCCGCACTCGGACCCCCTGGCTTTCCTAGCACAGTTCCTCGACCCTAGCGCAGACTTGCTCGGCGGTGGGGCACCTGAGAAGGGCGGCAAGAGGCCGAAGAGCGGCAAGGGCAAGAAGGGCCCCGGGAAGAAGGGGGGCGACGCCGGCGTGGGGCGCGAGGCGGTGGAGGTCGCCGCGGAGGGCTTTGCGAAGCTGCTGCTGTTCGACCGGGTCCCGCGCCCCGGGGCCCCGCTGGCGCAGCTGCTGCTGCTGCACTTCGACGCCGTCACGGAGCCGCTGCTGCGCCTGCGCCAGTGCCTCGCCGTCTTCTTCGACTACTACGCGGCGTCGGCCGCGGAGCACAAGGTGCGCCGCTGAGTGCTGGGCTGCCTCTTGCTTTTCTTTCGACCTTCGAAGTCAGAAGGAAAAGGGAGTTTTTCATAACGGAAATGGACAGTCGCCGTTGGCTTAAGAGTTCCAAAATTGTGTTCGTCCTTTGGACTGTTCCACTTCTCCATTTCATAACAAAGGGAATCAGAAGATCTGCTCGACTCCTTTCGTTTTCTGCTACCAATACGTACGACGATTGAAGAGTATCCTTCATCCCTGCCTTCGTCTCGTCAGCGCACACGACGATGCACGCCTTTACAAAGATCAGAGTCCGCTGCTGACGCCCTTATTTTGTTTGCTGGCAGAGGAGCATCAGCGGCGCATTCTTGGACGTGGTCCGCCTCGCGTGGACGGGGCACGCCGTGGACGGGAAGCTGACCTCCGCTGCCGCCCGCAAGAGAGCAGCCACGGCCGCAAAGTGAGCCCGCTGTCAAGATAGCCCGTTAGAACGGAAGCCGAGAACGGGATTTGGTTTTGTAGAGCACGGTGTCCAGAATTGGCTATCGTAGGATACAATCACAAGTTGCTCCGGGAACCCCTGCTCAGCGTAGTTCTCTCTCCGATGTAAAGGCCAAGATAGGCATGCATAGAAGCGACGGCCTGAGCAAAATTCCGGGGGTTCTACAGCTAGAAGACACGTCACCCCGCACAGGCGGCCCTACCTGGCAATCTGTGTCTAGCACTACGCTGATCGGGCAGTTACATATGAACAGTTTCGGGGTGCACCGTCCCTCAGGGATCGAAGTCGTTCCTCCGAAACCGAAAACCGGTGATTTCGTCCCACCGAATTCCGACTGGATCTTTTGGGGACGGTGCGCCTCTCAGGAACGCCGGTAAAATACTTAGGGACGGTTGGCGCTCAATCCTCGGACAGTCTGCCTCGCCGCAAGATCCGGGAGCTTGTATTCCTCGCGCAATCTTTCTCGGAGGGAACCATCACCAAAGCGGATTTTGTGGCGCGCATGCGCTCCCTCAGAAAACAGTCGCCACTTCCCCGAGGATACATATGTGACCGCCTTATGAGACATCGCTCGTCCCTGCTAGGGTCTACATTTCCACGCTGTACTCCGGGCCATTTTCAGGTCACCTCCGGACGCTTACCACGTCGAGTCGTTCCAAATTTTGTGCCGTGTGCTTGCGTTAACCACTTTCTTGCCTCTTTTTGTTTTGCTCGCAGGTTCATGCTCCATCTGCTGCAGCAGCCGCCCCTCCACCAGCCGAAGCCCGCCGCAGCCCCGACCCCTGCTCCCACCTCGGAGGACGAGGCCGCCTCGACGCAGACCGTGGACCCCGCCCCTCGGGGGATCCCCCCGACCGAGGACGAGGGCCAGGAGCAGCTGGCGCTGGACCTGGCCGCGGAGATCCTGGGGTGCCCGGATAAGAGGAGCGCCGGGGGCAAGGCTTACGTCAGCATGCTGGCGAGGAGCGTGGCCGGGCTGACGTTCCGGCGGAGCGAGCAGGAGGCGATCAAGAGGATGAGGAAGCTGCTCGACTGGTGAGCCGCTCCGTGGCGCTCTCCTTGCAGCAACGGCGGGCGCGGAGGCTTGGGATACTTATCCTATAGATAGAGATTAAAGCGACTGCGAGTGATTTCTCGGATTCTTCAAAGATCAGAAGAATCTCAGACAACTTCTAAAATGGTTTTGACAAGCAATTATACTGATGCCGCACTCAAGCAGGACCATTCTCAATCCACTGGTCCAAATAATCAGTCTTGACGGGAGGCGACGAGTCGTTCGCTAATGCACGCTGGTCCCGTTTTTCTTGTCGGCTGCAGGCTGCGCGACGTGCTGCAGTTCGACAAGGCGGTGTCCAAGGAGCTGGCCGCCATGGCAACCCGCCTGGCGCACCTGGACGACACGCCCGCAGAGCCGCTCTCCGACGAGGCGCTGCGCAGCCTCCAAGGTGAGCCCACCACTGCGGGCTGCTCACGGCGTGCAAAGTGCCGCCGCAGAAGTCACGCAAGTACTACCAGATCTAGTCCTTTGGCGATTCTCTCTGCACAGATTTTGTCTCAAGGAAGTTACAAAAAGCAACGAGGTCATGGCAGATATGGTGCGTACAGAACGGAAGCACTCATCTCTGTGCGAGTCTGTCTGGCGTTCCTTGATCCGAAACAGAGTCCTTGACCAGCGGGACCTGGTCATGCCTGCAGCGCTGGCGGAGGCTCATGCTCGTGCCGCTGATGAAGGCGCCGAAGGCCGGCCGCGCAGCCGAGCGAAAAGAACGTCCAAGGCCGGCGCTTCGGACACTACTGGTGCGCACACGTGGCATCATAGAAGAGACTGCCGGTGTACCCAATCGCATTGCGTTTGCAATGCTGCCAACGCCGCCCCTGTCGGGCTTGCATAGTTTCCCTAATCGACCTTCAACTTTTGTCCTCTAGTTTAATCTGAGTGCTCGAACCTTCGTCGTCCTCTGACGGTGCAGCATGTGATTTGAGCCTGTTTTACAGTGTCATCCAGATATCTGCCTTCCCGAGAAGAAAGCCAGAATTGAATGCTTCATGAGAAGCTCGTCTGGCGCTTGCAAATGCCCTGCGGTGATCAGACCCCACCGCATGTTTCTCGCAGCAGTCCGTAGCTCCAACGACGAAGTGACTGCCGACAGGCCTGATGACGTCATCAGTGACAAGCGTCGGGCCGTAAGGCGCCCCACCCGGCAGAGCAAGACGGCGGCCCTGACCAGAATGGGCGACCAGAAGAAGGCGGCCTTTGCCGGGGACACGGACAGCTCCCACGAGTCGGAGGACAGCGGATCGGAGGCCTTCGAGGGGGAGGACGAGGGGGCTGCCTCGCAAGGAGCGCGCACATCGCAGCGACACGTGGGCAGGAATGGCGGGGGGTCTGATAGTGATGAAGGGTCGGATGACGAGGCGGCAGAAGGTCGGTCTGGGGGCGTTCAGAAGCAGCAGGTGCAGGGGGGCCGTCGCGACAGTGCGGGGTCGGCGGCCGGCAGTGAGCACGGGCAAGGGTCCCAGGGACAAGGCGGGCCGCAGGAGAGCGATGTGGGAGAAGGGGAGAGCGACGAGGACAGCGGCGAGCCTGGTGTGGCAGCGGAGGAAAGGGGGAGCACCGAAAGGCATAGTGCACGTGTGTCAGGCTCGGTCACCAGCGGGGCTGAGGAAAGCGACGACGTCAGCGGTGAGGTGCGTGCTGGGCGGCCGAGGCGGGGCGCTGCGCTGGGGGAGCGCCGTCGTCGACTGGTGCTGGAGGAGTCGAGCGACGAGGAGAGCGGGCAGGGGAGTGCGGGCGAGGAAGAAAAGGACGAGAGTGCACGACTCGTAGCTAAGCGCGAGGAGGAGAGCCAGGTGACAGTGTCGGACAGCCCCAAGGGGGCGGCGGAGGAGAACGCATCCTCGGACGGGGACAGTGAAGAAGTGGCACCGGTGGTGGTCAGGAGGAAAGCGACTGCGAAACGAAAGGTAGTCCTCGATAGCAGCGAGGATGAGGAAGAAGAGGCGGACAAAGGGGAGGTGGCCAGACACACCGAAGATTCTGACAGCGACGGAACCAGCTTTTCCAGCGCAGAAGAGCAAGAGCTAGATTCTGACAGCGACTAGCTTGTGCATCGAGTTGGTCGTGGATGGGCGCGTCTCTCGTGAGTTCCAAGTTCAGGAGTGATTTTGGATTTTGTGTGTCGAGCTGGAGTTGCCATTTAACAGACATGCAGTGAGACAGTGGTCCATACGTGAAGGCAGACGGTGCTTGGTGTCCTCGTCGGCCATATGAATTGCAGCGGTTGAGGCCATGCAACTGCCTAGGAGTATTACTTGGCCTCGGTCTCATTTCTCAGAAACACTACCAGCTATACTGGAAATACGAGTCGATTGCGAGATTAGAAGGCCTTTGTCCGAGGTTGAGCAGGCAATTCTGATGGAAACGGCAGCTTTCTTCACGAGTCAGCTTCCGGGCCTGCGTTTCAATTTAATGTCAATAGAAGGCCAGCGCACTGCTTTCTATATCGATGTTGTTGGGGAGAGTGCCAATCCAGGCCCAAACATTCCACTTGTTGTTGGCTTGATCCTGCATGTACACGGGGCCGCCGATCAAGGCAAACATGTGCGAGCGCGAAATTTGGAAGCTAGCCCTAGCATCAATCATCGGACGACCCAGGCATCCGATGTCTCAAAATCGACGGTGCCAATTGACTCGATTGAGTCTTGAGCTGAGGCCGCACTTCTGCAGGTGCACATGCATGACAGAGCGGAGACAAGGAGAATCGGTACCGGACGGAAGCTAAGGCTAGGGGCTGTTGGAACCCTCAACAGTGACGTCAGCCTTAGGCTGCTATCTCTTCTTGTCTGCTATCGGCCGTTCAAATGTCAGCAACACAGCATCCGACGGTATGAGGTGCGTTTGAAACCTAACTCGGGTTGCAGGCAATGTGCAGATCGCAGCCGTCAGATAACCACTCCCACAGGATCTGACGCTCAAGAGCCAGAGAGGTCCAGCTTTGGGTTGACATGACCGCAAATCCAACAGGCCCCAGCCTTAGCTTCCGTCCGGTACCGATTCTCCTTGTCCCCGCTCTGACAGCACCACTGACCAGCGTACGGTGTACCACTTCATGCCAGTGCAGCAGATGTCTACAGCAGCACTGAATTCTGAAAGGAGTGCTGCACGCTCACTTTTCCGGCCACACAGAAGAAAGGCTACTTGGCAGGACGCCATGGCTGCCACTCCTCGCTGTCTAATCCTGTTCGGAGACGGTTGTCTTCTCAACGAGACGACACTTGAGTCTATAGACTGCCCTGCATTGGATCAGACTGCTAGGGAAGGCTGCACCGGTCAGCTGGCACTGCGCAAATTGCCTGATGGCGTGACCGAGGCGCAGCGGAGCCTGCTGGAGTTGGAACAAATTCTGGACCTGGAAAGTAACAAAGTGAGGCACCCTCTCATTTAGGTGGTTGCCACATTCAGAAGGCTGTGGAATTATTAAGTCCCTCTTAAGCAAAATTGATCACTTGCCCCACAAACCGCTTCGGAAACACACACTATATTCAATTTTCAAGCACCACCACCAATTTGTCCATTTGCATTCGTGCATTTACTTCTTAGATGCAGGGAGCTTCGAGTCCTTTGTTCGCCCTGAGAAGAAACTAATGACAATGCAGCTGCGCAGCTGGGCTTCATGCCAGTGGTCTTTGACACTCGCAAAATGGACAATTACAGTCAGAGGGCTTACTATGGAACTTCTGTGCACAGGAAAGTGGCGGGAGTTCTGGTCAAGCTCAGAGCAGAGAAGGAAGGACTTTCGTAAGCTTGAACGAGAGGTAAGCTTGCAGCAATCGCTTTCGTTACTTAATGTCAGTCTGGATCCTGAGTGAGCTGGCGCCAAGCACGATACCGAACATTTTCAGGGGTCAACATGGACCATTGCTCGCTCACTAGTGGCTTCTTGTATACTCCTAAATGACTACGCATACTGTTTTACTGCCAGGGGTTCCAGCACTTTGCCCCCCTGGAATGAACGTAAGTCTGTGATTTAGCCGCTGCTTATCTGGATTTGGTCTTCCCCAGGCTTTGCACCAGTGTATTTGTCCAGTCGACAGGTGGTTGTCTTATGACTGTGGTGAGGATGTCGAAGAAATTCTGCATGAATGGGTCAGGGTCAAAGCCTTCTTCATAAGAATCAGACCTTGTTTTCTCCCTTTTGACCTGGGAGTATCAGCTCTGCCCAATCCGCTGGGGCTCCATCTGGAAAATAGGTGCCCTTCAGCACGTCGCGCTGACCATCATGCTAGTTGAGGTTTGTCTAGGTATCGCACAGATACATACTGGTACAACCCACCATGTTGCAGAGCACAGGGAACGGGGTGCTTTCACTTTTTGAAATATAGCCGCGGAAGCAGAAGTCTTGTTAATTGAGACCCTTCAATGCGATTCAACTTTTGATGCTCCAAAACACAAGCGACGTATCACAAAACAGCAAATGGTAAGAACTGTCTCCTGGCACCTTTCGATTCTGGCGATACGGATCAAAGAGCTACTTTCCTCTGGCACACTGCACCACGCTTGATTTTAGTCCTCTGAGCTTTGACGTTGTTAAGTCCCATCATAAACGAAATCTATTTTTGACAAAGGCCTAGTGATTCTTCGCTGGCCACTTTGTAACCCAAACTCCATCATCTTTGCAGGTTTATGGGCATGTCTGCATCTTTCTTTTCATCCTCGCAATCAGTAAAGGCTCTGGCATCGAAAGCAGGGTTTGACAGTCAGCTCCTCACTGAGAATCAGGGTGGCCTCGACGCCGGAATGCTGCCAGATGCAGCCAGCTTTGCAGAACAGAGTCTGACACTGTTGGGCTTGGCAACTGCCTCGGAGAGATCCGCTGGGAGCAATGTTTTCAATGAGTTGACAGGAAGCGAAAGAGGCAGTGGTGACCCTGCAAAGAGTCAAGATTTGGTGTTCGTGCACCTTAGACCTGACGTCTCTGAGGACAGCAATGGTGCGCAGCCTTCGAATAGGACAGACGACGCACCCTCCCCGTCCAAATCGGACCAGGACCTTGTAGAGAGTGCGAAAGCCAGTTTGGTGTGGCTAGATGCTTTGGTGGCGGCCATCAGAAAGTTAGAAAGTCGAGACAGTAGAATTGCAGCCCGGCTTTACCTCGTGCTAGTGTTAAGTTACCATGCGACCGCTGTAACGGAGTCAGGGACCAGCAGAGAGAGCGAAGCAGAGCCCAAGTCGGACAAGGTGCTAGAAAGCGCGGGGGCACCAGAGGGGCTCCTTGCGTTTAAGCCTGTGCAGAGTTACCAACAAAAGGAAGGGCAAGAGCTCACAAATATCAGGTCAGTCTGAACGCCCCGAGACCTCTAACTAGTTTGTTCTTTCCTCTCGGCATGCTGCAGTACTGCTGACTCCTCTGCATCGTTGGGGCCTATGTAAGTCGCGATTGTTGGATCCTATCCGTGAAAGCTGGCTCTAGATGCCCTCCGCAAAAATGAGAGGGATGAAATCTTGATTCCGATGCTGACCGGATAAAAGTCGTTTTCTGGACTGCTCTGAGTCGATTCGACTTTGAATGGTGGTGCATCTAATGTTGCCAAAAGAAGGTCTTCCCTCAGTCACCAGTGGGTTGTTTTTGTGCAGGGAAAGTCACCATGCTTTGGTAGTGTACAATTCGCATGGACTGACGAGAAGAGACGCAGTCCAAAGTCTGCAAGCGAGTGAGATCACAACGGTAAGTTCTGTTCACCTCATAACATTCCGCCTTCTCAATCATCTGAGAAGGCAAACGGGTGCTTTGAGAAGGTTTAGTCACATTCCTTGTGGGCGCAATGAGCTAGTCGATGGTTTGCGAATTACCAATCTGAATTGTGATGCTTTCTTGAACCCCAAACTGCGTTCCAGTACTCTGAACAAAGAGGTTTGTATCGACGATGCAGAAATCAGGCAACCTCACAATCCTGGCGGACAGATTCTTCCATGAGGTAGCTTTCAAGGTCGGCAGGGCTCCGAAGTATGGTGCTTGAGAGGAACATAAGTAACTTCTGGCACTGGAAGGGCTCACATGGGGATCCGCTACGAGAAAATGGGCCATCCTCCAAAGAAAGGTGCTCTTCTTCGAAGACGTACTGTCATCGTGCAAGCAACAAAAGATATCACCGACCAATTTTGCCCGGATCCTGTAGTCAGCGGTCTGATGCTAATTGAAATAATCTCTTTGTACCGTCCCAGAGGATGTAATCACATGATTGTCATGTGCGATTCAATTCTGGGATGTGCGTCACTCATTGTGCATGGAATGTAAATGCATGTGTATGCATATATCATGATCGTGTTTTCGAAAATCGTTGAATCCGTTGTGCACGTCGCGGCCATCATGACTTATATATATTGTATGTTGCCGCATCCGACTGTGCGCGTAATATAAATGCGATATATGATGCATGTGTTGCCCGGCCATGCCCATCATATAGCCGGCAGCTGCGCACATGAGACGGTCATATCATTGGGCGGCCAATTACAGGCCATGTGCGTAATCAAGCCATGAGCCTTGGAGTGTGCTGGATACATTGCACCGTCAACCCTCAATGTCAGTGATGTCCGACTCCGACAATCTTCAGTACGTCACTGCATGCCATTGGGACCGGCACCGGCCACGTAAACGAGCTGGTCATGGCAAACCTACATAGTAGCTAGCCATCCGGCGGCATGTATGCATACTTCACATGGGCACCGCGTCTTTAGGTTGCAATTGGAAGACCATGGCATACTCCTGAGACTCGTGCGTTTCTGAAAACGAGACCACATGTAAGAATGTTTAAGCAGGTGCCCCTGGGTGCTTGGAAGAAAGTAGCCCTTGCATTATGTAGACCCTTTAAAGGTCCAAGTCCAAGTCCGCAAGCTGCGGACTCTTTGGTACATTGAAGAGGACACACATGAAATCCATGAGCAGACAGCTTCTGCTCTTTTTGTCCGACACGACAACCTGAAAGCCCGACAGGACCTGAGGTATCAATTTGACCAGACGTGCACCAGCCCATGCCTGCTACCCGTGTAGATCTCGTTCCTCTCCTCGTCGTAGAAAAGAGCCGTCACGTCCTCCAAGGCCTCTCGAACTCTCTGCATTAGAGAAAAAGGTGGTTCTCTTTTCGCAACACCTTTCGGTCAGGAAACAGCGAGTACCTTCAAAGTCATTCTGCTACCAAACATGCCAAGGTCTGACCATATATTATCAATGTTCAGCAATTGCCCACGCCGCCACAAGGTTTCCACAATAGCAATGCTTTGTCACGACTCACGAGGTTCTGCAATGATCGGAGCGCCGGCGTTGACACAGGCTTTCATCCTTGATTGAAGCTGGTCAACGGCTCAGCCTGACGTTTGCACATCTTGTCAACAAGCTCGCATTGGCAGGAACTGCAGTGAGGACTTACCCTAGCTCCGCCGGCGCACCGCCACCTCTGGGGGTCATCCTTGTCCGTGGCCTGAATCTTTGAGAGGCATTTTCCGGTCAGAATGTTGGAGATGTTGATCGACCCCACCCCTGCCACAGCAGAGCAAACTCAGTTTAGAGAGGAGTGGCGACGAGCAGACGCCTGGCACCTGGACCCTTAGCCTCGCACATCTGCAGCAGAGATTAAGTATTCGCCTCTGTTCGCAGAACAAAAGCTTACATATCAAAACGTGGCGGCCGAAACTGCACCAACCGCGTCGAAAGACTCGGCTGCCCAATGTCTCACAAGCGGCCTTCAGGGAGTTTCCACCTGCGCATTGCTCCTGCGCGACCCACTGCTAACCGAGGCCGCCTCGGAATACTTAAGAGAACCCGGGTTTTGCCACCGGCATAAGCATCTGATTCCGCATACTCGAGCTGACCCGTTGGGCGGCAGTGTCGGCTCACCATGGTCGTCCAGGTCGGTGGGGTCCTCTTTTACTTTACAGTACGAGATGATGAGGTCCTGCTCGCTGGTGATGTAGATGTTGTTCGTGTTGCAGTCCGGGTACCACAGCTGGTGGTCCTCGAACCTGGAGTCAGGAACACACAGCGCACACGTCAGCAGCGGGCCACAGATTCCAAATGCGGTAGGGATGCGAACTCAGCCGCCGTTCATTGTAAGGGTTTCCAGTTCCGAACTCTTAGAGTTCAAAGCGTTGGAACGCAGAGTGCTAGCTTCGCAACACTCTTAAATTGACATGACACTAGGTTTGAGAGTCGTCCAGAAGGACCTCTCTGCTGAGCAACCGAAAGAAGGACACCTCGACTGAGTACGTCTTGGAAACCAAGGGAGAGCCTGGTAGGCGAGAAGCCGAACTTGCAACAAAGAATCATGATTTAGCTGGCAGCGGGAAGTAAGCAAGCGGGAAGACGCGGTTCAATCAGAAAGGATGGAGAGTACACAGACAAGCGGGCTATCAAGTAGGGCGCCCTCACGTGGTGACGAGCTCCCCTCGGAAGTTCCACACGGCGACCGTCCGGTTGCGGAAGGTGAGGAAGAGCTGGTTCTCGTACAGGAAGATGAACGCGGAGGGCGTCATGAACTCGGTCCGGTTCACCTCGATCAGCTGCTGGTTTCGAACCTGCACCACAAGGACAACTCTTTCAGTGCCCAATCAGGGGACTTCGGGTCCTCAAACACAGCAGCAGCACCACAAGGAATGGACACGAGAGCTTGTATCAGTTGTTCCAATCGTGAAAACGCTTCGAGGACGTTATCCATCATGGACGTTGATCGACCAGAAGTCTTTCAACCATCTGCAAGATGTCCAACTCGATGATGAGCATTTTTAGCAGGCATCAACAGTCGCCCAGGTGTCAGCTTGCTAGTAAACAATGAAAAGAGCTTGCTTTTCAGCGACTTGTCCTAACAAGCCTTTAACAAACAGACAATCGGTTGCAAAATGAGGCAGCGACTGCAGTAAAGGGGAGCGCCTCACGTCCAGGATTTGCAGGTTTTCGTTTTCCTGTTTGACGAGCAGCTTCTCGTTGAACTGCTCGATGAAGTCGACCTTCTTGTTGCGGTGCAGAGGGTGGTTGAACCCCTTCAACACCTGCAAAGAGAAACTGACAGCCCACCTGAGGCGCTCCTCTTATTACGGAAAAGTGGGTGGCAAGCAGGGAGTCGACTTGCTTACGTGGAGATAGAGGAAATTCGGATAAGATCTTACCATAGCAAGAATATATGTCACCTTGGTTCTGTGTTTGTTTATCCAACGCGAAAAGGGTTACGCATCTCGCAAGCAACTTCTTAGCCCCAGGCGTCAGGAAACCCCCCCTCTTTGCAAGGCCATGAGCAAACGCAGGACGCTCTTTCCACCTGTGGCTCACACAGGTGGTCCAAGCCCAAAAACAATTTAAAAATCTAAAATGAACACCGCCCAGCGCCGCACCTCCCCCGTGTCGATGGAGAGGATCTTGAGGGGCACGTAGCCCTCCTTGCGGTTGTAGATGAGCAACATGATGCCGGGGCTGATCTTGATCTCCTGCACGTTCTTGTCCGACACCTTGTACAGCATCGTGTAATTCTTCAGGTCAAACACCTTGTAGATCCTGCGCACCACAAGCACGCACGGTGAGGTGGCCGCACGAGGGGAATGTCGTCACACCCGAGAATCTTCTGCCCGAGACTTACAAACAAAAAAGCAGCGCTCAAACAGCACAATGAGCCACGGGGAAGTCCTGAAAGAGAATTGAAGGGAAGCCAAAAAACATAAGCTAAAAGCGTGTGCTATTACCGATATCAAGATGACACGAACAAGAACGGCAGTGATGCTGAGGGGAAAAGGAGATGATTCAGCAGGCCAACCGCAGTCCCATAATCATTTTCTTTTATATTTAAAGTTTAGCGGTGCAGCTGTTCCCCAAAATCTCCGAACAAGGCCACGGTCTGAGAAAGAACACTACTCCAGCGAAGAATGCTGCTGACCAACTCGGACGCAGGGCTTGCCCCTGCATAAGGAATAAGAAGTTGAGCGGCTTACCGATCAATAGCAGAGTATGTCAAGACTTTCCCATTTACGTCATCGAACTCCACGAAGCCCGGCCACCGCAACGATTCGGATTCAAAGAGGGGGAACCCTGACTCGGGCAGGCCCCTGCGAATGTACCTGCGGGGAAGCATCATGCTGTGTGTGAGAAATGAAACCTTCAAAGAGAACCAAGACATGCATGAACTGCAAGCAGTGTGCTTCAGCGTGCAAGAAAAGTTAGGTGTCCTTTGGGTTGGAGGAGTGCTCAGCTGCATCTACGAGCTTAGAACGCCAGCAACGGGCCCCAACATATTGCTGCTGACTGCCCTGACTGAGTCACATTGCTTTTTCCAAGTTCAGCTTCCAGAGCCCACAAGTTGGTGGTCGTTCTTAAAGAACCTGATTGAGAAACATTGCCAAGGCCTTGTGTGCGGTCCTGCGAAACAGGTGCGGTCAGGAGCTTACTCGATGGGTGTTGTTCGACATTTGAGGGAGCTGAAGTTATCTCCAGCATAGACAGAGACTGTGATGAGAGAGTCGTTGTTCTTGTTGAAGAAGAGGCTGCGGATCACTTCGTCAGGGCTGACGTTCAGGCAGCAGATGCGCTTATTCGTGTCTGCACAGAGAGCAAGATTGGCCGCCAGGTGAGAGCCTGCTTGTTCCTTGTACAAGATTGTGCCTGAGCCGACATATTGAAACAGCTTACAAAGAAGCAGGCAAAAACATATGAAGTGACAGCAGACCCTACCTCCATATTATCTTCAAGCTGGGAACTGGATCGGGCGACGTTATCCTAGACGCTAAGCATGCATTTAATCAGCAACATCAAGCTCAGCAAGAGTACAAAAGCAGACAGCCTTTCTCACCTCGACTGAATGCTGCACAGACGCCTGAGTGTGCGAGTGCAAACACAATGTCCCTCGCCGCAACAATCTCGACTATCCGCGACCTTTTCTTGAGGAAGGGAAGCCTCAAAAACTCGTGGGACTTGGGGTCATGAGTGTCAAACTCCTCCTGCATCATCAAGCATGTCAGTAATATATTTCAACGGAGAAATGGCTGCAAGCTCGAAGAGCCCTATAAGGTTGAAGTCTGAAATATTTCTAAACTCCCTAGTGATTCCAAAATGTAAATGCACTTGAGATTCTCTTGAGTAGCTTGGACCATTCGTGCTGCAATCTTCTCCCTCCCCAGTGTCTTCTGATCTCGGCTAGCAAGATAAAGCAAACCTCGCTACAATGCGTGCCAGCGAGAGCTCTAGCTTTCCTGCTCTATGGTTTGTGCATCATTAGTGCTGCTGATCAGAAAAGTAGGAGGACAGTCCAACCGGATCAGCAGGATGAAAAAGCCAAAAATAAATGGATGCTGTATACCGCGCTCCTCTGCTTACAACGCAGCCCAAAAACCATTGGGACCCTAGGTCGGATGTAAATCCCGCCAAACTTACAAGGCACGACAGTGGCTCATCCATCAACATTATGGGTTACTTAACTTACTTCAAATGGATCTATAACAGCCTTTTGCAAGCTTAGAAGCACTTTTGCATGGTAGTTTCAGCATCCGGGATCAGCTCACCAGCAGGCAGAAGTTTCTAAACTTTTCTGTGGAGTTCGTCCGGCTGATGGCCCAGTTCCCACTGGAGCTGATTTCCCGTTTCTGAAGTTTCCTTACAGAGTTCCTGCCGCCGTCCGGCAAAGATCTCTTCCCAGCCACAACCCTTTTCGAGCCCTGGGGTCGTGGGCTCGTTTGAACCGTCGCTTTCTCCATGCTACACGAAGCCAGCCTGCCTCCTTCGTATCCCCCAGAAAATCGAATGTTCCTTGTCCTTGACTGCCCAAGACTCTAAAGATTATCCCGCATTAAGCAGCTCATAGGTACTGCAAGGGACCTCAAGCTCGGATGCAGAAGTAACCGCCTCCTGCTTCTTGTCTCTCATGGCAGTTGGACCCCGGTTCAAACCACTGTTTGCTGCTAACTGTGCTTATTAAGAAACCGCCGTTCCGACACGAGCTGCAAGCATACGAGCAACAAAACAGGTGCAGATTTGGTACTTCAAGAAATTGTCTAAAGGACCAAAAATATGCTTACTCTGCATGAAAGGGTGAGCACATAAAAGGCACCTCCTGAAAGAGAACACGAAGCTAGCCTAAGCAGAAGGCTCTGCTACAACTGTACCCAGTCTCGTATGCTTCCACTGCTACCTGGCCCCTCCTAGCCTAGCTCTTAACCCTACAAGCTACAGAACCTCTGAGCAGGGTAAAGCAGGAGAGAAGCTCTGCAAGACTGCATGCTCTGCTCTGACAACGAGTGACCAATCTGGAAGGTCTTGCAAGCAGTCTGGACTTTGGACTCTGCACAGTGCAACGGCCAGCTTGGCAAATTTGAATTCCCACTGCCCAGACTGATCCAGGAGGGCCTACTCGAGAGCCCGGTAGCTTTTGTCTGTTTGCATTCGCGACCGTTCAGTATCCAACGTATGGACTGTGAACCGTCGATCGAAACCACGGAATCTACTTTGAAGACCGGTGCTATATACCGTGGGGCGCTCCCTCACACGTGAGATGTATGTCTCCCTCTAGCCACTGGATGATTCATCGAACGGCTGAAAGGCCACCTTTTCTAAAGAATGATTTCGCTTTCACATTGGGAGGTTCCGACAAGCTGGCCAGTGGCCCAGCTCCCATCACATAGGTCCTCACACAACCAGGAACGGCATGCCGCCCAACTTGCCAGTTTCAAGTGGTGCGTGACGCGGTCTGCCCTGACTTCGACCTATTAGTCCTAAGCCTGCATCCGCCAGTCACAAGAACGGTCCATACGAAGTAATGTAAGTTGAACCTTAGCCCTTGCTGGCCGCGCTGACTCAAACTTCTGGTTTTGGAACTTCATCGTGCACACATGCTGCAGGTTGAGTAGTGGTGACTATAAGCGGTCCTAACCATACATTCTATCGCCTGCAATCTCTCATCTACGGTACAATTCTCATCGCACTGGGCTGGCAAACTAGCTCAAGCTTGTGCATGGCGCCGGGACAAACGCAATACTCTTGGATTTCCCCACTATTGTCTAAGGTCACTCGATAAGACGTGACATCCACTTAAAGGCGTTATCTCGAGAAGGGCCGGGACCAGAACTTGTAAGTATAAAGGCTTAGCAACGCACACCATTGGCCGGCTAGGGCAACACAGGCCACGCACGGATGTGACAAAGTGAGACTTGCGAGGACGCATGTTCGGCCACAACGAACTCGATAAGCGATATGGATCGATGGGATGCCACTGGGCTTGCCCAATTTAGAACTCGTGCGGACTTCATGGTAAGTCGGCCACAGCCTTCTTATTCAATCTTGTGCCCCTTGGTCACCATAACCGTTCGGATTCTCGCTTGCCCATTTCCACTGATCTCGGCACATGTCTTCCACCGTAAGCCTGGCCCTGCAAGCACCACGCATGAAGGAGGTTTTACAAGCCCCTTCAGAAGTACCAGCCCAAGACTCGCGACCGGTGAAAGAGCATCCGTTCAATTTTAAACCAGTCTCAACGCTCCTTGTCGTCAATCAGCTTACAATGGTCAAGACCGCCTCTCTTCCCACACTTCTAGTGCTGCGATCAGAAGATTCTCAAAAGGCAACGACAGAAACAAAAAGCTTCTGACTCTCAGTCGATGTAATGGTTTGAAATCCTGAGATTAACGTAAGACCTAGCGTGCTCAACAGGTGGAACCGTTAGAGCGAGGCCGCACGCCTGCGAAATACCAGACGAGGAAAGCATTTCCTGTTTCGTAAACAACGGGCAACTTACTTCCAGCCCAGTTCTTTATCCGCCAGGGTGGTGCTGGCAAACACCTCGGCGGAGTCTCCAGGACGCCGTGCAGCAAGCTTGTACGGGATTTTCTGGACGAGACGAGGCGCGAATCATAAGATGCCACCCGAATTGGTGGCAAAGTATTACGGCTTCCTATGTCACAGCAAGCTCGGGGCCGGGGGCCAGATCGACCTCTTCCGGAAGGAAGAAGTGAGCAGCGGTAAAGGAAGCGAGTGTCTCCTACCAATCACAGGGCCCTCGGACATCCATTTAATGTTGCCCGACAGGTTGGCCTCTCTAGGCAGGAGCAGAAGAACGAAAGAGCGAATTCGTGAAGCCGTCTCGGTCAAAAGCACCGGCTGCTAGCACAGATGAGGCGCTCTCATGGCTGCGGCTAACATAGCCGAATGACACTCCAAATCCTGCATTTGCATCTTTCAGAAGCAGCCGCCCCTACCTTGCCCGCCGCCTTCTCAAACGCGGCCACCATTTCTAGTACGGAGGTTCCTCGCCCGGTGCCCAAGTTGATGGGGATGCACCCCAGCCCGGGCGTGGCCTCCAGCTTGCGCAGCGCCGCCAGGTGTCCCTCCGCCAGGTCGACCACGTGGATGTAGTCGCGCACGCCGGTCCCGTCCTTGGTCGGGTAGTCGTTGCCGTACACAGTCAACTGCTCGCGACGACCAACGGCAACCTGGGACGAACCAAAGAAGCTGCAGTTCATAAAGGGGGAAATGGATACGGCAAGTGGCTCGCAACCTGCAGCGACATCCCAAGACTAGCTTGAGTGTCGGGCGTGGCTGGTCGAAAGACTCACTGCTTACGATTGATCAGGTTCTCTGAAGTTTGTGATACTGCGGCGGCTGCTTATCCCATAATCGGTGTATGCGCTCAGCCGTTTAGCAAGTTTTAGCGTCGAACTTCGTCGGCGTTTCAGAGGTGGGTATCAAGATTCAACTTGGCAATGGGCAGCGGCCGAAGAACGCGAGGTTCGACAACGTGTGGAAGCCGGTTAAGGTTTGACTTGGTTATTCCACTCGCGCTCGAGGAACATCCAAGATTGGTAGTCTGATTCCTTCGAGCCCTTGTGGAAACAGCTCTCGTTCAATACAGAACTTTCGCAATTTCTCCCCACTCGTGGGGATAACCTATACATACCTGTTGGACGAAGGGCATCAAGTTGTTGGGGATGCCTTTGGGGTCCTCGCCCATCCGCCCGCTGGGATGCGCGCCCACCTGAACGTGACGTCAAAGCTGAGGTCAGTGAAGCAGTATGGGAGAGGCAAGCCGCAGTGAAGCAACGGCTCTGACAGAAGTTGCGCGAGGTAGGGGACGGATGGAGCGGACGGAGAGGGGCAGACGAGCAGGCCTTTCGAGCTGCCTTCAAAAGCCGCCGAGCTACCTTCAAGTACTAGCGAAGTCTAGTACTTCTAAGAACGACACCAAGAGCTTGTTCCAGGTCTAACACTAACATAGCCCGCGGAAAAGATAAATGACAAAGGGGGCAAAGTCAGATTTCTGTTGTCCCGCACAAGCGTTCGACATACAACGATGTGGCTACAAGCCTGCGTCAATCAGGGTAGCCAGAGAGACCTGCAAAGCAGCCAACGCCTTTGAAGTCGAGAAACAAGAACTCCAATGTATTCTGAGTTCTCGAATCGAAGAAGTCTTGCGAAGAACGAGGTGACGCAACAGCATTCCCCAAGCCTGACTGCCCTTCCACGTTGACATTGTTCTAAGACCACAACCTTCCTGAAGGGGGCTAACCATTCGCGCATGTTCCGTTGGAACACAGAAGATGAGAGCGATCGATTCGGAAACATTCAAGACGTCAAATCGACCACTTCAAAAAGTCCACGTCCACCTCTCAAGCACTTCGCATTGCATGACACGTCCGTCCTGCTGCTGGCTTCATAGCCAGAAGCGCACTCCGACCGTCCTAACGTTGTGCTATCCATGGAAAGTCAGCCATTGGCCGCCTCACCGGGTTGAAGTACCGCAGCAGAATGATGCGCCACTCCTGGTTGGCCGTGTGCACGTCCTTGCAGATCTCCTCGATGAACAGCTTGGTGCGCCCGTACGGATTGGCAGCGCCCGTCGGGAAGTCTTCCGTGGCAGGGACAGTCTTGGGCTGCCCGTACACAGTCGCCGACGACGAGAACACGAGCTGCCAGCGGAACAACGACTTTCGATTGAGAGTGAAGACGAACTTGCACCTTCGGCTCTGCTTTAGGACACGTTTCACGATTCTTAAAACGAAACAGCACCCAACTTCAATCTGCCAGAGAAAAGGCGTGCAAAAGGAAAGGTTGGAATCCGAAAAGGCTGGTCGACCATGCTGACTGTTTCAAGCATCGGTATCCACAATTTGCAGTGATCAGAATTGACCCCAGAACGTGGTAATAAGTTCATGCAATTTGCGGAGCGTGGGTATGACACTCACGTTGCGCACGCCGTGCCTGTCCATAGCGGCTAGCAGGTTGACGGTCCCAGAGATGTTGTTGTGGTAGTAGAAAAGTGGCTTTGCGACGCTCTCCCCAACCGCCTTCAGGCCCGCAAAGTGGATCACAGCAGAAAAGCTGCAGGAGATGACGTTAAAGTGAACTTAAACGAGCCCCCACAGTCCGCCTTATACACAAGAGAGTGTAGAGAAACGATTCAGAGGACATTATAGCCTTCTTGCATGGATTTTCGATGTTCATTCTCTCGCCAAGTAGAGGAGCTTTCACGGTCCTGCTTCACTAACTGGACCACCTCTTTAAGCAGAGACTGTTTGGAGATGGCCCTCAAAGCCGAACGATCGTTAACTGTCTCCACCCAATGCATTCTTTGAGGTCCCTGGGGGCTTGCCACCCTCCAAAAGCAGATCTCAACTACATCACATACTGTCAATGGAAGTTCCATCCATAAAGCATGTCCAGAGCCTCAGTCAACCACACAAAAACAGGTGAGCTATGGGGAAGATGCGGGAGCTGGCGCTAGCTCACTTGTTGTTGATAAACAGCTGCTCAATTGCATCGGGGTCGCACAGGTCACCCTTTACGAACGTGACCTTGTCAGCCGCCGCCCCTGCCAGCTCCTTTAGGCGCACCAGGGCCACCTCGCTCGCATTGTGGAGGTTGTCTACAATCTGGCCAACAGGGAATGGATCCCGCAGTCAGCTCAAAAGCCAAACATATCTGAGGCCCTGCAACGCCCAGCCTCACCTTCTGGGTTGTTTCCCTACCAGCTGAGAAGCCATGCTCACTCCAAGGTGGAGAGATGCCCTTACATGGACTTTTGCCAACACAGACACTCAACAGCTGCTAAGGATCCAGTGAGTAGGTGTGTTTCTTTTATCCAGCAGGATGGTCTGTGGGAACTGATTGTCAGTCTACTCTGGTTCCAATACATGATCTGATGTATGCCCTGAAGGCAACAAATGCCAGCTTGATGAAAGGCAGGCTTCAAAAAGACTCGGGCACATCTGGTGGCACTAAGTTCTACGTTCTGCTATGCCCATAATGCAAGCGGAGCTTCCTGGAAAGCAATGGGGCAAATGCATTTGAGGGGCAGGCCAGGGAGGGCAGATCATCCAGGTTGATATAGAAAAGCCTTTGGCACCACCCTTCATAGTGCTTCCAGGTTCATAGTAAATTCAATGCGGGGGGCATCGAGCTGTAGTCTACACCTTACAAAGTTCACTATGTAGAAAAGCAGCCAGAATTGTGCGCAGGCGTGCATTCTCTACCAGGCGCCACCCATGGCCCGGAGAGTGTTGCTGAAATTGCTGCAAACTCAGAAATCGTATCAGCATGTCCCGAAGTGAGTATCTTAGTGTTTTCATTGTTTCAGAATATCAAATGCATCAGCTATGCCATTTGCCTCCAGCGGCCACCGCGGCTCACCCCTACTGAGTAGCCATTTTCCAGAAGGACCAGCACCGTGTGGCTCCCAATGAAGCCCAGGCCCCCAGTCACCAGAATGCTCCCGCTGGTCATCCTGCAGCGAAAGGGCGACAAACGGCAGCTGGCTTCTGTTCTTGTTTGTGGCACTTGCCCAGCTCATGGGCGTCCCCCTTCAATTGTCACACATGCATTGTAATTTGTTGTAATCCTCATGGTGCAAATTCCGCGCGGAGTGCATGCGCTTATATGCGAAACTTTCGCGAGAACCTATGCATGACAGCCTGAGCAGTTCGGAACGTAGTAGCGGTATACCTAGCTGGCACCGCGCGCGCCTCGTTGTGCACAGCCGATCGTGGCGTATGAAGTCGATTATGACTGCATTATATTGTGCTTTTTCAGTTTCTCAATGAGGAGCAAAGATCAGTGCTACAGCTGCAGCGCCTAGGTCACGTGCATCATTCACGTGGGAACAACACGCACACCTTTCCCGAGTCCTGGAGCACACATGCTCATGCCAATGGCATTGTGCACATGTCTCGAAAAGATTTGTGCGCGGGCAATATCTACCATACTAAACCTTTTGGACAACAATCAACCTGCGGAGCCCTCAACAATATTCGACCGCACACATGAAGGTGCTGGCCCGGCAACAAGCGAGCAAGATGGCTCCGGCTAGTTATCCGGGTGTAGAGGTGTCAGAATAGCTTGTGCAAACGGCCTGGCAAGCACTCGATCAGAGTAAGTGAGCTTGTACGTACTGCGAGGTCGACTCTCGCGATATATGAGACACGCAGGTCAATACCTCAACCCATGATGACTTGCTTGGCTAAAGCACGCCGGCGCAATGACCGTGATACATGGATTGAATTAGCACAGTTTTGCATAAGCCTCTTAATTGTCACGCAACTGTACGTGACTCTTTCCCAAGTGGTTTATCTAGCCTTCTGCCTAAAAGCTTGACGTGCAAAGCGGACTACAAAGTAAGTTATCTACATCTATGTACCGGCCTGTTACGGTCGTTAACCAACATCAATTAGCGTGCTGACCAGCTACCTTGACGGTCGAAGCTTACGTGGGGACAGCTCCCGTGAATGCCATCCGCGGCGTGAAAGCAACAATAGGTTCGCCGCACACGGGAGACGCAAAGCGGCCCTGGGAGTGTACCAGCTGACCCCGGACAAACGTGTGCTCGACTTTGCCGGTCACTTGCATGCCCTCGTAGGGTGTCAACTGCACGCGGAAACAGACTCTCTTGTTAAGTCTTTGTAAATTGAGCTCTTTAGATTTTGTACCGAAAGTTGTGCCCTGATTGATAAGTGCAAGGAATTTGTTTCCGTGGCGTCCTCCCCATGCCCAGAGAGCACAAACCCTTAGGCAGCAACACCGCACAGAAGCCCAGAAACCTTCCGATTCGGTGTGTGAATTCGCAAGAGACCGGCACAGCGGTAGGACAGAGGATGCGAACAACGTCATCCAGGGAAGCATGCTCGGGCAAATCCAACTGTGTGTAGTGCAGGAGCGAGGAAACCTATGACTTGATTGTGGACCCGAGGTTCACCTTGTTCTTGAACTGGATGGTGTCCTTGGATATGGTGTGCACTGCTTCCGGGTCCCAGATCACGAAGTCGGCGTCCTTGCCCGCCTCGATGGAGCCCTGCGCACATCGAAACAGACGTATCCATCTGTGCTCCTGTTTTCGACAAACGCACTATTCCAAACTTTGCCACTAGCAGAAACGGACCTCAAATGCTGAGGTCCGTTTCAGTTGCTTCGTGTCGACGTTTCACTTCATATTGATGACGCAAACTTGGCAGTGGGCTCTGTCTTACTTTCGCGAGGTTCCAAACGGGTAGGCTTGAGGCTTGATTCATCCGTTCAAGGCTCATGTCTACCTCGTGTTCGCCGTAAAAGGGGCGCCGCTCAGACAAAAGGCTACTTGTGAATCTTTCGAGGCCATCACCCGGTTCTCAGCACAACGTCAGGCTCAGGTACGAGATAGCACACGAGTAAGGTATTTGCAGCCCGTCACAGGGAAACGAGGTTCCGAATCGTTAGGGAATCTGCTAACGGTCAGCAGCGGCAACTTGCGAGGACGAAAAGCCTAGAAAGGAGAGTTTCACCTATCGGCAGATCAAAGGCGGAGTCCTCTTTGAAGCATCGCACAAAGAAGCCTTGACTCAGATCTGGTGTCTGTGTCATACTTTCTTGGTACTGAAGCAGGTGTCGGAAACTTCCAGGAGGCGGTCCTTGTCGAGGAAAAGTACTCGATACCACAACGATACTAGATACTATATACAGAAGATCCAAACACGCAGTAAAACGGGTAGAGATTCCAAAAAGAACCACATCGAAGGACAAAGCAGGATGTGAATACTACACACTTACAAACAGAGACACAACGTAAAGAAAGCGAATGAAAGCACCGGAAACGATCCTGCGAAGACACAAGCAGCAACGATCGAGGCTTGCAAAAACAGGTTCAGTACCCCTTCCGTCGCATCCGCCAGCGGGTTCCCTTCTTCAAGCAGTTCGGAGAAGAGGGCTGGCCGGACAGGAAGAGAGGAATTTGAAGCGGCCGAAGATCAAAAGCAGGTGGTTATTGATCACTACGAAAGCAAAGCGGAAGTCTCCAGGATGCACGCGAATTGGTGCACCTGAAATGCGTCCCGCTCACTTTGTTCTTCAGCTGGGCCAGCTCCGCGGGCTTCGTGCTCCACCACCGCGCAATGTCCTCAAGGGTCGCGCCCCGCTCCTTCGCACGCGTCCACGTGGCAGGCAGCCCGAACTGTACGGTGAACGAGAATCTTAATCAGATAGCGACAGCACGTCCAACGGCTTCAGGTTAACAAGGCGATTTTCTTCGGCTAACGGATCGAATTAGAAACAGCAACTCACTGTGGAGTCTACACGACAGGAGAAGAGGATGCGGCAATCGGTGCAGCGCACTTCCACTATCAGAACAATCGAGAGACTGACCGCTAACTCTACCGTTTTCCGTACAACTTCGTTCGCGAACGCGATTAAAGGGGTTGTTCAACGGGCACGACTTAGTTTTGAGTAGGAAATCGGCGATGTGTAGCTGAGGAAAGCCGAAGGAGACGACGTAAGAACCAACGAAACGCCGGTGCCAGAAGAAAATCCAATCAGACGCTGCAGATGTCGCTTGAGCGGCCAGGATACAGATCCAATCTTTTCTTTTCAGAGAAAAGAGAAGTATGAAGACAACTGTGAAAGAAAAGAGGGACTGATTCTGCTGAAGCGCTGCAATGGATACACTTGACGGTCAAAGGCAGTAGAACTAGACATGTTACCCAAAATGTCTCCTGGCGTACCTGCGTCGATGCGACGCCCCCCCAGGCCCTCAGAAAGTCGCCCTCCTCGAGCAGCTTCATCTCGGGGGGCGACGGCGAGTGGTCCGATGACAGCAGGTCGATTTGCCCGCTCAGCAGCCCCTCCCATAGCTTATCGCGGTTCGCCCGCCCTCTGATGGGCGGCGCACACTTATACTCGGTCCGGTTGTTACCAATCTCCTCGGCAGCGAAGCTGATGTAGTGGGTGCAGGTTTCGACGGTCAGCTTCGTGCCGGACGCACGGGCAGCGGTGATGAGCGGCAAGCTGTCCGCGTCTGACAGGTGGACCACGTGGATGTGGGCACGTGCCGACTCGGGGCTCGACCGAGCAGCGTCAATGAGCGCACTGATGGCCGCACGCTCCCTGTAAAACGAGCGAGTCCGTCAAGTTTGTGGAAGGTGGTAGGAGCGTTATTGAACGAGTAAAGGACCAACGGAAGACAGACAGATTAAGACGGCAACTTTCTACGCAATCAAAGAGCACGAGCAAAGAACCAAAGAAGCGGACGAATGCAGAGCACTGGTGTCGGCGAAAGGAGATTGGACAGATTTGAATCAAGGAAGCCTTGGTAGAAAGAAGCGCGTTTTCCATTTCGACCGAGCGAAAGACAATACCCACTGTGACGGGCTGAATCTCTGGTTCATTAGCAGCGCGAGAAATAACCTTGACAAGCGTGGACTGCCGCAAAGGCCTCTATGTGCACCTGCAAGAGATACATCAAGAGACGAGATATGAGCACGCACCACTCGGGCGGCCGCGATTTGAGGTACGTTTCGTACACCTGCGGTGCGCCGGACAGCTCTTCGGACAGCGGCTGCGGCAGCTCCGAGTGCACCAGCAGGGGCAGCCCGTACCGGCCCAGCAGCGGCAACGCGGCCTGGCGAGTGCCACGTGGCAAGAGATGAGCGGACAGACAAAAAGGCATTGCTGGTTTGCGAGGTCCTTGACAACCGTCTTCACAACACGTTCTCAACTCCTGAGGAGAGACTCAAAGTTCCATGCGAGTCGCTCTGCGGCGCAGTGAGTAGCACCGTCTCCAATGGGTAGGGGCGTTGTTATCGACACGACCCAAGCAGACGAGGGCATTTCACAACAGACAAGCGACCGGCAATTGGACCCCGGCTTTCCGTAACTAGAAACGGGTTCTCTACTTTAAGCCCCACATTCAAGGCAGCGTCGTTCAGGAGATCCATTGGCTACCGCAACGTAGAGGAAGGCATTTCCAGAGCTTTGGACTTTTAAACGGATGCTCTTCAGAAGATGACAAGCAGGTGCAAGAATCTGCAAACGCATTCCGGCGGCTCAGTGCGCCCTTCTAACCCCGTTGCACGTGTTGAGAACGCTGCCTACCTTGATGTGGTCGATGCTGGTCTGCGGGAAGTCGCTGCCCGACGGACACATGAACGACTGCGAGGCGAGCGGCAACTTTAATGAAACGTAAGACGCGATGGGTATTAGCGTGGAAGCGGGCACGCAGACCAAGCGTCTGGCAGAACAGCGTCTTGACACACGCTCGGCGATACAACCGAGTTCAATTTGACGTAATGTTCAGAAGTTTCAAAGAATAGCTTCCTGGTTGGATGTGAAACCCAGGCTTGCTGCCGCTCTCCCCTCTCCCTTTACTTCCTCGCATCGGGTGTGGAAAAGCTCCTTTTGCTGGCGCTCTCAGACCAGGAAAGTTGCTAGGAACCTCCTTAAGCCGTCACTGTGTGGTCCCTCTTTAACGTACTTTCTTCACGATAATCAGCATAATTGCGCGTGAGGTAGGTTCCACGAACCAAGGCGCCTTTCTTAAGGCACCAGGATATGTATCTGATAAGAGATTACCGTACTGATGAATCTAGGAATGCTCCCATCAATCTAGTGCTTGAGAAGACTTTCACGAAGCCTGATTTGTTAAGTGCGACCAGGAGCAGACTTTTTCTAAATTACAATTTTACTGCCTAAGAAAGACGAGGAACGTTGTGGCGATATTTGCAAACAGATTAACCAGAGCAAGGCGCGCACCTTGAGGCCGAGCACCCCTGCATCGAGCAGCTCTTGGAGCGCCGTTGTGTTGCCGCCGTTCTCTGGAGTAAGCCCCCCCCAGAAGCCTGGCAGCGCACAAGGTGCAGGTCAGCATGCATAAGATTTTCATAAACGAACTTTCTCCTCCATTACATGTAACTTGCAGGAGTGACATTCACGGCTTCTTTGCTTTTACTCCTTGAGTATTGTTTGTTCTCCTTGAGGATTGTTTGTTCTCCTTCCGGGAAGCAAAGGCGGCTTGCCGGTGCGGGTTGAAGCATTGTGGTGCCCAAATCGGTCCGGCACGAGGGCACTGTCGGCTTACTCTGCGAGTGCAGGACAACTTCAGAAACAAGAAGTACTGCAAAGAGGCAGGTAACGGGTCGAGAAGGGGCACAGGACCTCACCCACGTCAATGGCAAGCTTGCCCTTCGATGCTTTCAGCTGCACAGAGTCGTCACGCTGATGTCAACTTCACATGCATGGGAAGGTTGAAAGACAGACGCTCGACCATTTCACAGGCGAGTTCCCCATCAATTGTGGGGGTCGAACAATATTTGCAACACGAAGCACGAAGCACGAGAGTGCTCGAAGGTGCGGTTGGCGTTGCTCAGGTACCAACGAATTCATGTTTCATGCATCCCCACGGCGTCTACCATATATGGGGGGCGGTTTAAGGCATGCTGCCCGTGCAAGCTAAAGTCAGGCTTTGGAAAAACGGACGAAATAGTAAGCACAGCATGCCGAGCGTGGATTGCGCCTGGCAATCGAAGTTGGGAAAAGAGAAAGTGCCCACGAGAAGGTTGTACAGAATGCGAAAGCAGTGTGTCAGAAAGCGAAGCATAATTTTTCGTGGCTACTGACTGTCGACCTAGGACTCCAGAAGGAGTCGAGACATGAAAAGAACGAGCCCAACCAAAGCAGCAACCCGAACCGACTCTGCGTCTGGAGACACATGCTGCACCTGCTCAAGAGGCCATTGGCCCTCGATTCTCAAAAACACGCTGTTCCTCTAAGCACCGAACTGCGAGCTTTAAGAAGCATGACATTTCGAGAACAACATGACTTAAAAGTATTGGCTGCAGCCCTGTACAGTGATTGATAGAAGCTCAGGTCATGGGGTCTCCGGATGCGCTCACTTTCGCCTGCAGGAACTCTGGGGTCGTGGTGGTAGGGATGCTGTTGAGGGGCATGTCCACCACTGTAGTGAAACCCCCTGCAGCAGACAAAAGGTTGCAAAAAACGTCAGACAACTCCAAGTCTACTTGATTATTACAACCTGCACGATGAACGAGTACTCGGAAACATCCGGATCTTGTATGATCATTTAGCCCCAGTCCTTCACTCTAGGTTCTTCTTAAATGCACTCAGGCACGCAAGAATCTGCAAAGGCTTTGCCTTCTGAGCTCTCATCTCACCAGCGGCGGCGGCCCTCGTCCCTGTTGCCAGGCCCTCCCAGTGCGTCCGCCCCGGCTCGCTCATGTGCATGTGCCTGCAGTCAATAGCGATTGTGTTGGCGCAGATTCTAACGTGCTTCCGTCACGAATACTTCCACTGCCTAGCCTGCCGCTCTGATGACAAAAGTTCAGCTGAGTCACTGGGGAGGGTACTGCAGAGTCTGAGGGCAGAGGCAACCAGCTTGGAACCGGGCACCATTTTCAAACTCTGTTGTGCGTTTGCAATTGCCAGCGTTGCAAACCAGATCAAAACTGCCCTAATGTCTTCCAAAACTTCACAGCTGCTAGCTTTCACATCAACATCATCAAGACAGGCTTTCACTTCATTTTGGAAATCCTTCACACCTTCAAGAGCAGAACAGCAAGCGGCCCCTCCTGTAGCAGACCTAGTATCTTCTTGAGGAACCTTCGGCTAAAGGGTCTGTCTGGATGCAAGCCGCTAAGCAAGAAGCAGCCGCAGCATGCAATTGGAGGGCCGTAGACTCACACATCGACGAGTCCTGGCATGATGACGGAGGTGCCATAGTCGAGCACAGGATGCCGGCCACCGGGGGGCTTTCTCGAACTCGGCGCAACCCATTGGATCACACCTCTCCGCACATGCACTGCAGGCAGGAAAGAACTGTCTACTCACGATGCACTGAACACTGAAGCACTCCACACTCCATTGATGTGACGTAAGCTGATCCATCTAGGAAGGATTTGAGTGCTTGCCTACAAAGGTGGATTCATGGAAGCATGGGCGACTTTTCCTCAAGCTTAAAATAAGGCTTGATTGAGGCCCAGACCCAATGTGGTGGCACCTGGTGCCAGACATTCGCAACCCGTTTCCCATGCAGTTACTAGCTTGCTTTTGCAGACGGAGCGAAACCAGCATCAAGATCTTTCCAACATGAATAGGACGCAAACGCGAAGATTTACAGGACTACAGTGGTGTTTGGGGTGCAATGAGGGTCTATTCTCACCCGCTGCAGGAACGACACCATCGGGCGTCACAACCCGCTGGCTATACAGCGTGAACTCCTCCGCATTGAGCAGTCCACAGCGCTGCACATTTGAAAGAACAAAGTGAACGCTGCACATATTAGATATCAGAAGGCGCAACGTCACGACAGACATGTGAAATTTGAGTCCTTGCACCGATTTACGCTCAGAAATTTGTCACAACCACATTCGTAGATAGAAAACGAATAATCAGGTGCCAACCTGGCACTGCAGACATCAGCAAGCGGCCATTGGCAGCACCACTGGGCGGCGGGCTCTATTATAGCATGCAGACACCACCAAACAGATTGCAAAGAGGCCAGAAATAGGAATTCCCTGATTGAAAGACCAGGTTTGTGAAATGCTGCAAACAGAGAACTTCCACGCTGCCTCAACCGCATCACGACTTGCCTGTCTGTCAGCGTACCATGCCTGAAACCAGCCACCGGTATCTGCATTCTCGGGTAGCTGGAAGAACGCCCAAGCAGCTGCTGCAATCAGGATGGGCACGGCAGAGCTGCCTAGGAACTTCATGGCTGGACTTGTGATCAGGGGGGACGGGCTCCAGCAAACAACTACCTAGGACGATCGCACTGCAAATGTGCAAATTGCAATATCAATAGGTATACCTACCGACAGTCGATGTCAGCAAAGCGAATCAGGTACGAGTCCGTACGACGTACGTCACGTAGGCGAAGGGATCATCTGAATGCGGTAGATGTCATCACCTCTGCCACGACGACGAAGTTGAAGGCCTCTGACCGGTAGTCCCTATCCGAATCGCCGGGCGTGGCGTTTCTGGTCGTGTGGATTTTTGATTCCGGAGACACGTACCGTACCAGTAGAAGGCCCCGGGGTAGAACATGTTTGTATAAATTCGAATAGCTCACGGGCCCGGGGCCCCCTTGCCCACCCGGTTAGGTTTCCATCCGGGCAGTCGTGGTAGTGTGGGCCCTGAGCTCAGGCACGCAGCACGGCGGTAGTTTCACCGGCAGGGACGTGACAACACAGGAATCCGAGAACACTCGGCTCCAGAGATCGCGGCGAAATGCAAACCCGTAATGCACTAACCCTAATTCAAAATGCACTAATTGGCGCAATTCGGCGAAATTGGCGAAATACAAGGGCATTCGGCTTGCCGCTTATGCTGCAAGATACCTTTTCCTTATATCAATTTCCGGAGCGCAATATGCAGATTCTCAGAAGTCAATTCCCTGAGCTAAGCCCGCGATATCGACTGCTCTCGGTCTGATTTTGACCAACTTTGGTCTCAAAGCTGCTCACTTATGTGCATATAAGCGAATTATTTTGAGAATTGCGCCGGGTTGGCGAAATAGGGGCTCTGGGCGAAATATTGGCGAAATCCGGCGCAACCCCAATTGGCGCAATCAATTAGGTTGTGCTACGATCTCTGCTCGGCTCTACAAATGGTACCAGCCCATGTGCCTCGGTAGGTAGGCGCCCAGGCCCAGGGACTCCGAACTTTGAAGTCCGAACTCGGATCTGCACTCTGCATGTGGCTTTTCCGGACTTTCATAAATCTGGTGCCAGGTGCCTCCTTTCAACAAATTTTGTGGGGGAACATTCCTTCAGGTTCTCCTGAAGAACCTCCGTCCGAAAGGCACAGCGTCGCAGCATTGTGTCCACTGCCAAGAGGGCATCTCGAGCAGTCATCCCCCGGGGCTCAAGATGGGACCTTTTCTGCGGAGCTCTCTCGTCCTCTTCCTGGCGGTCTTGTTGCTCGCTGTGTCCCCAGCGCCTGCCGCTGCCTCCTCGCGCCACCTCCATCGGCATCTCGAATCTTTGAATGGCCCCGACGAGCATGACTTTTTCTTCAGCAACGCCAGCCAGCTGAATCCCAACGTGACCGCCAACCTCATCGGCGGCTGCTGGTACAAGCCCATCAACTTCACCAAGTACCAAGACCAGGTGGAGAACCTTGTCGCGTCCTTCTACCAGAAACTGCTCAACGGGACGCTCCTCCCAGGGGGCGGTAACGTGACAGTTGTGCGCCTGCCGGACGGGAGCCTGTCCATCATCAACGGGAATGTCACCGTGTCTCCCACGGGCCAACTTATTATCGACGGGAATGTGACCACCACGGGGGTTTTCAACGGGACGCTCAGGCTCAACCAAACCCTGCCGAACATAACGAGCCTTGTCACCTCAATCTTCCAGCAAGCTGCAAATCTTGCAGGGAACAACAGCACTCTGGGGTCGTTGATCGGAGGGAACAGTAGCACGCTGGGGTCGTTGGTTGGCGGGATTCTTGGGAACCTTCCCCCTGTTCCGGGTTTGAACACCACAATCGGCGAGCTTCCGTCCATCGAGTTCAGCCCCAGTATGCTGAGCAACGCAACCCAGCTTCTCAGCTACAGCCCCGTGACTCCTGACGCCATCCTGGCGTACCTACGGAATCTCACGGCAGCGACACTGGCCGCCATTGACCCCGGCCTCCTGGCAGGAGCAGGTATGATGAAGTCCGAGTGTTTGGGTAGAATCTGCGTTTTCTGGTCGGAAGTGGACGTTAGGCGGCATTGTTGATTTTGTGTGGGGCTGAACATGTGAAGAAGCTGAAAAGGAACCTTGCTTATCTTCTGCAACACAAGAAAAGGTTTCTACTCGGTGAACACGGGACAGCCAATCTTGCTTTTAGGACACTTTTGCTTGTTTTAACACAGCCTGCGGAAATGGTTCTTGTCTCAGCAACGCTCGGGCAGTGCCCAGAACAAGTCTTTCACATTCGACAAGCTCTGTGACTGGTGACCCTGTTTTTGGGGGTTTCTTGGGCTTCACTTCTTGCTAAAAAGAGGTGCCTTGGCTTGTGCTTAGTTCAGTTTCTATTAGCCTGGCTGCCTTTTGTCAGGGTTCAGTGCGGGATTTCCTCTGGACGTAGCAGCTTTTCTCCAGGTTCGGTGTTTGTTTGACTGCGTGTCATCATCCCTTCCTCAGCATTGTGTATGCTTGCTAGCAATTCACTTGCGTCGCCACATCATCCTGCAGTTGTTTTCACGTCCTGGTGAATTGCTCTACCCAGAAGAAAAGCGGCGCCACTTTAGAGCATATCTTGTCAGGCTGACAACTTATCCCTGTGGTGTTGCTCAGCGGTTTTCATAGCAATCTGCATCTGATGGTACTGCAATCCCAACTTCTCTTGTAAGAACTGCCCATAAATGCAGCTCCGGAGGTTGCTCTTCTGGCTCGCAATACTTTTGCGAGTACTTTTCTGGACAACACATGGTGACATGCAGATTTGGCAGCACTCCTGGCAGGGGGGGAGTCCCCTGGCTGTAACAGCCTTGTCCAAAGAACTACACGCTATCAGTCACATCTCAAGACAAAGCAAAGCCCAATTGTCATTGGAGCTTTTTTGTTCTGAATCTGACAATCTCCCATCTTTGTGTTAAGAGGCTGTAACTTTGTAGGTTTGTTTTTTTGAGAAATTATTTCTTCTTTCTATGTTGTCAGTTTCCCTATTGCCATCTTCTTCAGGATGCAAAACCTCGCATGTGGTTCAAGATAGGTTTGTCCAGCATTCGCTCATCACTTCCCTGCAGATAACGGCCCTCTCAACCGCGCTACCCCCGTAGCGGCAACCCCCATCCCCACAGCCGGACCTGGGGTCAACCAATCCCTACCGGGATTCCCCGACATCAAGGTCTACTTTTTTGTGATTGTGGCAAGGTCAACCGACAACGACGTCACACAGACCATGCTCGTCAACCAGATTGCAAGGATGAATGCTGACTACGGGGCCTCCGGTTATCCCTCACGTTTTGTCCTTGCGGGGGCGGTCAGAATTGTGAACCCACTGTGGGTCGACAGGGATGTGGACACAGAGGAGCGAATTTTCAACGAGATGAAGTTCCAGACTAGGATAGGAGGCCCACAGGTACGTAATGTGGTCAAGCTCTTGGAAGTTTTATCAAAGTTCATCATTTGCTGTCGCCTCTTGTGAATTGGTATGCCCTTTGCATGGTATGCCCTTTGCATGGTATGCCGAGGCCCCTTCTTTCCTTGCCTTAACTAAGGACCTGTTCGCTTATGGCCCTTAATCTTCTGCTTGTCTGTTATGCACGCTGGTATCTGTGATCTGGCATACCGCTTCTCCAATTGGATGGAAAGTGCATCGAAATGCTTATCTGCTTCTAGACGTGCCGGGTGGTTAAAAAGTGAGGTTCACAAAAAAGTTTGCTGCATCTTGGTACCGGATGTAGACCCACCCTCAATACCCAGAATCCTAAATGTCCTTCCCTCCCTTTCCAGGAGTTCAACGTATGGATTACCACCTTCTCCGACTCTGGCCTGAACGGGTATGCCACTTTCCCGTGGGACTACCAGGACGACCCCAGGATTGACGGCGTTGTGATCAGCAAGTACACGCTGCCCATGGACAGGAGCAACCGCAACTACCAGGCGCTGCGCAGCGTGGGCATCACGCTCACGCACGAGACGGGGCACTGGCTGGGCCTCTTCCACACGTTCCAGGTGAGCGCTCCGCAAGCAGTAGCAGAAGGGCAGGGGGTGGCAAGCGGTATGCCTTTTGTTGACCACGTTGCCTGGACAACAAGCTTTCTCAGTAAAATCAGCGTCGTGCGACTATGTTTTCCAACCTACGAAGTTGGTCGAGTACATGGCCTAGGCTTGCAAATTTGAGGTCGAGTATATGGCCTAGGATTGCAATTTGAAGCCCCAGCTTTCTATTGACTTTGGTGCTGCTTCTCATCCCCCTTGATAGAGTGGTGGCACACCCGTCCTTGCCTGCATGCACGTAGCTGCCGCTGCAGTTGCCCCGAACAGCTTCGCTTCCTGGAAACGCCCCCCTCGTCAGCAGTACTTCAACCGACGCTTAAGATGCCCCAGAACATTGCTGACGTGGTTCTTTTCCCGTGCAGGGCGGGTGCACCGGTAGCGGCGACTTTGTGTCGGACACTCAGGCGGAGGGGACGCCCAACGACTACAGCGACCCCGCGTGCACCAGGATGAAGTACTCGTGCCCGGCAGGGAGCAGGGCACCCCCCGACCCGATCTTCAACTTCATGGACTACGGGGCGTGCAGGCGCACATTCACGACCGGCCAGGTCGCAAGGGCGAAGCAGTACTGGACGTACTACCGGTACAACCAGGGTTAAGCGGGGGGTCAGGGCCGGTTATTTATGTGAGTATGGTTTCGTAAGGTGGGACAACAAGCGTTGTTTATAAAGAAGCGTGGTTGAAAGAGGGTGTGGACCTTAGGCGTAAATTGCAAATGGACTGGTCTGCTGCGAGTGGATCCGGGTTGTATTCAAAAAAGGGGTGTTTGAGAAGTCGGTTGTCGAAGGTTGTGCAGGTTTCTAAGTTATTGACGAAGTAGAGGAGGAGCTATGTTATATCGCACGCTGCCAGGGCGGGAAAAGGAGTGTGAGAGAGCAGCGAAGCTAGACCACGGTTCCAGCCACCTAGAGAGTCCGCATGCACATTTAGAGTCCTTGGCTAGAAATGAGCACGCCATGTAGTAGCCAGCAGCAGAGGCACGCACGTTGGCGGGGCACGCACGGCGGTAAGCACCATGCGATGGCGCTGCTCCCTGTCCCTTTTTAAGAACTGAAGATTTTATGGTTGCTGTAAAAGCTTGAGCGATAAAGTTACACTCGTGATCTGGCATCGACTCAAAACACATATGTACGTGACCTTAGTGGGGGATGAGCAAGCTTCATTCGGCCGTTTGTCGCATGCTACTTGTAAACGCTTTTGTTGGAGCAATTTTTGGAGTCTACAAACTTTGTTGTTCCGGTGTGGCTTGTCCAATCACATTGTGCGCTTATTCAAAGTTGCATTGCTGTCCGATTGAGTTGTCTGGCCCGCATAAACGTACCGACCATTGTGTAGCAACCGTCAAGACCTTGGGAACGAGCACTGCAGTCTGAGCTGCGGCATGCAGTCATTAGGCCGGCTTAACGCTCTATGATATCATATACGGGGGCCGCGTCATCCACTTCCGTGGGAGCAGGCCGCTGGCAAATGCATCACGTTTGATGTTCAGTATATCACACAGGCTTCACTTGACATAGCAGCTAGTATCGGTGGCCGATTTTCTTTTTCGGAGGACGGTCCGGACGCCCTTGCACAAGTGTTTTGACACGATGCCTTACCGTCAAGCTTTTACGGTCATTTTCCATTCATATATGTGCGCGCATGGCCGGTCGCGCAATATTTCTACACTTGTCGGCTTGAAGCCAGCGTATCATTTAGGCCGGTGGGTTGAGTTGCATGACGTACTCCTCAATGTTTGCATTGAAATAGTGACTCCCGGATAGATCACATCCATATGCATGCATGCACTGCACATGCATAATATATGTTGATCAAATGATCGAGCACAAAGTATATCATGGTTGAATCGATCGTAAACCCAAAGAGGGGCGCAGCGCCGCTTGACCGCCGCCACTGAGCTAGCTAGTCTAGCTAGCTATACCGACGACCCTCACCAATTCATACAGGTATAGGAAGTCGAATGATCACATGCCAGAGTCCAATATTGCATGCTCAATTAGAAGTTGCGTGCATCCGGCCACCAGCCCTGGAGCAACGCATGCATTCCATTTCACTGTCAACTGTAGCGATATAATATATAGCCCAAGCAAACCTAATCAATCACGTTCCTCTCATGTACGTCCGACATATATACATAGGGCCGGACACAAAATGAACCATGATTATTTGAGCAGGTGCATGTGAGCATAATCATGTAATCTTGCTTTACGGCCAGACTCACCCATGTCGGCCCATATACGCGGACCGGCCGGCCTGACTAGCAGCAACAATGCGGAGAACGGTGCCGCGAGTGAACGACCATCATTCCCTTTCTCTCGCGACCACTAGTCATGACCATACGGCATACAGGTCGACGTCAACACACAGCTCGTCAAGACGTACGGCTGAAGCTGATTGATCTATGCATGTGCATGCAATCGCTTCCGAGTGAGCTGTTAATATTCGTCCACTAAGACGCTTTGTTAGCAGTATATAATGTCGAGCGTACTGCATCGGCTTGCTTCAACGGCTTTCCATCTACCAGTACTTGTTGAACGTGATCTACACGTATCAACGGGAAGGAATAGACCTGCACATGTAGAAACAAGCAGGGTAAAGACCGAGAGCACGCAGCGATCAACAGCTGTGTGATCGCAAGAAGACTTGCTTAAAAGAGAGACTTGAATAAGATATGCACGGCTTCAGGGGCGAGCTCGTTTTCTCACTACAGTGAGCGAGCAAGCAGGCAGTACAACTGATCCGCACGACTGCAACGATTACTTGTTAGCGCCAGGCGGAGGTCAAGTACTCATTAAGTAATGTTATGCGATTGAGCAGCCAACGACACCAGGTGCGGCCTTACCTTATCTTGCCACCGCACCTCCTGCTGCGAGAAGACCGGGTCTAGAAGCGAGACAGTCGCATCCGCCTTGACCTGAGAGAAAGACAAAGCAGCAAATCAGGAAATCATCCATGGTTATTCCCCGGTCTGTCCAAGCTACGGTTCCAATGCCCCCTGGAATCATATAAGGCCCATCCACGCCCGTCTCAACGACCAGCTGACGTCCATCGTGGCGTCAGGACTCCTTCCTGTTCGCGACTCACCGCTCCCTCCCGGACTGCGTATACCGCCAGCACGCAGCAGCTCCCGTCTTTATCCACGAGTATGTACGTCCTGCACAGTCGGCACACACTGAGCGCGCACGGCCAGGGATTTGGCAGAAAGGGTGGCTTTGGAGCTGCTGAACGCCAATCTCGGTTTCTCTCTCGAAAACAGTTGCTGGCGCTGCAGGCTAGAGGCCTTATGAACCTGCACGTACCCGGCTTCTTGACCGCCGTGAAAGGCCCAACTCGCGCTTTATATGATTGAATTATCTATACATGATGTTTCTACGCAATGGGTTGAGCTTTTATCTAGAAAACACGCTGCAAACCGTCCTCATCAAGACGAAGCATCTCAGAAACTTTACTCTTGACTGCATCCTGGACGATGAAGTAGCTTCGGAGTCGTCTCCAGGGACGATCAAGTTGACTGGTCCACGGTTTCAGGACAGGGTTGACGAAAAGACTATACTGCCATGCCATCGAGTGTGAACGCGTCCTTACAATGGGTATGTGCTGTCGCTGGCGGCCTGAACGAGGACCTTTGCAAGCAGCGCCACGCCCTTATTTACACCCGGGGATAGGCTGCCCAGGGGAGCTACTCGGTGTGAAGAGGGACCTGTGAAATGAAAGCAAACGTGGCTGTGAGGGGCTTGCTTTTGACGACGCTCATGTCTAGTACAGAATTACGGCAAAAGAAGAGCCATCAAGCGACTTGCGGAGGAAAGTCGTACACACTGGCCGTGGCTGAGTGAGCCCATCTTTCTTCCTAGACGAGAGGAACGGTGGGAAGGAGACCGTCGGTTACCCTTGACTGCTTCGAGCATCCTGTCGATTTCGAAAGCAGCATGTCTCCGAGAAAAAGACGACGAGTCTGACAACTTGTCAACTAGATACTGTCCTCGAACCCAGTCCAACTTTCCAACCCTCGCCGAGCTCACCGGCCGCTGCTCCCAGCTCCGCAAGCGCCCCCGCCAGTTTCTTGGCCTTGACCCGCCCTTTGTTTGCGACCAGGTCCGCTAACCGCCCGGCCAGCTTCACGATCTTTTGCACCTCGGCCTCCGCGTTCAGCGAGGGATCCCTCTCCGCAGCGGCAGCAAAGTCGCGGAGGGCGTCGGAGTACTCCCCCAGATAACTGTGCACGGTCGCGCGGTTGAAGTGCAAATCCGGGTTGCACGCGGCGGCCGCGTCACGCTCCTACACCACCGAAAAGGACGACTCGGGTTTTTGATAGAGTCGATTCAAACGTAAGTGGAATAAAGAGTCGTTTTCGGGGCACTCGACAACTCTCGGCTTATGAATGTGGTTTTGACCCTTTCGCTCCTTGTTGGCTTGAATTATCTTAAACCGGCAACCCAGGTGAGCTGATGGGGCTGATTGCCTCTCTTCTGCCAAACGGAGAACAAAGGTTTGCTAGAGCGAACACTCATTCCAGGAGTGCCGGGAAGTGAAGGACTAGAATTGGAACGTTTGACTTGAACTAGCAGGGTTACAAAGACAAGCTGAGTGCAGAGCATACACTCGCAAACAATCAAAACAAGGAAATCTCAAAGACACCTACATCTTTCCAAAGACACTCCGTAGCCATCTGTTTCAACGATAAGACAAAGTTTCGAAATCCGGACCTTTAGCAGCCCACGCATTCCGGCTGGCATGCTCCACCAGCGATACTCGACCTGAAGTGACATCTCAACAAGGTGAAAAGCAGAGTCTGAGGGCCTCCGTTTCAAGCTCAATCTCGGAAAGATTACCCTCGACCTCCACTGTCCAAAAAAACGCCCATCAGATCTTATCAATTATCACCGCTGTGAGCTTAAAAGAAGGGTTCTTGTGCCTACGCACCGCGTTTTGGTACGCCTTGAGCGCCTGCCGCAGCTGGCCGAAGTCCCAGGCGCCGGTGGCGAAGTAGTGCGTGAGGAACGCGTTGCCCAGGGTGTACCAGCTGCGCCCGTCCCGGATGTCCAGCGCCACCGCCTCGCGCGCGTGGCCCAAACTCGCCTCCACTAGTTGCTGGGCCGCCTCTGGGTCCGCTGATACGTATAGAGATAGAAAACTGATTTCAAAAAGTGTGGTCGTCGAAGGGGAGGTTACTTGGCAGTAAGGCAGAACAAGAGGAGGTGTCAGTACATTCCAATTGATAAGAACTGCGGCCAAAAAGAATGTTTCGAGGGGGCGATTGGTATAGTCGAACAGGAGCAGGGAGAGCGAAAGTGAGGAACATTGCTGACGGTCTCTAGCGAATGAATAGTACTCAGGTTTAAGCAGCTCGGGCACCAAGTTTAAGTTCGATCGCATACGCAGGTCCAAGTGGATAAGTGAGGTGCATATAAGGAAAATCCTCAACCCTCCGGACTCTCTGTACGGAAAAAGGACGTCAGAAGTCAATTTCGATTAAGTACTTTCCCAGAACGGTCTGAAGATTGGAGGAATCAGAAAAACCCTTTTGAGAGTTGAGTGTCGAACCAACTTTTTTTTCGAAAGTGAAGGAGCCGTCAGTTCGCCCCTCAGCTGCTGGACTAAATTCTGTCAGGAAACAACACTTGCTGCCGGATTCAATGACACTTTCAAAAAGCACAGTCAGACGGTACCGCCAGCTCAAAGAGATAGTCAATGGAGTAGCCCAGCTGGGGAAACTAGGCTGGACTGGCGCTTACCCTTGGCCAAGCTCCGTTCTAGCATCGAGAGCTGCTGCAGTGCTTCTTTATGTGGTCCCTTTTTCAGGGCTGCCTTGAAGCAATTCTGCGCCTGGCTGAGGTCCCCTTTCTTCCAGAAAGAGTGGCCTAAACACGCCCACGCGTCCGCCAGCGAAGGATCCAGCTTCACCTGCGAGGTTGAAAAGCACACTTGATATACAAGATTGAGCTGGATCACCGCTTGATGTCAGTCATCTTGCACCAGGTTATTTTGAGCAGTATCAGATTGCCAACATGCCAAATGGAAACCAAGCCCAATCAGAGATTTTTCCAGCTGATGACCATACTGACAATGTCGCAAGACTGACCCAACGGATCGGAGTTCGCTCGGGAGATGCCTCATTGGCCACTGAAGAAGGACAAGCGGGCTTTGAACGCAAGTGAGTCCTACTACAATTGTAGGCATTTTGATCAACTTACCGCTTTAGAGAGCTGTTCTTCCGCTTCTTTTGAGAAGTCCGGCCCCACATCAAGAGCCTTCCCTCGGAGATATGCCACATGGCCCCTTTTGCTAGACACCGCCGTTTCATTTGCCAATGTTTCTATCATCAGCAAGACTTCTTTGACTCCACTGTCCAGCTTTGCTTTCTTGTCTGCTTCTTTCTCTGGATAGAATGTATCTCGCAATTGGTAAAGCTCGCTGATCTTAGCAACAACTGCCAGGCATGGATCAGAAGAATCGTGGCTGACATGACTGGGGGAACCCATTGCTGAAGTCGAACAGCAAGGAAGCACAAGAGAATTTGCAACGCTCAAGTTAGGGTTTGGTCGATGGAATCAAACCCTAATGTTGTTGTTCCCGCAGTTGCTCCTCAACCTACCCAGTCTTGCCCCTGCCTGCGAATGCAGCTGCTCCTCACTCAATTGAAAATAGACATCCTTCAGAAAGTCCTTTAAGCTTGCCGAGTTTAGTCTGTAAAGAACTGGCACCTCAAGTCCCCCACTCTCCTACAAATTCCTCCTTGCCAAAAGCTCTGATGGCAGCTCACCAACGGCTCAAAATGCCCGATGCCCACACGGAGAGCTCCTGCACTGGCAGCTGCTTCTCTCACGATGCTTTGAACTCTTTGCCACGATGCGCATTTGCCACCTTCCCCAGTCAGGCTAGCTACATAATCAAATTGCCTACCATACTACGGTATGCAGCTTCACAGACTGGCGACTTGAGTTCATGCAGTGGCCCAGGCGGGCGCGTGCTGCGCGCGGCGCGAGCTGAGCAACTTAGGCTAGGGTAATGGGTTGCTGAGGCCCTCTATCTGCTCCGCTCTAGTTGTTGTCACATACCTCGTCACGACTCACAAGACGCGCACAAGTCGGACTCATCAGAGTCAGCGACTGCACTCTGCAGTGTGCAGGGCCACCACATCCGCTGCGTTCCACTGCCAGTGCAGGGAGTCCGCTCAGGCCGGCAAGTTCTCCTTCTCAGGGTCAGAGTAAAGGAAGTAACCATGGCGCAAGTTCAAGCCCCTCCTCAGGCCCAGGGTGCTCAAGCTGGACCGGGCGGCAGTGGGCCTGCCCCTTTTGCTTCCACGTCACTGTACGTTGGCGACTTAGAAGCCAATGTGTCGGAAGCACAGTTGTATGAGGTGTTCAATCAAGTGGGGCCGGTGGTGTCCATCCGGGTGTGCCGGGATCTGATAACCAGGCGCTCCTTGGGATATGCGTATGTCAATTACAACTCGGCCCAGGACGGTGAGTTCCAAGTGGTTGTCATGGATTGTCAATGGGTGTCAAATGGACCGCGTCTTTGGAAGGCTGCCTCTGTGAACAGAACGCGGTGTCATCATTCAAGACTTGCAGGGGCTCTTATTGCTTTGGTAATGGTCCTTTCAAGTTTTGAGACACGAGTTCAGCAGTAGCAAAAAGCATGCACCATCCTTCAGAACAGATAAGGCCAGGCTAAAATGGTGTTACAGAGTACTCCTGAAAGTGGTCAGGGGGGATATTCCAATGTGCCCGCCAGTTTGACTCACTGCATTGCGTCAAAGGCCGAAAAAAGGCACAAGGTGTTTCGCCTTTCCACGGAGAAAGTGTCCTCAGGCTCCTTGACTTGGCGCTCTTATCTTGATGAAAATGACAGCCGTCAGAAGTATCGGGCTTACCTCCTCAATCAATTATCCATCACGTGCCCGGACACATAAAGCAATTTGACAGCCTTCCGTGTTCCTAAATGCGTATGCTGATTATGCGCTGCACACTTTTGCTGGCGCCCCTTGTTTGAGATCAGAGAGAAGCTGCAATCAATTGTGCATGTCCGCCCGTTGCCCCTGCTGCCCTTCCACTTGACTGGTTCATTCCGTCCATAACCTATTGTGAAATCGTTACCATGCCTCAGTGCCTGTGCTTAGAGTTCCTCACCGGCTTACTGTGCAGCCCAACGCGCGCTCGAGGTCCTCAATTTCCAGCCAATCAATGGGAAGGAGATCCGGATCATGTTCTCTTCCCGGGACCCCTCCTCGAGGAAGAGCGGGGCTGGCAACATCTTCATCAGGGTAAGCAGTGGCTTCCGCGGAATGCCACCATCTCAATCAGGAAATGGCGCCCCTAATCCTACGAAGAAAGTGCAAGTGGCTCAACTGGAAGGCAACTCAGGATCGCCTGAATCAGGGCTTCCAATTGCATTGCTGATTTCTTTCACCAGATAGAGGGAGCGCTAGGTGAATTGGTTGACATTTTGCGTATTTGTTTGGATCTTCAGATGGGGCAAGCCTGGAGAGAGAAAAGCTGACCTCGGAGAACACCACGCTCATGCTCGTTTCTCAATGTGTGATGCGTATGGTAATTTCCAAAGCTCTTTGTAGGACCCTCCATTTGGTGGTCAGTGAGTGACTGACTTGAGTGGGGCGGGGCAGGATTCCCGTCAAAGTGCTAATGTCATTTGGTTCTCGCTGCAGAACCTCGACAAGGGCATTGACAACAAGGCGCTCCACGACACGTTTGCCGCTTTTGGCAGCATTCTGTCTTGCAAGGTTGCCACCGACAATGCGGGCCAGTCCAAGGGCTACGGCTTCGTGCAGTTTGAGTCCGAGGAGTCCGCTAACCAGGCTATTGAGAAGGTCAACGGGATGCTCCTCAACGAGAAGCAAGTGTAAGTGGTCACCTTCTGAACACCTCCCATTTCTCCCCTCTGGGAGCGGTTATACATTTTGAAAAGCATCTGAGGAGCATATGTTGGGTTTTGGCGCCACATGCTGTGAGGAGGTCTGTTGTCAAGTTTCTTGTTATGACTATATGTTGGAAATAGAGTACTGCCCTGCGGAGCAAGTTGGGGCCTGCTCAGACTTCGACCAGTGCTAAAGTCTCACGCTGCTGGGGACTGGGCGCTCGAGTGCCTAACTTCTTAGACTCTGCGCGTGGATCTCAACTTTCTGGCAGTTGCCCATGGGCAGTCAGGCAAGGTCAATAGATTGTAGGGGATCCAGGACTTCCTAAACACAGAGTGCGTTCGGCGGATGGCAATATGTGATGGTGCAGGACCATTGGTGGTTGCTCTGGGCCTTGCAGTGGACTTCAGGCTTGGAGAGGTCAATCTGGGTTAGGGGCTCTTGTCGTGCCATTACTTGTCACAAAGTTTCTAGATAGTGTAGATAGATGGTGACTCTCTCAAAGTTTGGGCGTTAGGGTCAGTCAGGGTCACCCCGTGCTCTTCCCCGCACCAGCGATTGGGCATTTCAACGCCGCTGGAGGAGCAAAGCGTGGCAGTAGTCGCACCCGGTCTATAAGTCCCGTGCACCAGCCTGACTCTTGGTGTTGCAGGTATGTGGGTCCATTTGTGCGGCGGCAGGAGCGTGACGTGGGCGCAGCGTCGTCCAAGTTCCAGAACGTGTACGTCAAGAACCTGGGGGAGGACGTCACCGAGGAGAAGCTCAAGGAGGTCTTTGAGGAGTTTGGGAAAACCACCAGCGCTGTCATCATGAAGGTGAGGCCCCCTGCGAGGGCAGTGTTGCAATCACGGAACGTTTGGCTTCGTGATTCCTTCCGTTCTCTGGACCGACTGATGGTAGTTGCGATGGGGCGGGCACACTCGTTCCGTGCATACTGCATCTGACTAGAGCGCTTTGTGTCCTTCTGATTGTTTCGAAGCATAGATACCAACCCATGCTGATGTTGCTACGTGCCATGCATTCTGAGCTGTTGCAGATGGGACTGGAGGCTTGCAGATAAAGTCAAGTCCTGTCAAGGTGACTTCACCCACAAAGCCCTCAATCAAGGAATGCTTAGTCTGCTGCTTTTGTCCTGCCGCAGGAGTCGGACGGCAAGTCCAAGGGGTTTGGCTTTGTCAACTATGACGAGCCGGAGTCAGCCGCCAAGGTGAGCAATTGGCACTGCCTTCAATGCTGACCCAGGTTGATGCAGAGTATCTTTCGGTCTCCTGAGAGTGCGTGATAGTGCTTAGGGAGCAAGGACAACTGCTCGCCCTTGAGTTCAAGAGAACGTGGAGCCAGCAGAATGTTCACTTGCTGCAGGAAGTGAGCCTGAGGGTCTTTTCTTGTTTCTCGAGTTTGGCAGGTCAGGTATCAATCTTGAGGCGAGAGGCATAAGTTGGTGACGGTTTTGGCTCGAGTTGCACAGCGTTGCAGGACCTTGTTTGAAACCTCTGAAAGCTTGTGGGCTCGTGTGACGTGCCTAAGGTGAAGCTTATACTTAGTCTCTTGCATCAAGCTTGCTCGGTTTACAAGGCGTTTCAAGGAATGCTTGCTGACAAGCCATCCAATTTATGAACATGCTGTTGATCTCCGGACTCTATTCATTCAGGCGGTAGATGCCTTGAACGGCAAGAACATTGATGGCAAGGAGTGGTTCGTGGGGCGCGCTCAGAAGAAGTCCGAGCGCGAGCAAGAGCTGCGCAACAAGTTCGAGCAGGAGAGGAGGGAGAAGGCCGAGAAGTTCCAGGGGGTAAACCTCTACCTCAAGGTGAGGCACCGAGGAAGCCCCCCGCTGCGGAGGATTTGGATTTTCGTGGCAGAGGACAGAGGGGTTAATCAAGAGGTGACAGTGAAGTGCTAGCTATCTCTGAATATTCTGAAGACAGAGCGTTTGGGTCATATGGAAAAGGTGGCTGGTGTTGGGGCTTGTCGGAGGGAATGATTTGACTGGGTGCGCTCACTGCAGAACCTGGACGACACCTTCGACGATGATAAGCTGCGCGAGCTCTTCTCCGAGTTTGGCACAATCACCTCCGCCAAGGTGAGGCCTGGGTCCAATCTGCACATGGTGTCAAGTTCGCGGGGGTTGATGAACTCTCGTGCTCTTGAGTCAGGCCTCGACTGGAGTGTCCATCTGTTAATTCCTGGGCACCGAGAGAAGGCCTGCTGGTATCCTTATGTGTCTTGACTTTGTGGTCTAGATAGAGGTTGGAAGGGAATTAGAACGTCGGCCAAAGGTGACCATATTTACAAGTACGCAGTTTTTGAGTCAGAGCGCTCACAAGCTTGGGATATATTTAGCTGATGTAAAGACCAAGTCCTGGATTCAGTAGTTCGAAGAGTGTGCTTGGTTACCTTCAGATAAGTTTATGGGTTCAGAACAACATGGAGCTGACCTTCGTATTTGGAGTCTGTAAAAGCGAGGTATCTTCTGCCGGTCTTCTAACGTGGCAAATCGTGGTGGTGTCAGGTGATGAAGGCCCAAGATGGGACGAGCAAGGGTTCAGGGTTTGTCGCCTTTAATGCCCCGGAGGAGGCCACCAAGGCGGTACGTCCACCTTCCTTTTGTGCTTGTTCGATAATTGGATAGTTCCTTGATGTTCCTGGTTTTGAGGGTCCATTTTTAAGGGGCGTCTAATGTCCTGGTTGTCAATTGGTGTAATCGTCCAACTTGGCCTCAAGAAGGTGCTCATATGCGGAGTCTGAAGGATGGAAGTTCCGATCCGACAAAAATGTTAGCGTAGTCTGTTGTTCCGAATCTGGCGGCCGACGGGTGTCACTCTGAAGCATTCTCGTGGCCATGGTTAAACCACGTCAGTTCGTTAGTTGCATCTGTCCCTCTCTAGTTCTTATCGAGTGACGACCATCACGCTAATCTTCCATCTGCTGAATGCACGTTGCTCATCTGTTGTGCGGCTGTGGTTGTGACAAGCGAGAGCCGAACTTAGCCGCAGCAAAGAGACCAACGTCCGCCGTTGATCTGTGCAGGTGACTGAGATGAACGGCAAGATGGTGGGCAGCAAGCCGCTGTACGTGGCCCTCGCACAGCGCAAGGAGGAGCGCAAGCAGAGGCTAGCGGTGAGGACACCCCGCGTCTAGTTCTCCTCTTGTGTCGTCACGATTGTTTTCCTTTGGTTTCGCTTTACAGGGCTTGATTGCGTTTATTGTAAAGGTTGCCGGCGAACTAGTTTGTCGAGGTGCAGAGCCCGTACACTTTCTGTGGCCTTTCTCAAGCTCGGAGTCCCATTCCCAATCCAAATATTTGCTGAAAGGGGATAGGTGCACCCAAATTTCAGAACTTCCTCCTCCTCATCTCTGTGAAAGCCAGGGCGAGTTGCTGATCCAGGGCCCCTCTTGCCGTTCTTTCGACTCCGCGATTGGATCTGCTCTTGCTACCTCTAGATATAGATCCGGGAAACGACTGACCTTGAAAATCCTCACGAATGTTGCAGAAACTACTGCCGGCTCGTCCAAACTTTCCTAACTTCACCTTTCTTCTCGAGCCAGACTCGTCGATCATTCTAATCTCAAAGTCGCCTCGCGCCCTCATTCACTTACCAGCCCGAGTCTCTACAACCCTCTTTGTCAGCCTTCGCTTGCGTGTTACCAACCTTCGCCCCCCCCCCTTCGAACTCCACAGGTCCAGTTCCAGCAGAGGATTCCCCAGGTGGGCATGGGCGGGAACGCCCCCGCCAACATGCCCATGTACGGCCAGCTCCCCCCCCCGGGCCAGCAGATCTTCTTCGGGCAGCCCCCCCCGGGGCTGCTCCCCCCTCAGCCCGGCTACGGCTACCAGCAGCAGGTGCTCGCCCCCGGCATGCGGCCAGGGATGCAAGCGATGCCCAACTACTACGTGCCAGTCGTGCAGGTGAGATTTTTAGTCTCTCGGTCAGGTATAGTAGGCTTATAGTCATACCACTGGGACGGGAAGGGTTAGGATGGTGGTCAGGGCGGGTTCGTTTGCTGAGCGTTTTAAACATCTAGGTTTAGGTTTGCAGTGGTAGCTTCGTTCTTGTCACAAAGTTTCTAGAGAAGTATCACGAGACCCCTTGAGTCACCTCCGATCTGTAAAAGTTGAATAGTCTACTTACTGCTGACCTTCAGAAACTTTCTGGGTTTGACTATCAAGGCTCGGTATCTGATCGTTTGAGCCCAGCCCGGAACTTGCAGAATCAGGAGGGCAGGGCTTTTTCGCGTTCCAATGATCGCATCAGACGGATTGCTATTGCTGCTACAACACCCACTGCTTTCGCCATCTGAACGCGGGATTTGCTGCTCGAAAGAAAATCTCAACTCTTGCTGATTTTTGGTCTTGATCAAAGCCTCAGTTTATTTGCTGTAGGTATCAAGTATAGACTTGTTTGCTTCTCAGAGGTCCAGTATTGTTTCACTGGAGGATTTTCTGTGTTGGTCCTTGATACGTACATGCAATTTGGCACCAGTGGCGAGCCGAAAACCGAGTGACGCGTCCGTTGTTGAACCTTCTTGGCCTCCTGGACTCCCTGCCAAATCCTCCGTTCTGTGCCTCACCGAACTCTTCTCGTCTGCAGCGACAAGGCAACCAGGGCCGCGGGCGGGGGGGTCGCGGTGGCCCTCAGCAAGGCCCGCTGGGCCCAGGGGGTCGCCAGCCGCCGCAGCAGGGCCAGCGGCAGGGCCCCGGCCAGTTCCGCTACGGTCCCAACGCCCGCAACCTGCCCGGGGGGCCTGAACAGGGCCAGGGCATGCCCCCCCCGGGGCTCAACCAGCTGCCGGTCCCAATGGAGGTGCCAGGGGGCGTTGCAGGCCCGTCGGCGGAGGGGGCGGTGCCCCCCATTGCGGTGCTAGCGTCGCAGCTGGCGTCGGCGCCGCCAGAGCAGCAGAGGGCGGTGAGTGGGCGTTCTCAGTCATGCTCGATCTGCTCTGGTCTCGAGCAATAATGGCAGAATCTGTTTACATCGTTCCTTCATCCCGTGCCTTCTACCTCCCAATCATTCCGTGGTCCCATAGTGCACGACCTGCGGCTGTATCGTTATTTGACGGTGAGCCGTTTTACCTCGCTGACCGGCACCACTCCAGTCGCCCGCTTTTATTTGTTCCTCTACCTATCCCTTCCTTCCGACCACGTGAGGACGCCTTCTCAATCTTCACGCTTTCAATGCTGCCAGACACCATGAGCCCTCTGATCTGTTTCAAAACCAAGCGCGGAACTTCTTACCAATTCCGGTGTCGGTTGCACAATCTCAACGGTGGCGATAAACGGTCTGAATGTGATCCTGTCCTAAGGCAGATGCTGGGCAAGCAGCTGTACTCTCTCCTCGCTTCGTTCGAATTAGATTAAGCTTATTGCCCTCCCCCCCCTCTGTCAGATGCTGGGCGAGCAGCTGTTACCCCCTCGTCTCGCTTCTGCTTTTGTACGGGAGTTCTGTACGAGATAGTTCCGTTCTCCCCTCCCGCTGATGCTGGGCGAGCAGCTGTACCACCCATTCTCGCTTCACTTCGTGTACCTTCTTTTAATTTCCCCTCTTTCCTCCCGCAGATGCTGGGCGAGCAGCTGTACCCGCTGGTGGACGCGCTGGAGCACGAGGCGGCCGGCAAGGTGACGGGCATGCTGCTGGAGATGGACCAGACGGAGGTGCTGCACCTCATCGAGTCGCCCGACGCGCTGCGCTCCAAGGTGCAGGAGGCCATCGAGGTGCTCAAGCTCGCGCAGCAGCAGCCGCCGGTCGACCAAATGGGGGGGCTCTCGCTCAGCGAGAACGGGTCCGCCTAGGGGGGGGTGGGGGACAGAATGGGTGTGAGGCGGTGGATATGGTTTTGGGACGAGGGGGTGAGGACGGGGGTTTGGCAGCAGAAGCGAGGGGTTCCGGGATGTGGGTTGAGGCTCGGGGGAGGAGAAAGGCGGGTTGGGGTCGTTTCGGCGTAATGATTGGCGATCAGAGTGTTCTTGGGAAGAAAAGGTGGCGGAAAGGGTGTCGGTGTGATCTGGGCCCTCTTGGGGAGAGGCCGTTGGCGCCCCTCCTTCGTAGCTGTATTAGGGAAGTGCGCGGGAAGGAGCCGATCGAAAGAAGAAGTTGTCATCAATGGAGAGTTTGCTTGGTTGGGGTCCGCGTGCAACGCATGCGGTAAACGCCAGTCTGAGCAGATGGGGAAGTTTCCAGTCAGAGTATTGAGAGTCAGCTGCAGATAAGTTTGCGATGCGAGCCCAGTCAGCATTCAGCAAATTGAAGCGCGGCGAAAAGTATTGAGCAGCAAAATGGAGACTCCGCGAGTCGCTCGTTGCGGCTTGAGGGGTCGGATGTCCGATGATCCGAGGCTCAAGGAGTCGAAGTTCGAGCGAAGCTAGTAAGGCTTTTTGGGAAGAGAGCACATTGGGTACTCCCCTCTCAAAATTAACGATGGGGGGTGAGGGAAAGGTTAAGTGGCAGTGGCTGGTCAGCCAGCCGAGCGCATCCAGAAGCAGGTTGCAAGGCCTGAGAAAGCACGTCTTTCAAAGGTTGGAATAAGTTTTCCGTCATTCTCGAGTAGCCTAGTTGTTCACGGTGTTTGGGCGGACAAAGGCGTTGGTGTACTACAGAACCCTCACGGCACATTTTGTCTCGGCAGGCTAAGCCGTCTAAAGCATCACGGATAACTGGACGGTGTCCGAGATCTATTCACGGTATTGCATGCGTGGGTAAGCATTGATGAATATGTATGTTTGTGTGGGCTGCACGCGGTGTCAACTGGGCGCATGCTGAACTAACCGCATGGGCGCTTTCCCTCTTGTGCCGACCATAAGTTGGCAGAGCATACGCTTTGATGGCATGCAGTGGCGACAGGCATTGATGCACATACTTGCTGCGGCGGCACGTATATACACCAAAATTAGCGAGCTCCTGTTTATAAAGACCTTTGGCACACGCCGAGGCTATAGCTAGCTGCACATGCATGCATGTATGTAAAAGGCGCCTAGGTATACTAGTTGGATGTACGTATCCCAAATTACCGGCGGACTCAGCCGCCAGGTGGAGCTCGCGCGGGAGCACCCCCGAGCCATTGCGAAAGCTGCGTCGGGGGAACTGGCGGCGGTCCCAATTCCCCCCAATGACGTGTCCGGGCTCATGACACCGAGGACATGATGAACACGATCGCGGACCTGATCTACAAAAGCTTCCGCAAGGGAAACGACAAGAAGTACTAAGTCAAATTTTAGTGTCCACTTAGCATGGATAACAGCTACCCCGTAGCAGCATTGCAAAACATCTCATTTGCATATCATCCGATCCATGCATCCGGCACATGCTAGCTCAGTAGAGTAATTTGTTTATCTGTTTAGCATGCGTCCAGGTTACTTGCATCTACCCGGACATGACTTACAGCCGTAGCAAGCCGTAGAGTCAAAAACACCCATCCCGGCGGATTGGCCGGAGACCGTGCTCAATGGTTGAATGAGGTTAAGGGCGTTATAATAAATTGGAAGTTACCACCATTGCAGACACTTTAGCTTTGCACATAGAAATAAATAACTTCATGTAGGAATTAATACCCATATATGTCGCGTCAGTGTCCAGTGCTATGCGATTGCAAAGTGGTGGGCGGTATGAACGTCGTCGATTATGCACATGAGCCGCTGCCCTGGAACTATCGTACAGGACGGTCACGGAGCTAACGCGTCATGAATTACACCCATGACAACACATTCACTTGCCAAGCTGGCAGATACAATTGGAGCTGTACGTTGCATGTTGCGGTCGGACAAAGTCTCGTATGAGCCTCCGTTGGAGCGCGCTCTGATCGAGCCTCCGTTGGAGCGCGCTCTGATCATCACCTGACATCGGATGTCAGGAAAGAGCTATCATAGTAGCGTATGCATTACGGTCACCAGTGACGGGAAATAAGGTCATCCGACCGACAATCGACAGCTGTGTATGGATCAGTGATCGACGTGAGCGACTTAGTGCCACAGGATTCACATGGCGCACAAATCGTTTCACATGCTCCACGGCCGCATTTTGTACCGTGGGGACTTTTGCGGCAATGGTCCAAAACTTTGCTCTGATCGGCCCAGCGTCGAATTCTACTGCATGCTCGCAATCCTTGCACTACAACGACGTTTGAAGGCTTTTGAAAGTCGACGTACGACCGCCAGACGCCGCAGAAACTTGCTGACCCTACCGATAAGCCTTGAACGCAGCAATGAGCTGTGAGCAGAACTTATGAATGTTTTTTGGGCTCCGATATCATCAAGCTCAATTGCCCGGTGGGGTCGCTGCTCGGAAAAATGAACAACTTCGCCCTTTCGCAAACCCAACCAGCTCAGCTTCCGTCACGCTTGCCGAAATCCCTCTTGCCCTCGCTACGCCGCAACCTCCACCTTCCTCGCCGCCCCCATGAAGGGGCAGCCCCCCTCGGCCTCGCTCAGGAGCGGCGCCCCGAGCGCCACGCCGTGGGGGGGCAGCTCTCCCGGCTTTTTCATCCCCCTGATCACCTCCAAAAAGATGACCGGGTCGTAGTACACCTCAATCGTGGTCACCTTCATGTCCTCCAGCGTAACCACCGCAAACCCGGTCATGTTAACCGTCTCCCCGGTTCCCTTGTTCCCCTCATACTCGCCCGCAAACGTCGCCCAGTGGCGCCAGCTGAACGCCACTTTCGGGGGGCCGGAATATACCTCCAAAACCTCCCAGGGGAACCCCCCCGGGAAGGCTCCCCGGAAGTGCGCGTGGCTGCTCTCGAACGTCTCCGCTTCGGCGTCGTATAAATTGCGCGGGCACGCGGAGAGGAGCACGTTGTAGTTGCCCCGCGAGGCGGCCTCCTCGCCGCGGAACACGCGGCCGCCGTTGGCACTCACCGCGTACTTGGCGTGGGCGACCGTGCCCCACTGCGAGAAGGGCTTGTGGGACGCCTCCATCTCCCTGCGCGGGCGGAGCAAGGGCAGACGAAACTTACTTCGAAGTCGCTGTCTAAGTGGATTGATCGGGGGAGCATGATTCAGCCGCTGAGACAGCTGGAATTGATATGAATGCTTCCATGAAGGAGCAAAACAACGGCTGCAACAGGGCGAAAGTGCAGACTGCTTCTCAGACTGGCAAATTCGAAAGGTAGTGGCAGTGGTTCCAGCCTAAAATCGTGTCCACAAACCGGTAAGAACTGGGCAAAACCTCGAACGAAGACATATTACGTTTCAGCAAGTTTACAAACAGCGCTCACCACGTCTTGACGAGGTTCTCGACGACCAGCTCGAGCGAGCCGGCGGGGTGGTTCTTGGTCTTCCCCCGGAAGTAGGCCAGATTGGCGATCGTGTAGTCGGGCTTGCCCTCGCGCCAGTCGATCCCCGGGGCGTCCAAATTGCCCCGGTCTGGCTCCAGCCAGCCCTTCTCGTTCTTGATGCGCTCCAACTCAGCGCGTGCGCGGGCAATGTCCTCACTGGAGGGACCGTATACCGAGGGCTTGAAGCTGGCGGCGCTTACCTGCGAGGAAGAGACCAGCCAGACGGTGAATCAGTGCGACTAGACCTGTACGTGCAAGTCTTAAGCGAAGCTACTTTTGATTGAACTGCTCCGTCAGTAGCCGACTCAGTGCGCAAAACGTACTCGGGATAGAGTCGATTACAAGGAGACTCCACAGAGGTGCGGTGGTTGGAAAAAGGAAAGCAGTGACCAAGCGTTGCTTTTGGCGGTCTTCTGTTTGGTCAGTCTGAAAATGCGACTAGATTTTGGATCTCTGTTTAAGGAGATTTGAGGTGACATTCCTTTTGACAGAACCGCCGGAAATACTCCGCTCAAGCATCATCCTTGAGGTGGCAGTGGTGAGACGGCAGACAGTCTTTCTGCTGACCGCTCAAAAAGCGTGAATACCAGCTTCGGCTTAATGGGGGCAGTCACGTCACATCTGCTTGAGGAATTATTCCTTGCTCAGGATCCACGTCTTCCGAAGAGAGATTTGCAGAGAGCGAAAAAGCCCACTATCATTGGGCAGCACAACTCAAGCCTAAGGAAACAGGAGCGGGATTTGCTGTTAACATCAGGATTCAGACACGCTACTAGATATCCTGCCTCTTCCCACAAGGTACGAATTCAGGAGCTGCGAGAGCCTGAGAGCTGCAGACTAAAACACTTTGACATAGTTGCGGAGGGAAGGCCTACAATCAAGGGTCATGAGAAGCTAATTTCCTTGTGTGTCACAATGTTTCCTTGTGGGTCATGAGCGCCCAGTAAATTTTTCTAGAGAATGATGGGCCATCCAGAAGCAGACAACTCCAAAGCAGAAGAATCAAGAGAAGCAGGAGACAAGAAAGTGTTCAAGGATTGCCCCTGCCCGGTTTGAACACTGGTGAGGGCCTGAAAGCATGTTGATTTGGACAGCATTGTCCTTCTTGCAAAGGTCTAGAGGGCTCTCTTTTTTTCAGCAGCAGCCTGCCTTTAGCTTTGGTGTTTCAAAGACGAAGGCAAGCACAAAAAGTTGCATTCTTGCAAGTCAGAGGTAAACCCAGTGGGAATGAGGTGTTGGCCTGTCAACCATAGGAGGGCACATCCACTTTGAGGGACACTTTCTCACTGTAACTATCATGAACTTCTGAGCAGTTGTACATTGAGACTACCTTGAACGTTGAGGAACGTTCTGCAGTTAATGGAGCTCTAATCATCTCTCAGCATCACCCATGTATTCCTTCGAACCGTCCATCCTGTGATGGACAATATCTGGACAGGGAGAGATAGTTGTTGCAGATAGTTGTTGTGTTTGCATATACTCAAGTTCGAATTCTGGTATAGGACCGTCAGAGCACACCCTCACCTGCTGCCTTTCCTGGATGTCAGAAGCAGCCAGAGCTTGCACAGTTGGCGCCATCAGAGGTGGTGTCTTTCTCTTTGCAAGAGTATGCTGTGCAACCTTGAATTAGAAGCTATTGGTAGACACAATTCGGTCTCTGCGGCCTTCAAGTTCCGCCGACTTGCGGGGCTGTCTGGGAATCCCTATGCTGGCGCTGCAAGCAATGCCAAGAAAAGCAGGCAATTGAAGCGGAGGGGAGTCTTTGCTCCGCAACGGAATGTCTGCAGAGAGAAGCAGAGAACGGAAGTACCGTGGCTGCTGCAGAATCAAGCTGCTTTCCAGTGTTTTGAAAGGACCTCTTGAGCGGACAATGAGGAGGTGACTATCTCTCAGTGTCATCAACAGTTTGTGCGGAAGAGGAGAAAGTCATCTCCTTGGACCAGGTCTCTTACTAGAGGCCGCTTCCTGCTCACGCCAATCATTGAAGTAAAGTTGACACTTTGAAACTTGTTCGTCATCAGTGTCTCTTTACTGTACGTACGGTATCCCTGCCAGCCTAATTGAAAGGCCAGGGATACGTACCGTACAGTATTAGGTAAAAGAGACACTGATGACGAACAGCCATCATGCCGGTTGCCTGCATTCACGTTAGACGAGCCTCGAAGCCCGAGGGAGCTCTAGGTATATACCGTATTACAGCTCAAGTGACCATGGTCGGAAGTAGGAGCCCAGTTGGAGTTCACTTCGTACGAGCGGAGTCTGCTCGTCATTGCACGGACACTACCCGGCACCGGCAGCTTTAATTTGGCCGGTACCGGCATTCTACCGGCCACCCTTCGGTTCTGCCGGTTTTACCGGTCTCTCCAAAGTCCCCGCATCCTCATCACCGGGGTTGTCAACGCTCTCTCAACCAAATTACAGCCGGTACCCGGTGGCCCACACCGGTTTTTCAGCCGGCTAGAGCCTGGCCGGCCGGCTGGGTGCCTTGGGCTAATTCGGCACCGGTTGGACCCTCCCTCCAGCCAGCTGGGTCCACACCACTGGACCACTAATATCGCCAGGACCACTCAGCGGTTCGTGGTAGGTAAACCGACAATGAACACTGTGAGCAGTGTGATTGGCGGAACACTGCCGGATTCTTCCAACATGAACGGCTGAGCCGCGTTCACGCCGATTCAATCTAAAACCCAACTTACTTTCCGTACAGTTTCCGCACGGACCATAATTGTCGCGCGTCATCGTAGTAAGATTGCACGGTAGAAAGGTAATCCTTGCTTCCGATAATCAGTAGTTACCCGGTAGTTACATCCTGAAAAGACGTCAGTCACCAAAGGGAAACGAAGGGACAAAAGATCTCCATTTGACCGGAGTGCGCAGTGCGCACTGCTGCAAAACCCTCGGAGTCGGAAAGCCCCGCCCTGAGTCGACGCGGCCGCGCCTGCTCCTGCCCGGCACTAAATCATATGGCTACAGATGAGAACTTACAGATCGATGGTTGCACGGCAGTCCTCTTCTCCTACCGTGCAAACCACCGTACTATCAGCCGTAGCTAGTTGTGTAAGCGAACTCTGGAATTCACATACCGTCGGCTCTGAATGTTATATTGGCGGTATGTCGGATCGCATGGCGCACGGTATTGTAGGGCGGCGTGACCACACCGACTTCAAATGCAACCCAAATCGGGACGCTTGCTTGTGATAGAGTTACATGTCTCGTAATGCATCAAGCTTGCCACCTTCCGATACTGGCGCCGGGAGCAGCGCGGCCAAAACCGGCGGCTGAAAGAGGGCTGGCAATGATCCAATGATAAAACTGACTTAAGAATCCGGTTGCGCCATCGTCGCGATCATTTGGTACGATCTTGCGATGGATCAAATGAATTCGAGTTGCAGATTGAGTATATGAAAGGGTCAGTTTTCCAGCCACTGAGACGTCCGACAGATATAGTTTCATGCTTGCAGGTTTTCTTGAAACCTTAAGCAGTCTGTACCAACAATCAGCTGCACCCTAACATTCTAACATACTTCTACACTGCCTTCAATCTGGTGAATTAGCATGCGCAATGTAACATGTACATCGAGCAAGCACATGACTTGCTAATGCTCATTGTATAGTTACTTGTCCAATGCGCTCGAGCTTTAAATACCATGTTGATGACAAAACTGCTTCGATTGAGTTTCATATAGTTAACAAATAAGTGCACTTAGCATGCGTACTAGATTATGTCGCCGGGTCGTCACTCTGCGGTGTCTCGGTAACATGCGGTCTACCTGGAACTTTCGCATTATCTTGATTCTCTAAACTACGCATGGTTCAGATCCGAAAAAGCAGAGTCTGATAGCAGAGTGCGTACTTGTTAAGCAGTCGACGTATTTCTTATCGGTGCAGCCCATTGGTGACCTCCCGAACGGATTTAAGAGGTTCAAATAACCTGCGTCGCGGCAAGACAGCTCCTGATAGATATAGCTAAACCCGTCAGATTCGTGGATAGCTAAAGGTCCCTCCGTGATGCTTTTGTTTATAAAGACAATTAGTGGATGGCATAGAGTTGAGGGAAGCTGTCAAATTGAGTTTTATCACACCGCAATCAACCCCATCGTACAAGGTCAACATCCCGACACCCGTTCCCCCATCCTCCTTATGACGAGCTCGCTTCCGCGGAAGGAGCCGGATCCCAGCGGAACGTTCCCCAGCCCTCTAGTCTTTTGGCACCCAGTGACTCGTAAAACTTGATGCTCGGTTCGTTCCAGTCTAGGACCGCCCACTCAACGCGACCGTCAGTTAACCGCCGCAGCTCCTGGATGAGCGCCTTGCCGTAGCCGTGCTTGCGGTACTCGGGCAACACAAAGAGATCCTCCAGCCAGATGCCGGGCCTGCAGCCACAAGATAAGGAAGGTGGAGATCTCGAATGGTGTTTATCATTATCCGGGCTTTGGTAGAGGATCCGACCCTGCACGAGCGTAAAGCACGGTCTTTGGCATCCATGTGGCCAAATCTCTTCAAGGTTCGTGGCTGTGGACGGGCTACGGTTTGCGCAGGCAGGTTACTTTTGACCGTGTCCTGAAGCAAGTGGACAGTCCTAGAGCTGTCACAAAGCTGGCTCTGCAGGCTGGCCGTCTTGCAAAAACCAAGGACGCTTTACAAGCACTGCAGATCCTCCTCTGCAAACAGTGCATCCTACACGGAGCTGGTGGTTTCATGGCAGTCAAAAGACAGCGGCGGATGAGCCCAGTGGGCGTGCATCATCAAAGGGTCATCGAACCCCTGCTGACCTACGGTGCATCGATCTCCAGCACGGAATAAATGTTCCGGGTTGCGATGCACTTCGGCACCGGATCCCCGATCAGACAGATATTCAGCCTGAGATTCTTGAGCTGACGTACAGCGCTTGGGTCTCACCTCCCCAAGAAAGTCGAGAAGGTGGTGAAGTAGAGGGCGAAGCCCGCCACCTTGTGATCGTCCGTCTCCGCGAGCAGGACCTTGGCGGCAGGGTTGGGGCCGAAGAGGTGCTCGCGCATAACCTCTCGCTTCAACACAACCTCGTGCAACAGCTGCGGGAAAAATAACACGAACTGGTTGGATAAGTCATCCGTCATTTCGTCACCAGGCTGCTTGTGCCTGCGAGTTTTCACAGTATGAGGAATAGGAAAGCTCTTGTGTCAAGCTGAAAAGCTAGTCGCAGTAGCGAGCCACAACCAGGAAATGAACGTGGTTTTGTTGACCGGATCGTGTTAGCGTGAGGTAGATGTAGTAAAGGATTTCTTTGTGAGACCAGATGCCCATGATCAGAAAAGGCGCAAACTGGACGATTTTCCAATTCGAAGACTCTCCATCAACTGATCACTACAGCATTGCTCAATTCAAAGGCCTTCTGAAAGCCAGTCGCGTCGCACAATCCTAACTTTCAGCTGGAACGACGATGTCCGAGGTGAAGTTTCACGGCTCAACACGGATGCTTTGATACAAGGGGTCACGTAATCAGATTTCGTGGAGCATACCATTGCGAGACCCCTTAACCAGCCTTTTGAGCACTGGCTGCATGCCAACCGCCAGTACTGTCAGCCAAAGATTTGTAATACCTGGCGCTGCGCCCAAAGCTTATCAGGGGTGTCAGATGTTCATTCAAACGGCTGTCTGGTTTGATAGATTGAAGTCTGTTAGTTGGAACTTCCACTGCGATCGTTTTCTGATCGCGCCAACATAAATTAGCTTGATTCTGAGGACCCAGAAAAATTCAGAGTTGCCCTTTGATATGTTTAGAGAGGTGCATGACGGCACAGACAGGGACTTGCGACTTCTGAGCTGGATAATGTGTATAACACCTTTGTTTTCACGCTCCTCATTCTTGAACCTTCCTGCTACAACATGGTCATACTGGCAAATCATCCCATGGAACATTACTTTGAGTGTTACCCAAGTGCTACGAGAGAGGCGCATTGTTTCCCTCCTCCCCAATCCTCCAGCGGCTTTAACCTTCCACTGCTGGACTGCTTTTTGTGCTCATTCTTTAGAAATCAATGTGAACCACGCCCTTAAGGCAAAGATCAGGGATGCAAGATGACTGCAAGAGGTGCAGTGTCAGTTGCTCGCAGAGCAATGCTTCATCTCACCTTTTCATATTCTGCCAGGGCCTTTATGAGCGAGATGATGTCATCAAGATCCGCTTCAACAGCTGCACGGAGAGGCATGATGGCCCAGCTGACCAGCCAAAGAGTAGTCGGCACACTGTAGCGGTGAGGCTCCTGGACACTCGTCTCAATTCTGAGGTGTTCCGACCTGAGCGCCGCACTTCAGACGCCGTGATCCAATTGAAGAGCTTGCAGGTTCCCCTCTTCCCCCTCTCCTCTTGCCTGTCCCGCGCGCTTTGAGTGGTCAATTATTGGGGCTCCCTTTCAGAACAAATGCCAGAGCTATGCCAGGCAACCTCCAGGCAAATTGCAATATTACGTCTGCGCCTGGGCAGGCTGGGGCCCTGCAAATTGCAATGTGCATCAACAACAATGACACGTGGTTCAGATGGTCGGCAATGGATCATTGTATGGTCGCGTCACCGAACGACACCCTTCCTTCGAAACCGTTACCAAAGACTGGCCGGCCTTTGGGCCGCCCCGCACGCGTGACCGTACGTCATCCTACAGGTACCGGTAGTAGCTAGCCTAGCTGCATTTGCAATGCAAGCGCTAGCTAGCTAGCACTGCATTGAATGGGATGTGGCGAAGAATGTTTCATGGCGGAGGTGTGATGTCCCGCTCAGCTCAGTGTTTCGCTTGCAAGTGCTTCCCCCTGCCTCATTCCATCCAGGCTTCCGTCAAGGTCCAGAGCAACTGCCACCCGCCAGTGCCCAAATTCACAAACGGTTTTGGAGCCTCTTGCTATTTCTCACAAACAGCCACAGTCCACGTAGGCTCTCAATTAGTCTGTTTGCAATCTATCAGATTCCCCACAACTTCTCATTCTAAATTAGGGCACAGCCTCGACATTGAAAAGCTCTCGACCACTTCTCCTTTTGTTCCATCATTTCACAAAACGACATTTCTTAGCAACGTCACGCACGCTGAAAGGTACGTGACCGTCGCGGGTGCTTGTCACGTGTCCTCCCCAGCTTCTCACAACAACATGGCTGGGCCATCGCCTGGGGTGGTCGAGATGGTGGAACTCAACGCACAGGAGGAGAGGATCTTTAATACACTCAAGCAGACGCTCGCGCACTTTGGCCTGAAGACGCAGCTCAGGGTGGCGGGCGGGTGGGTGCGCGACAAGGTGGGTGCTCCGCCTCAACACAACCGCACCTTGCCAGCGATGGTGACCATGCATTGCAAATCACCACCTCGAACCCGAGCCCTGCTGTGTTAGCTCCATTTCTTTGTCAATGAGATACCTTTCTGGGCTGGTCAGCCTTGTGAGGAGTGATCGTTGGATTGCTCGGAAAGGGACGACGTGTTTCCAAACGGCAGAAGGGCAGAATGAAATCAGAATTTTTTTTAGGCAGTATATGTGCGTAGCATGCCTGCGAAGAATTGTGGCTCAGAGTCAGTGGCGCTCGCGCTTGCATAGCAAGCACAATTTGTTCAAGGATCTTGCACAGAGACCTACCATGTCTGTGTGGGGGTATGTAAGGTAGACCCAAGCTATGCTGATACTTCAAGATAAATCTGTTCAACCTTACCTGAGATTGGTCTGGGCCTCCTTTGACCTCCTTTGCGGGTAACCTACTACTCACACTCCAATTGTTGCTGCTCAAACAACACTCGCGTTCATGAGCGGTCTCCCCATGAAGCTCTTAAATCGCCTTCCTCTTTTGATGGGCGTTTTGATTCCCAAGTTTTGAAAGCTTTGGGGGCAGCACCACCTCAAGTTTTGACACACCCTCAAGGATCTCAGGACAACTCAGAGGTTGTGCGCTTTTGGTACTTCAGCGGGCACTGGGTCTGGATCTGTTCATTTGCTACTCCTCAGATCTGTGGGCGACCTTCTGCCCCAATTCACATACTTCTAACCTTCTGCCCCTTCTTTGAACAATATCCGCAGCACCCCACATACCCGCCCTTCATCGCTCTCTCCTCCTCATGTCTGCTTTCCTTGCATACTTCTCATGCACCGCTCGCTTCCTGCTTTCAGCTCTTGCGCCGAGACTCTGGCGACATCGATATTGCCCTGGACGACCAGATGGGCGTCGACTTTGCGGAGAAGGTGAACGAGTACCTGCGGTTGCGCGGCGAGCAGACGCGCGAGATTGGGCACATCAAGAGCAACCCGGACCAGTCCAAGCACCTTGAGACTGCCAAGGTCAAGTGAGTGGCGCCGATCGTTGAGCGAGAAATGGAGCAGGGCTTGATATTATTGGGCTTGGCGGAAGCCGGATGTGGCGCCCTGATGGGCAAAGAGAGTGCTTAACTTCGAATTCAGTTGCGTTGGGCACTTCTAGTGTTGATGCTGGTATTTGGAGTCTGCATAAGGAGTCCGCAAAGCTGTACATGGCTCGATGAGGGTTGTACCAGAAACGATAAGCTATGGGGCTCAAGTGTGGCTCCGACAACTCATTGCCTCGCAGTTCTATGGGTTACACATCGCTGTCTGCCGTTCAAGACTTTGCAACATGACGCCGATCGACAGGTGACGCTCGTACTGACTTGAGGAACAGACGCGCAAGTCATCGCCCTTTGGTACTCAACCGAGGAGCAGGTTCTGTCATTTTCTCCAGCCTCGCAAAGCCCAAACGATGTCCCAGTTTCGAGAGTACTTTGAATGATGATGAGCAGCCGCCTGACAGGATACAGAGGCCCGTCGGCCCTAAAGGACTTTCAGAAGAAGGATCGTCGTCAGTTTGTTAACTTGCACCGTGCAAGAGCTTTCGGCCTCTGGTTGCGCAGGATCCACGGCACCGAGATCGACTTCGTGAACCTGCGCTCAGAAACGTACGCAGAGGGCAGCCGCATCCCGGAGGCGACGTTTGGCACCGCAGAGCAGGACGCGTTCCGACGGGACCTCACCATCAACTCCCTCTTCTACAACATTGGCACGGGGGAGGTCGAGGACCTCACCGGCAAAGGTGCGCGCGCGCAACCGGCGCTAGCCTGCTCCGAACGGAGGAACGGTGATGGTGTTCCGAATGACGACTGGCAAAACGCTTGGATCTGCTAGCAGAAGGGATTCCGTAAATTCAGCAGAAATGCAACGGTCAACCAACTCCAACAGCAAAGCGCCCAAAATGCAATTCCTGATACCTCGAAGGCTTCGCGAGTGCGATCATCGAGTTGCTTGTGAAAGCCTCCTTCGTGACGTCACCCAGTGAAGTCCTTTGAAACAGAATGTGGCCACGACCTGACACACTTGTGCCGCCGGACCCTGTTCTCAGTTTCTTGTAGCCCGCCTCTTCCCACATCAGTTCTGACGCTTCCATACACAGTAATGAAGAAAGAGCCAAACACCGCCCCTTACGTCCCTGGGCCGTCGTATGCAGGCAAAGCGGACCTGCTTGCTCGCGTCATCCGTACGCCCCTCCCCCCCCGCACCACCTTTCTCGACGACCCGCTGCGCGTGCTGCGCGCGGTGCGCTTTGGCGCGCGCTTCGGTTTTACGCTTGACCCGGAACTGGTGGAGGCAGCCAGCAGCGCGGAGGTGCGTGCGGCGCTTGGCACCAAAGTCAGCCGCGAGAGGATGGGAGTCGAGGTGAGGCTGGCACGCCCCGAGAGCATGAAATCACAGGGAAAAGTACCTGGAGCCTCATGTCATGATCAATACGATGCTCACCCTGAGACATTTTGCCGAGAATGTTAGCCGCTCCGCCCCTGTACCTACCCGAACCCCCATGCTAACTCGACTGATCCTAGTGAGGCTGATTCGAGTGACATACGACTGATTTGAGTAGTCCAGAGACTAGCACCGAGAGCCTACGCTGCTGGCGCTTTTTCCATTTATTGCAAGCAGGTTCCTGTCAGGAATTCGCCCCTTACGTGTTTTTTGAGGTAGGGATCTGACGAAGCTAAGGAAGTCCATACTGACGCACTGATCAGTGAGGTTAGTAATGTACAAGCTTTGCAGAGTCTGTTGCAGCTTAAGGCTGAGTATGTGGTGTTTTAGAGAGGATATTTGAGTGGTTTCAGGGCTCGGAGATAAGGGGAAGCGCTGCACCCTTTCAGTTGGTCTGCGATGCCTCTGTGCTGCCTCTTTTGAAAAGGAAGTCCGTGCTGCCACCGGCTTCGATCAGAATCTTGTCGTTCGTAAGCCATACCGAATCTGGTCGTTCGTTTGTTGACCGAAGGAGGTACATCATGAATTCCCGCTTCTCCAGAGCTCGGGAGCTGCTTTTGTGCAAACCTCAGGCCGCGACTTTTTCCTGTTGTACATCCGTTATCGTTCTGACAGCGAAGGACCGCGGCTCAATTGCGACGATCCTCGTGACGATCCGTTGTTGCTGCACTGCGACGTGCGACCGAGTAACTTCGCACCAACAGGAACGTTTTCCAGACAATACCGAGCAGACGCACTGCAAATCTCTCAACCCACAAAATGTTCTGTTTTATACATGCTTGACTTTCATAACATTACCGCTTCAAGATTTTGAAGCGCATCGCCTGCGCAGATCGATTTGATGCTCAAGGGCCCCGACCCCGTGGGTGCCATGCGCTGGTTCGACCGGTGCGGCCTGTTCTCGACCATCTTCCAGCTGCCGCCCAACTGCGCTCCGGCGGAGCCGCAAACCTACGGCCAGTGAGTCCAGTCCGCAGAGCCCGCACAATCCGTTTCTAGACTGGCTTCTCCCCGTTTGGCGAGACTTTTGAGCTTGTTTCCGCCAAATTAGCTTATCGCCCCACTTGTAGCCTTTCTGATTCTTCATTGTATACGGCTGTGCAATGTTGCTTGAAAGTCGTGACCATGTGCAGCAGAGAGACGTCTGAAGTCGTGACCATGTGCAGCAGAGAGACGTCTGGCGACCTACTGGGGGCTGCGCTTCTCTCCTGTATCGCCCTCGTCGCCTATGCACTTCATGAGAATCGTCAGAAGCTTGTCTTTAGACTTAAAAGTTAGCCAGAAGCAGTCGCGTTTCAGCCTCTTCTTGCAACGCCCTGGGCTTGATATTGTCTTACTCAGCAGGCCCGCCCGTCGAGTCAGCTGCGGTACCGAGACCAACATATCCTACTTAGAACCTACGCCTCTCTTTAACCCTTCTCCAGTGTCGATCAGCTGCGCCACACGCGAACGGACAAGTCGTTGCCGCTAGACAATGGGACAAAATTGGAGACTGCGTCCCACCTTCGACCGTGTTCAGCCTTTCTCTTCCCCAGGTCTGCCGTTGCTTCTTTGGCGAGCAGTGCCGCGCTCCTCGACGCTTGGCCCAAGACGGAGGTGGATTCGCAGCTGCCGCCGGAGTTGCGGCGCATCTTTCTGCTGGCCGCGTTGCTGCTCCCGGTGAAGGCTGTGACGTACAAAGAGAAGAAGAGCATGCAGCCTGTGTCCAAGTTCGTCATCCGGGAGGGGCTGAAACTGCCCGCCAAAGACGCTGACAGGGTAAGCGGAGCATGCTACATTGCGTTGCGGTACATTGTTCAAGAGCTCACTGAGGTGTTGAATCGTTGGCAATCCTATTGTCTTCGAGTCAAAGTCAAAGAGGCTTCGCAAAGACGAATCAACCTAGAAAGGCTTCGCAAAGACGATACAAAGTTGCTTGATTGTAAAGAGGAACAGGAACGGGGCCCCTCCATAGCATTTGGCAGGCAGGTATGAAGCAAGGATGCAAGGCCCAACAAATTGATGAGTTGAATCGCTCCAGAGTCAGTTGACAGCGATTCCTTCCGGTTCAAATCTCGTCTAAAACCTCCCAAGACGCCGACAGGGTGCACGCGGATGCACCTTCGAGGAGTGTGACTCGCAGATCGTGTCTCCTGTAATCGCTGTGGAAATGAACCTGATCACCAGAGGAATCAATTTCAGTGCTGCAACAATTTGTCTTTTTGCGGATGCCGCTCACTTCACAGAGTTCCGCCTGTGCGGTCCTGAAGGCTGCGTTTTTTGCTTCCACATAAAGGCCATGCACTGAAAGGCGTTCCGCTTCCCCCTCTCGTTTCTTCGGTTTGTCTTGAGCAGAATATTTACACTATTTATCGTTTTCCCGACTAGGTTGCCGCGCTGCACGTCGGCTCCGACGAGTTTGCCGCTGCTGCCCCCGCGCTGCTGTCCCCCGACGAAGAGGCCGCCACCAGCACGACGGGCGATGGAATGGACTCGCTCTCGGCGCGCCGACGCATCACTGCGGGTGAGCTTTTTCGCTTCTCGTTTTGTTGGCCGCAGGCGACCTAGCTGAGCTGCTGACGTCCGGCGCCGCAAGCTTGAGGACGTTTGTGTTACGTCATGCAGTAAAGCTGTTTGACATCACCCAACAACTGCACCTCGCGTCAACGCAACGATGAGGAGATTGGAGGAAACTGTCAAGCCGACAATGTGTCGGTTCTAGTTTCAGTAAGAAGGAACAGAACGAGCGTGTGATCTGAAAGCGCAGCAGAGCGGTGCGGGCAGACAAGCGGTGGGGGTGTACGGTCTGCCTGAAGCCAATTGAGCTGGCAAGCTGCTCTGCTTCAATCCGCGCTGACGATCCGTTCTGACGCTGCTTGCAGACAATCCCATGACCCTTGGAATCGTAGCCCACCCTTGTAAACCATCGCACCTGATCGCTTGCAGGACACTTGGTGCGGCGGCTCAAGGAGCTTTGGCACGCGGCCGCCATCCTCTCCGCTGTGTCCGCCCTCTCTTCCGAACCCTCCAAACCCTCCGACGCCGCCGAGACTGCCGCCCTGCTCGTGCAATCGGTCCGAGAAATGGGCCTGGATCGCGCCTGGGAGATGAAGCCTCTGCTCGACGGAAAGGCGATCATGGCAATGGTAGGGAAGCCGGGGCCACAAATCGCAGAGCTGACGCAAAAGGTGTTAGACTGGCAATTCGCGCACCCGAAGGGCTCGGTGCAAGAGTGCTCGCAGTGGTTAGAAGGGGTGTGGAGAAGCCTAGGGTCCTCAGAACAGCACGGCAACACGTATCCTAGTAAGAAACAGCGGTGAGGCGGTGAGGGTTGAATGAGACCGTCGGGCACTTCCGTGCAAACGTGTGCCATAAGCATGGACGGTCCCCGGCTCCACCGCCGTTTCATGAGTGTATCATGTATACATAGATATGACATGAGCAGCTGCATTCGAACCGACTGCAAGGAGTGACGTTAAGATGTCAATGCGTTATGGACGCGAACATGTGATGATAATACCTACATTGAGTTGATTGCAGTACGCGCGATCATTAATTCAATGATTCATACATATTCATGTTGCATGCCTGGCGGTATGTATAATCTGACTAGCTCCTTGGATCGAATGCAACTGCAATCGAGACTGCTAGGCTAAGTTCAACGTTGCTAATGCACACATGGCCGGAATACATGTTGCATATATGAAGCGCACTGAGCTCTAGATCTGCATGCCGCAAGGGGAAACATAGCAGCTGCATGAGTTCCTCGGCTACATGCACCAAGTTTAACATATATCTCCTTGGATTGCTTGCTTGTCTTTTAAGCAAAACTTCGAATGTTTAGTAAGAGGATTATAAGCACTCTCCCTCAAAATCTACGAGTGTTTGACCTATGACCCAGATTTTATTCTCTATATTGCTCGTTAAAAGAGCTAACGCCTGAAGAAAGGCAGGCATCAACCAGCTCAGACAATCAGCCATTCCCCCTTCGGTACAAAACCCCAGCTGAGTTTCCTCCCTCTCCGATCTAGCTCTCTCCCACCCGCCCCCGTTCTCATTTTTATAGGTCCGTCTCAACTTGGCCCGCCACCCTCCCGCACCGGTCGCACGGCTCGGGCGCGTGCGCCGGCCCGCGGGCCTTGGCGTGCCGCTCTAGACCCTTAAGGTCATGCTCTAGGACCGCCTCCAGCGCATCCGCCGCGTCCTTCAAATTGCGCCCATCGATCGTCAGGGGGGGCGCCAGACGAATGATGGTTTCGTGAGTGGGCTTCGCCAAAATGCCGCGCTCCTTGAGCCCCACGCACACGTCCCAGGCCGTCACTTTCCCAAGGCCTGCTTGGTTCATGACGACAGCGTTTAACAGGCCCTTGCCCCGCACGACCGAGATCTTGTCCGGGAAGCGGGACTGCACGCGCTGCAGGTGCGAACGGAACTCCTCACCCAAAGTGTCGGCCCTGCAGACAACAGGGTCGTGCCGGTGATCAGCGCGCTTCAATTTTTGAGTCTCAGGCATTTGTCGCCAAGACGGAACCAGCTCAAACCAGTTGCGACTCCGAGAAGCTTCTGAACTTGCTTCCATCACCGCTTGACACATCAAGGGGTGCCGCCCGGCTGCCTCAGATGTTCTACGGAAGGACGTTGCGGCTCAAGGAGGGCTTACAGGTCAAGAGCAGACCCCCTTACTACTTTCGGTGCAACAATCGGGTTTGGGTCTATTGCGAGCGAGAATAAAAACTGGTTTCATCACGTGACAAGTGACGACTACCCGGCTCTCTTGAGGACACGTAATTGTAACTGCATGTAGAACGTCGGCGAATCAAGGGCCCCATCACGTTCAGAGCAGTACCGCATCCATTTCGTCCCAGAAGTTTCCGACGACTTTGTAGGAAGCTATCCGGTTCCAAATCCTTCCGTTTCTTCATCCCCGAACAACCGTTGGCTGTTTCGCGAAGTGGTTTCGTTGCTTGACACAGCGCGACGCCGCACGTGGTAGGGAGCGCACCTTTGGGCCATCTTCTCGTCGATGACGACATCGAGGGCCGCGGACGCTACCGCGCAGCCGACGGGATTGCCGCCAAAGGTGCTCCCGTGCTCGCCCGGCTTGATCACCAGCAGGATCTCGCGGTCCGCCAGGACCACGCTCACAGGATACACGCCACCCGCGATTGCCTTACCCAAGATCTACACATGAAGAGGACAGCGCAACGACCAATGTCACCAAAAATCTCCAAATGAAAGCGTTGCTGCCAGAATCAGTTCGCATGAGTCCAGGATAGGGAGGGAGTTCGTAAGATCGATCCTTGCATAAAAAGGAAAAGAGCGTAACAGACTTAGGGAGGGTGTGGCGCAGCAAATGGAAGTCCGAATAAGACTGCAAATGGAGACTCGATTAAGGCTGCCGAAAATATTGGAAAGATATGGATTCGGACGCTGCTCTTGGCCTGCGTGGATCGCAATAAATGATGACTCCTCGTCAGTGAACGAGACGTCTATGCAGACAGCCAATTTCCACCTGAAACCGCAAAGTGATAACCCATTACGAAACAGCCCAGGTGCACCGTGGGGCTGCTCACCACGACGTCGGGGCGCACGCTCTCCCAGTCGACCGCCAACATGCGGCCGGTCCGGGCGATGCCAGTCTGGATCTCGTCGGCAATCATGAGGATGTTGTGCTGGCTGCACAGCTCGCGCACCTGCCGCAGGTAGCCCTCGGGGGGGACCACCACCTGGAGAACAGGATCTCGGGTTAGCGCTAACCTCAATCAGAAAGCAGGAGCTGAAAGAGCAAGTATACCTCTGAACTTCACGAATCACATTTTGACCCGTGGCGGCAAAGCGAACATGGCAAGTGGATTCGGCTTGGAATTAGCGCCGCTCGAAACCTGCGGTGGTGGGACTCTTACGCAGTCGTGTATGATTCGAGGAGCACGGAAGACAGAAAGAGCACGATCCGCAAAGCCTCTGGTGAGCGGTGCACTGGTTGGAGTGTGTTGGGTCAGAGAGTTTGCTTACGGCAGCCAGTGGTGTGAACACTGGCCCCCGAAGTTGCTCGACAGGTCCGCCGAAAGCAGATTTGCTATTAATCAACATTGCAGCCGGGATTCGACATGTGCTGCACAGTATCGGGTCGCCAACACACCATTTGTTCATAGCAGGCTCGGCAGTATGTTATACGGCCGATACAGCTGGCCCACTTACCCCCGCTTCTCCTTGAATGGGTTCGAAGATGAAGCCGGCAATCCTGTCTCCGTACTCCTCAAACGTCTCTCTGAGCCCCTCGATGTCCCCAAAGTCGACCTTGATGTGCCCCGGGACTTCCGGCCCGAACCCTCTCCTTGCCTGGAAAAAGCGACAGCGGCTGGTTGTGAGTCGGGAGTTGGAAACGAAGACACTGCTTGCCACAAAGCCCTAGGTACCATGCTGCGAGCTGTGCTTCTTGAGAACTCTGCAGGGGCCGAAACTAGCAGCCTCTTGGTCAACGACGTCTGCTTCTTGCAGCGGGTTCTTCCCCCATCGCTCACGAACTTAAGAACTCGTCCTCTTACTCCTCGACACTCGGTTCTGTTTTGCCGCCAGGTGAATTTAAGCGGGAGGCAACCAGACGTGTCGAGCACATCCGAAAGCTGACTTCTTATGCCCACTACAACGTCTGATATTCCAATTGTGGGGTTGCAAGCACAACGCCAGACGCTCTGCACACTCACCAGTCCAGGAGCAAAGCTGACTTGCGCGCAAACGCTCTCCTCACAGCCGTAACGTTTGTTTCTTCCAGCTCGAGTCCTTTGCCCTCACCTCATTATCACAGCTCATGGAGATCGCGCCAAGTGTCCTCCCATGGAAGCAGCCGCAGCAGGAGACAATGAGCGCTTCGTCCTTGGGGATGCCTTTCTTCTGGTAGCCCCACTTGCGCGCAACCTTGAGCGCCGTTTCCACGCCCTCTGCGCCCGTGTTCATCGGCAGCATCATCTCGTATCCGAAAATGGCCGTCAGCTTCTTGGCGAAGCGGCCGAGCTGGTCGTTGTGAAATGCGCGGCTGCTTAGGGTCACGCGCTGCACCTGGTCGATCAGCGCCTGCACGATCTTTGGGTGGCAGTGGCCCTGCAAACAGAAGCGTAAGACTCAGACGCATAGACTACCCGTTTTGCAAGGCCTTTTGATTCAGGAAATATGAAGATATGAAGGATTCTTAAATGGAAGCGCAATTCGTTCAGAGAGCAATCTTCGCGAAAGCACTATTCTAAAGCTCCAAAGAGGGGGACAGGTACCAAGGGGGACTTGTGCTCTGAGAGGGAGTTGTAGCCTCAGAAAACGCAACAGGGGGCCAGTTCCGACGAGCTAAAGGGAATTGAGCCTCAGACTGTTTGCGACACTGAGCCGTACGGAAGCAGAGGGGTGCAGTTCCAAAAAGCTAAGAGGGTGATGAGCCTCAGAACGTGGGAACAACAGAGACCTTAGGAGTTTTTGTGAGATACTCTTTTGAAAGGAATTGGCCAAGTTTCTTTCACATTGAAGGCTTCAAGCCTTGAGGAAAACGTCGGTAAAGAAAAGTTTTTGAGTATGACCAGGTCAATAGGTCAGAGGGATTCTGGCCCTGCTAGTAATGTTAGATTCAGATAGCTCAGAGATAAAGTATCCATTTTTTTTAATCCTCCAGAAGGTATGATTGGGGCAAGGACATGGGGTATCGTTAAACAGGATGTGAAAAGCCGAAATGCTGGCAGCCTTCGGAGCATGGCCTCTAATACCCCAATTGTACAAACTGGCAGCTGGCTTGGCAGAAGTGTCAGGAGTGCTTGGTCAATGATGAGCAACTCAGGAGGAAACTGGCAAGACTGTTTTTCATCCCGGCATGTCCTACTTTGAAGCTGTTGTATTTTGGGCAGCATCATGTATATTGGGCGGCATTATGCACACCATCAGAAGCAAGAGCCAACATGTGGTCCAACAGCTTCGGGTCGCTTTTGGCGTACTTTCAGCTGAAGTGAGTGCGATGTTTCACCTGGTTGACAGCGGAGTAGGCGCTCAGAAAATCGAGGTAGTGACGGCCCTCGGGGTCCCACACGTCCGCCCCCCTGGCCTTGGCAAAGACGACGGGGAGAGGGTGGTAGCTGCAGCAAAGAAACATTGACTGGTCAATGTTCCGAGACGAGTTTAATTGGCGGTTTCTGTGTATGGTCATCTTGAGAAGCTTGAAAGGGGCACTAGGATAAAACGCTTTGTGACATATTTGGAACCTTTGAGGAAGGAGCAGCTATGTTAGAGGTAGTTGAAGGGCTAGCTGAATCACTCCGGGCGTGACGGGGCGAGTATTGATGTTCTTACAGAAGAGCAGTAAGAGGGCATCTCTTAATCAGCTGCCTTCACTTCGAAGAGTGCGCCACCAATGAGCCCCAATCCAACCGGACGATACGAAAATGCGCCATGTTAAACGCCCCATTCCAAACTGAGAAGCAAAAAGAGGCTGCTCTAGTTAAAAAACTGAAGAACGTCAACTCGCGGCAGGCGCTGGCCAAGCATTTGAAAGGGTCCGTACCTGGAAAGGGGCGTTCAGCAGATGCAACTATCCTATAAACCTGAACCCCGAGTGCATCTAATGCAGGTATTGCACCGCTCATATTCGCAATAATGAGGCAGACAGACAGGATAAGAAGCAAGGGGGAAGAAAGAGACACATACTTATGTGCGCTGAACTTCTCCTCGAGGTCGATCAACTCGTTGGTCGCTTGATTCCCTGGGTGACTATCTGCGGTCGCAGCCACTGCCCCTCGGAAGATGGTCGATCGGTATCCACGGTGCAGCTGCAGCAGCGGCTTCGAGAAGACGTCTCGTCTGAGCGCCATGAAGGCCATTCTGCTTGTTCCTGGGAAAGGAACTGGGGGGATTACCTTGGCGCCCGCTCAATGCATACCAGAGAAAGCCCGCCGCAACCTGCCGAATCCCACACCTTTTCCTGCATCAATCAGCGCATTCCGCACAATAAATTCACTGCTTTTCTGAAAGCAGCACACCCTTTCAATCTATTTGCGGCGGAACTCAACAAGGCTGCCACGAATGATTGCAACACAAACCTTACAAAAATGTGAGAGAGCACACGGGTTGAATTTGGTTGAATTCTCAAGAAGTGGAATCTTTTCTGTTGCATGAACGCGGTTGCAACGCCCTGCCACATCAGCATTTTCCGAATTTGGTCTGTACCGTGAGGTCATCTTGGCCTATACTGCTCTCTTATTACGCAAATTTATGACGGTGAATCTCAACCGGTCGTCCTCACGGGTTCGATCTTAGGCCTTCTAAGCCCGGTATCCCGCAAAATGTGTGCCTCCCAATTACCCTCTTTCCCTGCAGCTATCAAGAATATTACACCAGCTTTTATGACTGTTGAGTGAATACAGGGGGAGCGCTTTGGCAGCGCATCAACCTCGTGGTCCAGCAAAGCAAAAGCGCATTTGCTTGGTGCGATTGATGGCTCTCTTTTCACGTTGTTTCACGTGCATCACATGGTTCTCGTGGCAGTGGCCGCACTTGCAGGAGTTGCTGCTATGCCGCTGCGAATTCCGAAACTTAAAGTGCCGCATCCAAGCTCAACTTTGAGTTCAAGCGTTGTTGCCAATTGTGACAAGTGCCTTTCAGGAGGACGGGCGTCCCCGGGGCCCTTGAAGATTGAGGGGTTCAAGAAATAGTTTAGATGTTGGTGCTTCAGCATGTGGGGGTGTTCGTGTCATGGAAGATGTTTCTGTAGGAAATGACGTCTCCACTGTGATACAGTGCGTCGAGGACTTGATCGACTTTCTGGGGCAAGCATATGCAAATGTGCGCACATCCTCTGCAGTCAGTGAACAAGTCTCCGAGGATTTAAGAGAAGGAATCCGCTTCCTCCAACAACTTCCAATTGTTGAGGTGAGCTAATACGGAATCCTTCCTTTGTAATCCTCTCATTCTTTGCTTGTCCCAAAGGTGAGATGTTCTTGCCAGCATTTGAGGTGCACTTTTCCACCACCCTTGGTGAAGGCTTCTCCACACTTACGAATCGTTCCTGTGGGGCCACGATGTCATTCAAGGGAATTGCATCAGCAAGCGCTCGACTGACCATTGAAGTTCAACACTCATAAGTTACTCTCATAAAAGCCCTATTGTCTGTATTGGTTGCCAGAAGTGCCTCCATGTCAAAGTTTACTTGAGACTCTTGCTGACCTACCGGTACTCACATACAGACTGGCCAAGACGCAGATAGGACAGACAAAGGAGCCAGTGCCGGCCCCGCCGCCCGATTGCTAAGAAGTGCCCAGAGCTCGTTGGACGCACTCTTGAGCGACGCTCAAGCCACCAGAACCAGAAGTCTCGGCAAGAAGGTGAGCTCTCAGAAAGATCCCCACGCTGGAGCTTGATATTATCTCCGACCCGACACTTCGAGCTTTGTCTTCCGATTTTGGACCGGGGGGAGTCTAGCATGTCTGCCGCCTTAAAAGTTTCCTTAGCTCAAAATTGCGGGAATCAAGTGAAAACCGAAGAGTATTCTCGCGGAAGTTCTGGAGTATCTACGCTCCTCTCATCGTGAACCGTATCCTTACCCACTCTCCAAGGCCTCACTTCCCGCAACTGACCCTTGTGTCCATCATGTGTTAATGGAAGGTCTCCGTCGGCAGCAGCCATGCGAGCCCCTTACCCGCCTCATCAGCGGCTCAACCGCGGGTGGCTCCTGGCTTGCCTGGGAAGGGCGTGCATGCTGCTGGCCCTGGGCCTCCTCATGCTCTCCCTTTGGCTGCTCAGCGTCCAGCAGGTTAGTGCAAAGGCTTCGCTTCATCAAGGTTGTAGCTGAGGGGCAGTGTCCTCCTGCCATGCTCTTGCCACAACAGCAGATGAAAAGATGAAAATATTGTACTCATCCATTAAACTAGATGCACACAATCCTGCCCCACTCTAGATTGTCAGACTGCGCTCCAATCAAGGCACTACCAGAGTTCCTTTCCCTCGCGGATTTGTTTCAACTTCTCTCAAGGAGCGTCAAGCTGTAGCTCCGTACTGCCTGCAGAAAACACGATGCCGGACAGCACTCCGTTCCTTTCTGACACTGTTTGTCAGATAACCCTTCAGATCAGATCAATCTTGTTAAAATGTTATCTCACCTTTCGTTAGGTAACCCTCTTGTTGACCCGTCACATACTCCTCCGTCCCTTTGTTTGCAGGCCAAGCGGGGCAGCGTGCACCAGTTTCCGGACCTGCTGCTCCTGGCGGCCCCCGTCCTGGTCGTCCTCTTCCTGTGGCTCCAGCTGGTGCGAAAACCCTTCCGAAGGGGGGTCCTGTCGGCTCGGGGGCAGCCCCCCCGGAACCCCCTCGCAGCGGCGGCCTCCGCAGCAATCGCAATTCTGTAGAGTTAAGCAGCAGCGAAAAAGGTCCGGGTAAACGGTCAGTTGAAAGACTTACACCCGGGGACTTGTACGTTGCGAGGGGGGGTGCCGAACAGGGGGGTGCTGTGGTCCAGCAGACGTCGGTCTTTGAGAAGGAAGGCGCAGGCGGCGCCTCTTCTGGGGTTCGCTTTCCCGCCATCGAGGCATTGCGCTTGCCCACTTCCTTTCGGAGGGCGCTCAGTAGGTTCCACACGAGGGTTGCAGAGAAGGGTGGAGAAGGGGCCTTCGGCGATGTTAGCCGGGCGGGTGCTAGCATCGAGATTGATGCACCTTCACCGGGGCTTCCCTTAGTAGAGCCGCTTACTGCAACCAGTTACGCTTCTCAACCAAGGCGTACAGGTACTGTGTCAGCAGACGGAAGTGCGGGTGAAAGGGCGCGCTTCCGATTTCTTAAGCGCCTGGAGCAAGGAACAGACGCGGAAGGTCGTCCTAACGTTTCTACAGCCACGTTGCTTGAAGCGGCTGATTTTTCGCCTGTGGGACTCGCCTCCAAGGCAGTCCAAAACTCGGAAACTGAAGATGCGGTGTTCACCCTGCTAAGAGCGCAGTTGGCGCTCCTTACAAGCTTTGAAGGGAAGGAGATCTGGCAAGCCGTGGCACCAGGTGAGGAGACGACGAGTTCAAAAACACATCGTACCCTGTGCTTACTACGGACAAGGTCAATCTGAGGTGGCGATCTGCACTCTACGTCACCTGAGACGGCCCTTTTATTTTGCGAATGGCGTTCGACGTCGAGGTATCTGTCCAGACCTTGCACAAATGAGCCCTCTCGAGCGGACCTGAGCTTTCACCCTGGCCTCGCCCAAAGGAGCCCTCAGAAATATCATGGAGCTAGTCGCTCATAGCAATACCCTCTCTGCTTCTCTCCAATCTTGCAGGGAGCAGCCACGTGGCCAGGCATCGCAACCGGTGCCTTCGAGCCCTCCTCAGCGGACTAGAAACCCCCAACGCAACGGATCCTTGTACCAACGTCCCCCAAAAGCGAGTGCCGTTTACGAGCGCCCGCAACAACACAATTCAGACAGGGCTCGAGCCGGCCAGCGAAAGCCGTTACGTTTTGGGAGAAATGCACGAAGCCTGCGCACCCTCTAACGTGCACTTGTGGCTTCCGCCCATTTGTTGGACAGCTGTAGGTGAGCTTCTTTTCCTCCAAACCGGTCATTCCCTCCATCTTTTGACCACTTTGAGCGTCCCTTTTTCGGTTACTGTGAATATACTCCGCTAGGAATGTCGCTGATGTGAAATAGCCGTCTCTGCCCGCTCACCTTATCGTACTGCATCCTTCTCGGACAGAAGAAGGGCATAAAATCAACGGCACGTCGACCTTGCAGAGATCAGCCCTGAGAACCTCCGCCAGAGCGCTGCGGAAGTCGACGTCGTCCCCGCAACCGGCGGCAAAATCCGCGCTATCACATGTTCGTCTGCCAAGGTGACCGCCGCTTTCGTCGTTCCCGCCCTACAATCATGCCTTGTTTTTACCTGTTGCCAAAAAAGGTACCGCTTTGTAGAAGAATTGTCACACTGAATTGTAAACGTGTCAATTGGCGCATGTCTAATGCTTCCTTGAGTTCCCCGTTACCCTCTGCCTTCCAGGAGTCCACTTTTGCTAGCTTCTAATCTGGTTCTCACCACCCATTCCCCCTTTCTTTTGTCGAGTCTCCAATTAGAAGTAACTTCTGTGATGTCAAGAAAGGCGCGGTGTGGAGCCGGTTCATACTCTCGTTTCGGCTGAACACAAGCACTACTTTTCTCTGCTTGCATTTCCTCGACTTTCTGCTCAAGTCATTCGTCTCGACCAGTGTTTGATAGAGTGGCAAATGTCGACGATCTCATGGAAGGGCATCGAAGCTGTCACAATGCTTCGAGAGCTGAAGCAGAAGCAACACATCTGCCGTGCAGCATATGTCGGCCCTAGCGCACTTGAGCCACTCCATCGAGTGTACGGTCCTGCGGTGCTACTTGGAAGCAGTCCTGGTGGCACCGCTCGTACAAACATCTTCCGACCAGTAAGACGCCCGTCTTGAACTGTTACGCTCTTCTTTTTTCGAAGCGAAGTCTTTTGGGGATCGAAACAAGTCTCCCGTGTTTTTTGCAAGTTGATGCTCTTCATGCAGCAATCTGTGATGCCGAATGGACGTTATCCAAAGGCCCGCCCGGAGCTTCGCGAATTAGTAGCGCATGGCCAGCGTACGGAGTGGACTAAAATCGGCATTCTCGTTCGCATTTTGGTAGCCCGTGCTTGACGCTATACTGGATGGATGCAGGTTAGAGGTCACAAACTCTTTCCTTGCCCGCTGCCGACTCGCCTACACTCTTCTTTGCACTGAAGGTCGCGGCGCGCTGGCAATCTCTCATAGGGATTGGCAATGAAAGCCAATCGAGGGGTTTCAGTGGTGGATTGTTATTCGCAGTCACTAGGAACCAAATTCGTAAATTTCGGCACAGCAGTTCTACGATAGAAAAAGTGTCCTTCACGATTCAGCGATAATGTCACCTTGATTGTCAGGGCAATTGTGCAGGTTCGCACTTGGCCGCCTCCGTTTGGTCTACAACATTGGATAGGGAATTCTGTTGTGCGTCTCTAGTTGTCTGCCAGTTGAGCATTCTGACGTGTGTCACTCCGGCATTTGTATTGACCATGCATATCGTCTGATCATCTCCCTCGATCGAGTAGTGATGGAAATGAGCCGCCAGCATGACACAGTCCTGCATATATCCTGCCTGGCTTGTTTCAAGTCAGGCGGCTGCGTGCGCAGTGAACGGCATGGTTCGCCGAATTATTCAAGGACAGGCTGGCCGCCACGCTTGCACTATTTTGCTGCGTGAGCATGCCACATGGCACTGTGCATATGGTATCTAGCTATACATGTGACAGAGTCGATCCTCACGGGATTTGACAATTGCGGACCATGCAATACAATGAACTATCAGATTCGCGATGAACTATACTGCAATATACTTCAATATAGGATCGGACTCATGCATATTCATACTTCACATATGGACCGTCGGTACCAAATGTCCGATTGCCTGCGTCCTTAACTACATATATGCGGGGATTAAATTAAGCTAGCGCAGTGTTTGATCCAGCAGTCCACCTCGAAATCTAGCTGGCCAATTCTAGCTGTTCAACGGTTTCAATCCCATGGCCGCTCACAGTGCATCCGAGCAACAATATCAGGCAGCATACCCAATGACTTCAAGAGTAGAAATACCATCTGAATCTCAGAATGACATGCACACGATTGCCATGGAGCGATGTTGCTTTGAGACAAAACTCAATTGAATGTAAACCCGTAATTTTTCTTCGTCCGTTCTTCTAGCCTTTTCTTAGCTGCTTCTCTGGCGGCTAATGCAGCTGCTTCTTCTGCAGTGACAACCTTCGGAGTATCACTCTCTCGTTTCCTTTTTGCTGCGAGGGAGGACCCTACCTCTTTTGCCTTCGCAGTTGCTCCTGCAGATTGGAATTCAAGTCTTGGTTAACTTGGAAAGAAAGCAGAAGTAGTATAGGGCATTGCAAGGGGCTGATAACCAGCTCCTGGCTCTGATTGAAAGCCAAACAATTGTACCGCATCCCGAGTCGTCCATCACCGATACAGTTCCTAGGACCGGCAGTCCTGCATGTGATACTAATGGACACATCTCTGACACAACAACAAGGATACGACAAAATCTGCCAAGCCCAAATGGTAGACGATCACAAACCCAGGAACAGGGCATGCTCCAGATCTCCATCCAGGTTTCCAGCTAGCGCAAGAGACCTTCGTTCTGACATGTCACTCACAGGCAGTCGTTCTCGAAGTCTTGAACTTGCAAGAGATGTACCAAGGAAACAGTCAAGACCAGCCACCACTCACCTGCTGACTTTTGAAGCCCGGTGACGCTTTTTCCTGTACTGCTTTTTTTCGCTACCCCCGCTCCCCCTCCCACCACCGCCTTTCCATTGCCCGTCCCTTCAAGCTTGCCAGGCATGATTGCATTTGTTTGTCCCTTCAAGCCATTGGCTGGCTCCACACTTGAACTAGACGGCACCGGCTCTGCCCCCTCTCCAGCTTGTGATGACGCCTGGGCCGCTTCCTCTTGCGTGGTCCAGCGTCCTGTCAACTCGGTGTAATACAGCCCCGAATTCGGATCGTAAGTGTACTTTGTTTTCGCGTCAAAGTAGTAACCGGTCTTCTCGTCCAGAATCCACCCTTCTCCGGACACCTCATTGGAAGCAGCCGCAGCTTCTGGTTCTGCTGGCCCTGTGGAACCAGACAAAGGGACTAAAGTTTACAAAAATGCAAAAGACCGGTAGTGCAACAGGTGGAGGAGAGGTGCAACGGTCCACTTCAAAGCAACGATGGAGGGGCACACCTGCAAACAGAGCACTTCCCAGATGGGGGGCACAAAAAGTGTGTTGAATCCTAAGCCATGAGTCTTGCACGACATCAAAAGCCAGTTCAAAAGTACACTCCCTCCAACATATTCAGAAACAGAAAGGCAATTGCAGCGTCCCCACAGCTACAGCGTGGTGCTGTTGGGATGTTGCAGCAAACCTGATCAAAACCTGAACAAACAGTGATACGACTACTATAAATGGGCCTTGCCTGCTGAGACGGATGCCGGCTCAGCAGCGCTCTGCTGGGCCAGATCCTTCTCATATTGCCGCCGTGCCTTCCACTCAATTCTTTCCAGGTCCCTGTCCACCTGTTCCTTTTCGCGCTTCTCGACCACGTTCCTCCTCCGCATGTCCGCCAGCCGCTTGGCAACATTCTCCTTGTGCCGCAGGCCATTCTCGTGCATGCCCTTGCTCGCCGCATTGTTAGCGATGAAGGTCTTGCAGTACTCGCAAAAGTGCTGCTTCTGAGACACCCAGTACTCCGTCATACTGCCGACTGCTCTTTAGAACAAGGGAAGAGAGACAGCACTATGCACCGTACAACGACGTCAGCAGCTTTCTCCAACTCCTGACTGGCACCGATCAGACATTAAAGAATACAACCACTCAGACCGAAAGAACACTGAGTAAGGCTGCTCCAGAGGAGCTACTGCACTGTGTGCCTGTTTGCCACATCGCCGCAAGATCGCCGCCAACTTTCTTCACTCAACCTATTGCAAAAAAACCCGGGAAGCTGATAACAACCCCTTCAATTTGGCAGTCTGCGGCATCAAACGAGCTCCATCTCTGTGGACAACCTTGTCCCCGTGGCTTGAAAGCAAGTGATGAACTTCTGTGACCCTGGCTGACACTGACAGTGAAACTTAGAGCAGCGCTCAAACCCTTCAAACGCTCATGTGAATGCGATTGAGCGCTGAGCAGTGACTCTGAGTCTGACTCTGAGCGCTCAGATCAGCTAGGCCCTCTGCAAATTGGGCCGAGC